CTTCTTCAGTATAGTAGATTGAGGAGGAAAACAATTATGGTGTGTTTTTTGATGATTCCGATTAATATATAGCAATTAATTTAGACAACACTGAGATTTAAAAAGAAAAAAAAAATTAAAAAAATTGAGACTCGATGCACGCTTAGGACATTTTTTAAATTTTTTAAAAAAACAAATGAGTGTTTGCACTTAAAGACATGGTATCATGTTAGTTTGTGAAAGAACGCAACTTTTACCATTACCATTCAGTCTTTCATACCATTATCAAGTACCCCGTAGGTTGCGGCGAATTATGCGGGCTTGAGTAAGACCTCCCGCAAAAAAAGGGCGGATAGAATCAACCCTAAATATCCTTAAATAATTAAAAAATTTAATAAAGAATTTACGGGTGCAATATATATATATATCTGTGATCGATCGTTTAAAGCGCGCGGCCGTGCTCAGCATGTGCGATATGTTCGAATGCAGCATGAGTATGAGTTTGCGGCCGATGGTTGGATAGCTGATCTTTGGATTGTGAGGCAGCTATATAGCTGCCTACATATGTACAGGCCGCCCGGCCTCCGGGAACGTCATTCAGTACGGCTGCGGGCCAGTGACTGCATGCGGTAGCGTAGCTGGTTAATAGTAAGCTACGGTATATGAAGCATGCCAGCAATGATGCATGCTAGACGCGGTCTTGCACTGAATTTGGCGGAGCCCAAATCTGCAAGGCCTCGGGCCCGGCCCTAAGCCCGACTCCACGTTGATCCGATCACATCATTGCACTTGACCACAAGTTGAGCGATGATACAAGAACTTAGCTACCGCAGCTGAAAAGCTGTCAGGTGGTCGAATGCAGGTCTCAGCGTGCAGCGGAGGAACCATTATGGCATAGCGGCCGCGCCAGACCATTTTCCCACTAGAAGCAGCACAGCGGGCTGCCTTACCTTGCACACCCCAAACCAACACTGGCCGCGATCCGCTAGCCACATTGTCGAAGTCCACACGGTTCGAAGCAGGAAATGCTTCCTGTCAGAAAGCTCAATATCATACATTAATACAGTGGAGTACAGTGGGCAGCTGTGCAACTCACCTTTAGTCCAAACCTTTTACGTTAGCAATCAATTTTCTTGTCGTCAATATCTTGCAAGTCGAATTGCGGCCACATATCATAGCAGCACGTTCTACCATTACCTTCTTCCTACAACATGCATGCGGATTCTGAGAGCAGAGATTTGAACAAGACGGTCAACCTGTTTCCTAATAAGCGGTCGCAACCAATCCTACAATATACGTTGATGTTCTGCTGTACAATAAGGCCTGCTTTCGTTGACTGGCAAAGACATACGAATCCTGATCTTGAACAGGGGTATATCCTCACCCTATGAGCCCGTCATCTTTTTCTTTTACCTTGATCTTACGAATGAAAGTGTTGTACTCCTCTTCTAAGCGTTTCTGCTCGATCTCCCTTGCTTGCTTCCCGATACTAGGTTCGGATGGGAGCCTCGACCGTACCTGCATCAGAAACAGGATCCTGAGACTCTGTAGAAGGAGGTTTTGCTCAAAGGCCAGCTTGCAAAGCACGAGGTTAAAACTCTCCTAAGAGAAACTAACCGTACAAAGTCAATGAGAGCTGCAAAACAGAGACGTTGACTGCAATCGTTGCGCCCTCAAACCCATCAACTCCAAGCACAAAGTAAAACCTTCGATCCATGAGCAAATGTCCGAACTTCGCCGTACATTGACACGTGGTCCATGCCACCAAGTCCCGCGGCACCGCAAATCAGGGACCCGATTACGGAGTTTTAATTTCGCAACGGACGCTACTGACTTGTACTCCTGAAGAGACAAGTTTCGACTCACGCTTCCGTTGACGGCATCGGGCGCCAGCTGGGCCGCCTTCCTGTCGTCATCCACCACCGCGTACCACCAGTTTTTCATCCGCTGCGCCTCAGCTTTCTTGGCCTCCTTGGCAGCTTCCAAGGCGGCCCTCCGGTCCTTCTCCCTAAGTTTCCGCTCTGCCAGATGCGACCCAACGGAAACATACGCCCCCCATAGCCGATCCGACCCCAGGCGGAGGAGAAGGCTTGAGGCCGCGACTATGAGTAGAAGGGCGCCCAGAGACGCCCACTGAGATGACTGCAGAAACAAGTGGTAAACTGTATTAGAGGAACCAACCAAATGGCTCTTTCGCAGATGGCTTCACTGAACCATCCGCTGGCAAATCGTCGTAAGGATCAAAGAAATTGCTCTGGGAATGAAGAGAATGGTGGAGAACTTCGATCAAGAACGGCAGACGAAAGAGCGGTTTCGAAGTTTCTTTGTGTCAAAAGCTGGCCGCCTGGCCCGTTCGAGATCTTGAAAACGTTCAAGGTCTGCAAATCGAACGGCCAAGGTTCTTTCACACATGCGCACTGAGCTCAAAGTTCGATCGAGCATACAGTGAGTGCGAGTTATGACTTTCTCTGATGTCTTGTGAAGCCATCACCCAATCTGGTCTTCCAGAAACGCCCAGTACTTGGGAACTCAATTTCAGTTACGAGGACACATGCAACAAACCAAGAAAGACGCTCGTGTCGAAATCCTGCCGACAAATGTAAGCTTGTGAACGTACCAATCTATACCCCATCCGAGGCACTCTGACGGAGTTCACGCTGACAGTGTATGCAGGGGTGCGCAGTCCAGCCACCCCCGGGGCCGCCGTGGTAGACCAAGCGGCCTCGCCCCGTAAGTGTTGAGAGTCGGACGTAGATTGTACAGGTTGCGAGGGTGTGGCTGTGGATATTCTTTCCCGCTCCAGCACAGGGGCTTCGTGCACCTTCACGGAAAAGAATCACGGACAACCGTCAAACGTTTGCCCCGCTGCTTTCGAGAATTGTTGATTGAGATAAAGATAACCTGCCCTCTTTGAGTAAACCAACAAGGTCTCCAGACCCCAAACCAATTTGCGAACTGCAAACGGGCAAACGTTTAGGAAAGCGCCAGACCGTAGCGCGCATAAGAGCCATCAAAACGCATGACGATTGAACATGGCCACCAATCGCGAGGGTGCTTCTGGATCACAGTGTTCTTCCTACGTACCTTTGCACTCCCCTCTCTCCTCTCGCTGACACGCACTGTCAAGCGCGGCCCTTGCGCTGCTTCCGTGGCCCCTTCTCTCGGGCGCGAGGGCACACTCTGCGCCAGCTCCTCGATGAACTGCCTCGGAAAGGCGAGCAGGATCTGTGCCCCTGCCTGGATCAGATTCGGATCCTCTAGTTCGTTCAGCTCCGCTAGCTCCTCCACAGGCAGGCCTGCAGGCGGAGGGCGTTGGCATCAGGGCGGAACACAATAAAGAATATACAACAATGTCATTGATTCAAATGAGCATGCGTCTGTATGAGGACCAGGTGTCTGCATGATAACCTGGCAAAGGGGCCCAGCCGCAATGATTTGCAGTTTCCGATGCATAGCGCGTACTTTACCCTGAGGGACTGCGTGGGCAAAGTGCAGACGACTGGGGCAAAAAGGGTGGCGCAGACGCTTCTACTTTGCCTTTCTCTTCGGTGGCAGGCTTTATGCAGTAGGGCATGTGCCTGGGTATGAGGACCAAAAGGGTTGGGCTGTGGGTGAGGGACTTACCGCATTTGCGGGACAGGTCGGAGAGCGTGTCACCCCTGTATGGAAGAGAAATCACATAAGCAGAGCGCCAGGTTGGCGGCCACTGGGCTCCTGGCGACTCCATGCGTGCAAGCTTTGACCGACTTCAAAACGAAATTAACAACAAAATCGAGATTGGGAAAGCCTCTCGCATGGGACCATGGTTGAACCTCGGTAAAGCAAATCATGGGCGTGCCTCAAGTACAATCTTTTGCACACCGCTGATGGCGATTGTATCGTGAGGGTAGATCAGAAGCGGCCTGGCTTACTTCTTGACCCTGTACTTTCCTAGCTTGTACTTTCCAACCTGGGCGTCTGGTGAAACCAAGTCTTGCAGGGCCAGAGCACAGAGCCGGGGATCAGCACCGCTCTGAGTAGCGTTAGACACCACCTGGGCCTGCGTCACAGAAGATGGATAGAGTCCCAATCAGCGCAAAATCACCGGTAATCTCAATTTCAGACGCTTTTTGGTGGGTTCATCAGCGAATTACATGGGGGCGACTGCGGCCCGGCAGTTTCTGGTCACTACTTGGCTGGTAAACTGTGAGTTCATCAGCATTTGACTCTCGATGGAATGCGCAACTTGCATTACCAAAGGTTCCACAACGACAAATTTCAAGTTGATCCGCATAAGAAGTGGTAAAATCAGAAAGAGCAGCAAGAATATGGATTCAAATCACGTCAGAGTAACGTTTGGTAATTTACCCTGCCCATTGGGTCTTGTTGCTATCAACCTCACCAATGTGGAGACTCGTTGCAGATGTGCTTTCTCTGCATGGATACCCATTGCGCCCACATGCTTCGGCCTGGTGTAAGAGCTGCCGTTGCTGGACGTGGCAGGCAATCCTGGCAGAAATCCCCCTCTTCTCACCGCAGTTGCTTCCATATTACCTTCCAGTCTGGGTCTCAATAACTGCTGTCGTGCTCATACACCACGCGCATCAGTTATTTTCATTCGTCCACCCGTGGTAACCCAAGTGAGACCTTATCTGCAGCTCGCATACATTTTACCACGTCCACCCAAATACTACTGTCTTCAGCCGTCGCTAACTTGCAACCGGCCATGCCAATTCAGCGTGCTGACAGCCAACATACATGCTGTATCACTGTGAGCTGGGGTAATTACCGTACTTTCATCCCTTGCGCGAGGTGCAAAATCACCGTGAAAACCCCAAACATGCCATTGCCTGCTCAGTGCTTGCTGCAACCACGACCACCATTATGAATTGCGCCGGCCGCCCGGTGGTCGGCATTCTCTCAAAACCGCAACGAGCCGGACGTAGAAGATGGGAGTAGGAGATCCTAGCAGATGCCAGCTGGCTGTCACCGATTGCTGGAAAATGTATCACGTGATACGAGTGGATGCTATGATTGGCCGAAAGGGCGTCCCTGTCGCATTGCGGGAGACAGCACTGAGCACTGACCATCAACAGTCGCAGTGCTCACTGACACTGGCTGACATCAGCAGTGCTCGAAACTCTTGTAGCTTCTGCATTGCAATTTGCAAATTGCGCCTGCATTGCAGATCGTGAACCAGAAGAAGAAGCAGGAAGCGGGTTGCGGAACGCAGAGGGTTGGGAGCAGCTTACCTTTCCGCAGCTTGTTAGCGGTCATCATGGCAACGGCGCACATTGTGTCCCTCCAGGTATGCGGGACAGCTGTACTTGCATCCTCTTGTTGAGGGGATGCGCCGTCCATTTGGTCCGGTTACTCTGCCATGCTCAAAATGGTATTCAAGCTTTGTCTTTTGGTGATGAGCAGGCAGATCTGCAAACTGTTATGGCGCTTGTGTTCAGACTTGCACAGCCATGGTGTCTGGAATGTGGTGATGAAACAGCACAGATGACTGTTATCAAGCATTCTATGTGGTCCTGACGAGGCAACTGTTGTAGCTGCATTTAGTTAGTGACAGAGCTTGACCGGGACTGAAAGGAATCCTTGTAACACACCATCCATTTGAAGATCTCCTGATCACCGTTTGTATCATTCTGTCTTGCAGACAGCTCATGCTGGCCTGGTAGGGTCTCTCTGCAATGCGCAAGCATCACCGCAACCAAGCAGGGTAGCATTGCCATTGAAGGTAGGAGCAGCAGTGTTGTCAACTCATGGTGTATTTCAGGCAGTGTGTACAGGCATGGGTTTACACAGTGTAAGCAACCTTTGCACCAGGGCCGGTCGATTTGGACTGCTTCCTGGTCCCTGTTAGGTTGCTACAGATGTTCTTTTCAGCACCCGTTTCAACTTGGCATTCATCCCTAACTCTGAAATGGATCTGCTCCTTTAAGGCCTAATCGCCACTGTACAATGCCATTCTGTGAAAGTCATCCATTCTGCACCTTTGAAGTGGTCCTTGTGCCACTTCTTGACTGACAATTGATCTCTGAGAATCTTGTTTGTGCAGGCAAGATCTTCACTCCTAACCTCAGAGAGGGCCTTTGCGGGCGTGGCCCTCAAAATTGATGGACAGCGGTATGCAAGGAGGTCTCAGCAGGCTCTTAGAGTCAATGCTCTCCAGACTGCCACTGAAGTGTTCCCGGCAGCGCTTGAGGAGGCTTCGGACCCCCCCATGAACACGGCAAAGAACAATGCCCCTTTCACCGGCACAATTAAGTCAGTTGAGAGGATCGTTGGTCCGAACGCGACGGGAGAGACCAAGCACATCGTGATTGACCATGAGGGCAAGCTTCCCTACTGGGAAGGGCAGAGCTATGGGATCATTCCTCCGGTAAGGCTTTTTTTGGGATAATGTTGCTGAATTGACTGTTGCCAAGTTTGCGCAGCATGTTTTCATCGATGCTTGGCAATTTGGTACTGGTTCTAAGAGTTGGTAATCCATGAGACACCCATATGCTCAGCTTTTGCGAAGTTATCTTGCCAAGGACATTCGCACCAAACAGGCAGGTTCTAGCACATGTCTCTCAAACAAGCATCACCAGAAGTCTGGAGCCCGGTTGCGGGATGGGACACTCCGAGTACCCTATTTTTGAGCTTTAGGGTTTGCCTTCCTGCTGAAGTGCTTCAATGAACAGTAATTTGTCATGGTTGAGGTCAAGTTTCCACCTAATTTCTTTGGATCATCATGGATGCTGAGTTGCAACCATTCGTTGCCAAGTCAATCAGGCGCTTTAGCATTCAGAAGTCAAGCTTTCACACAACGCCTTTCGACCATCTGATCTTGCAGACTTGAGAGTGTCTTACCATTTCCCAACTTTGGCACACGCATGCCTGCCTCCAAAAACCTGGCGAATGCCCCGATAGCACCCTGATCGAAGTGATTAAAGCAAATCTGTCCGTCCCATTTATGCAGGGTGAGAACCCAAAGAAGCCAGGCAAGCCGCATACGGTCAGGCTGTATTCCATTGCCTCCACTCGGTATGGTGACGACTTTGATGGGAAGACTGCCAGCCTTTGTGTCAGGCGTGCCGTGTATGTGGACCCTGAGACCGGCAAGGAGGATCCTGAGAAAGCGGGTATCTGCAGTAACTTCCTGTGTGATTCCAAGCCCGGGGACAAGGTGCAGATCACAGGTATGTAACTCGATGGTTTCTGGCCGTCAGAGAGTGTCAAAACTGTTTCTTAGCAGTCAGCGCAACAGTGCTGCAGAGTCTGGCTCTCAATTGATGTTTCAGGGCAATCAATCTGGAAGGAAGCACGTAATGACTTCGCAAGCACTTCGTTTACAGCAGACCTGAACTTGTCATGTAAAGCCGCGATTCCTCTCTTGTTTTGGTAAGGCTACTGGAGATTACAGAGGCCCTAGTAATTCCGCGTCTGTGCATCCTTGAAAAATTACAGCCGCAGACAATCCCAAGTCTCCTTTCGGTCCCGCGTGCTTTCGGTTGACTTTAGTACTCAGTTTCAACTGAGAGACCGCTGTATCATACATGACATCAGAGCAGGCAGCAATCACTGCTTGCTCCATGTGCAGGACAACTCTGATATTTGCTTCATCAACTGAGGCTGTGAAGTGAACCTGCTTGTATCCTATCCAAACAAGATTGCCCAAATTCCTCTGCAGGCCCCAGCGGCAAGGTCATGCTCATCCCGGAGGAGGACCCCAACGCCACCCACATCATGATTGCCACCGGCACGGGGATTGCGCCCTTCCGGGCCTACCTGCGGCGCTTCTTCATGGAGGACGTTCCCAGCTTCAAGTTTGGCGGGCTGGCCTGGCTCTTCCTGGGGGTGGCCAACACCGACAGCTTGCTGTACCACGACGAGTTCTCCAAGTACAAGGAGGAGTTCCCCGACAACTTCAGGTCAGCAGCCATAGGTGGTCCCTGCTGTGTAAGCAGATGCATATGGCATGGTCTTGGCGTTCCAATGTGACTCCGTGATTGTCAATTATCAGACTAAGCACAGAGGACTCCGCAATTCTAGCAGCTGTCGTCAATGTTCGAGGAATCTGCTTGGCTTTTGAATCATACACCTAGGTGGAGCTTGTAAGCAGGGACTGTGCCGAACAAGATAGCGGTGCTGATTGCTTCTTGGCCTCTCCTGCAGGTACGACCTTGCCTTGAGCAGAGAGCAGAAGAACAAGGAGGGCGGGAAGATGTACATTCAGAACAAGGTTGCCGAGTACGGGAATGAGGTGTTTGATATGTTGGACAAAGGTGCCCACATTTATTTCTGCGGGCTCAAGGGTATGATGCCGGGCATCCAGGACTCGTTGAAGCAGATTGCGGAGAGCAGGGGGGAGAGCTGGGAGGAGAAGCTGACGCAGCTCAAGAAGAACAAGCAATGGCACGTGGAGGTCTACTAGAGAGGGAACACAAGTATGAATCATTGGCTGTGAAGAGTCTGGAAGGTCAACGGCACATTCAATTGCTCATTCTTGGAGACTGCGCTGGGTAGGTTATACACTCTCACAGATCATCGGCGTTCGCTGGAAAGGTTGTTGCACAGGTCCGCAACATTTTCTGGTTGGACAGTCCGCGCAGGCGCAAGCTCGCAGTCAGGGGTCTGTTTGAGCTTCGAACTCTCGTTGGTTCCCTTTGCTTCAGATGTATTTGCGTTGTAGGAACCAGTGTTTAGGTACTTGTAAATGTTATCAGCATTTAAAAATTGGACCATTGCTGTCAGAAGCATCCTAACTGAAACTGGTTTCCACCACCGCGCGGCGTTGCAGCAGACAGAGTTATGCTCAATCGCCAGAGTCTAGCTAGACTCTTGCCTGATATTGCATCAATGGTCCACATCAATCATGTGCAAGCTCGCATGTCAGCATCAAGATGTACAGGTGGTCCGACAGACCTGCACTGCACATGTGTGCCGTTCAACACATGTTAATGCACATGCGCGGACCAGCCACCCCCCCAGTACTCACCTTATCTGTATGCATTTGCTTTATTCAGATTTGCTCTCTTCAGATTCAAGTCGTGGCCGGATCAACCGATCCAATCAAGTCCGAGTCTATGATTGTCCTCAAGTATAGGAATATTGACTGTTGGGCCCGCACTCAGCAAGGCACATTTGGCACTGACACTGAAAGAGCAACATACCTTTGACTCCAGATCGCGCCAACACACATGTGCAATACCTAGTGGAACACCCTTCCGCATTTCAATGAAGTAGTCAAGTCGATATTGTTCACACATGTGCAATCATCGTCGAACCTTGGTGCAACTCAAAAGACAACTTAACTACACATGCCATTCAGCAAACTGCATGCAAGAACGGGGTACGGATGGATAGGGAAGCTGCCACCAAAGGAACCTGGTTATTACTGTGGCTTTAGCTTTTGTCGTTTGCAATGAAATCGTCGAATCCTGCCAACAAGAGAACACTCTGTCAGTACTGGCTAACTTTGGTCTTTCCAATTGCAGAGAGATAGGCGATATGGATGCGAGCATACAAAATAAACGCAAACGAACAGTATGGAGAACGTGGGCAGTGGGTGATGGCCGTGCAAATCCAGGTGCTTAAAGAAGTAGAGCGCAGGCTCACGAGGCCCTTTGCTGGTGCACGAACGGACCACAATATTACATCAAGAATCGACCAAGTAGCTCAATCATAGCCGTCCAGCAGAGGTCCTCTCAGACCAGCCGAAGTCCGCACCTGACAGAGACACGGGAGTTGCTGCGAGCGAGTCCAGGAGTTGTGACACGTGGGGGTCGGCCGTGATGGCTGCCAGGATATCATCCACGGGAATGTCGTCGTCCGTGAAGAAACCGTCCCCCAAACCCACCCCGTCGCCCCCTCCCCAGTCCGAAGCGTCCCCGGGAATCTCGCTGCGAGCACAGAGTCGACTGGTCAGCATGTGCGATGTTCTTTGTGTAAGTTCGAACCGCCATCTCAAGACTCGAAGCAGCGGTTGGCCGTACAAAATTTGCAGGTGGAAGAACGATAGCTACGGCTTTGTGCCGCTGAGCTTCTTCGTTTCTGGATCCTGGATGGACCGTGGGCACAGCTTCGACAAACCTCTTTGAACAAGCTGAGTCCGAGAAACGAAGCAACAGCAAAAAGCAGCCGGCACAAGGCAAACCTCCACTGGACGCTCAAAATCCATAACGCCCTTTTCTTTGCAGACAGGATTGGTGGCTATGACAGGACCAAATCGTTGATGAGCATATCAAAAGAAACCACTTAAACGTTTACAATCGAGCACACAAACTCTATTGCCCGGAACCATATTGATGAAAGATGTAGGTACAAATGTCGAGCAGGCAGGACGAAGCGAGAAGCGGCCCACTCACAGCCCGCCAAGAGGATCCCCATCCCCCGCGCCCTGGCCCCCCCCGTGCAGGAATTGCGTGATGTGGCCCGCAATCCTGGAGGGCAGGTCCAGGTCCTTGCTAAACGTGTCCACCACCAGCGCCCGGAAGTCAGCCTCCGCCATCGGCTCCTCCCCCGGCAACTCTAGATGGTCCAGCAACCCCGCGTCGCTCTCCCGCCCGTCCTTCGACCCGTCCCCTTCTGCGCTCTGGCTGCTCTTTACAGGGTCATCCGTAAATAAGGCCTTCTTTGGTTGCTTTTCCGGCGCGCCTGCCGGCTGCCCCCCAAACAAAGCCCTGCTTGGGGACGCCCTCTTGGGCGCAGGCGCAGCCCCCTGGCCGTCCATCTTTCGTTTCCGGGGGGTCCCTTTCCTGCCTGCGTGGGGGCTCTTTAGCGGGGACGCCTTCGCCCTTGCTGCGGCCCTTGCACCCCCACCCTTTGGAGCTTTTGGAGGCGTGGAGAGGTCTACAGTTTCAGGGCGCACTGTCGTCCCTCCGTCTTTGGACGAGTTTCGTTGCTGAATGCTATCAAGCAGTCCAGGTCGCGGACTCTCCAGAGAAGGCCAAGTTTGGCCCGCACTCATCCCCACTCCACTCTCTCCAGCTGGCTGCTCATATGCGGGGCTGCTCCTCCCTGCTTCCGGCACCTGGGAAGACGGCAGAGGTTGGCCTGCCTCGTCAATATTCAATTCAGGCCCTTGTGGATGAGACGCGCTTGGTTCAGCGACTGTGGACTGCTGGGCCTGCTGCGGACCTCCATGGGTCCCCTCCAACTGTAGTGGCTTATTTACAGGGTGAGTGGTCGGCGAACCCCCTAGGTTGCCAGATGCTTGCGCGGCTGAGAAAGGCATTGCGGGCTGCTCTTGGAAAGGAACCGCTCCAGGATAGGCGGCTTGTGTGGGAGCGGGCTGAGACGTGCCAGGGCTGTGATGGAGGGGAATAAAAGTTGGCGCAGGCTGTGCGGACGATGTTGTCATAGCAGGATCATTATGCGCGCCAAAAATTCCCCCGGGCGAGCGGCCGCTGCCATTCTCCGGGGGCGTTTGCACGTTGGTTGGAGGCTGGAACAACCCTAGGGGGGAGGGGGAAGAACCGGGGACGCCAGGGCTTGAGCTGGGGGCAGGGTTCAACGGGGGCGAAAGCACATAACGGCCCTGGCCTGGCTGGGGCCACATGGAACCGTTCTGCAGAAAAGTTGGGGGGTGGCTGCTAGGATGCGGAACAGGGGCCAAAAACATGGGTGGGCCCCCATTGCTGGCCCCACTTTTCCGGGACTTCTTTCCCCGCTGCTGCCGAACATTCTCCTTCCCAAGAGACTGCTGCGATAGGCCTCTTCTGTCGGGGTCGGTCGACTGACCGGCGACGTAGTCTGCAATCAAGCAGTAAAGAAGTGTCTCATTGTGTGGAGTCCCAGAGCAGGCATGTAGCGATTATAACACCACCAACACAGCGACCACAGACGGCTTGCAGCTTTGCGTCTGCTGGTCAATCATTGCTACTTTGACGACACATTGTAGGAAACGATTGGACCGAGTTGTCAACTTAAGGGTGCGCAGTCCAACCTTCGATGATCAGCAAACACATGGACATGGGCGCAAGGTCAGGTTCACAGATGCCCACCTTTGATGCTTCCAGGTCTAAAGTCTTCCAAGACCCCATAGAGGTTGCGAAGCAACTGGTCGGTCCTAGCTTTCTCTGCCGCCGCTTGAGCTTCAAAAGTCTTGAGGTTAATGTACTCGCTGAGGATCACGGTCAAGCTCCTCATGGACTTCGGCTGGAACACAGAGCGCTTCTCCGTTAGTGTTTACTCGTAGTGGACACCAGGAACAATCTAAGAGCCTACAGAAAAGGTTTAGGTCGTTTACCAAAGCCATTCTGAACAAGCACAGGAAGTGCAAGATGGCAGCAAGCCAACGTCAATAAGCGGCATGATGAAAAGTGCAAAAGCAAGAGAGCATGCATAGCAGCTCATTCAAAAAAACTCACTGTGCGGACGGTAGACAAAAGATGCCCAGCTTCAGTCTGAAACTCCTGCAATGCTTTGGGGAACCGATTCTCCATCAGGTACTGCTGCACGAGGCAGGCCAGCTCAATGGGCGTGATGGTGGCTGCCTCGGGCGGCTTACTGACGGAAGGGGCTCCCATTCTAGGAGCCATCTGGGCATCCTGCAAGGACAAGCTGATCGGCCAGTGCCTTGCCCAGAAGGAGAATATTGCGCAATAGGAATTTATCCTGATTCCTAACCACCGCCTTCTTCCGCCATTGGCTCGAGTTGCTGACTTTCTCTAGCATCTCTTCAATTTTAAGTTCAAAGTTCAGACTCCACTACCGTACCCGTGCTGCAGTACACAGTGCACAGTTGGCTCCCGCGAGTCACGACCCTTGAAGCCCGGGGCCGCAGCAGCCACCCCCGGGCCCCGGACGCAAGGGTCAAAGCCAAGTGATAATGCCCGGAGTCTGGCCCCGAGAGTGCTCCAGTTCAAATTTGGCGGGAAGGGACTGCTTCAACTTCAAAATCTCTGGCACACAAACCCTAAAACTTGAGCAGAGAGTTGCGCTTCCAAGCAGGACGGGAGCTTTTCAATCTGAGATTTCATCAGCATTGAGCGGTGCACTTCCAAGTTCCTACTGTTGTTGTGGTGCACTTCCCGTTTTCAAGGTTGACATCAGCAGTCTGAGCAAATGTACTCCGCATGCATTCAAAGTAAGTGCCTGGTGCAACCGGCCGTGCTCCTATAGAGCTGATGGACCCAGGCCGACTGGAGCGAGCATGCAAGGCTGCGCGTCTGCAGGCTCCTTGCAGTGAGGGGATGGTACTTCTGCTTGTACAGCGTCTCTTACAGGTTGGTGTTTCTGTATGATGCCTCCAGACACAATGCCACCCTTTTTACCATACCTTGAAAAAGTTTGCAATCGTAGTTTGTTTCAAACATTCAGCTTTTCAAGACATCAGCTTCTTTTGTTCTCCTCAAAGGTTCAGTACTTCCTTCTAACACTTGTATGTCTGAGTGGACTTCAAGGAGAAAGCGTCATCATATGGCAAATGCTGCAGGTGACTGGTTGAAACTTGTGTCGCAGATGTTGGGTGTGATCGGGGGCACTGGCATACATGGGCCTGATGAGGAGGGTGGTGCATTCCAAAATGCTTGTGACAGTATTGAGTTTATGAGCTCTTCCTAAGTATAATGCTGACATAGTTTGTTCATTCGAATTTGTTGTGTTGAAAGCTGTGTAAAGGATGGTCCGACCTCTGACTGCCACCATGTTCTTCTGCAGAACCAGAACGATGCTGAGACAGCTTGGGCTGGAATTGAAGCTGACGATTATGCTGAGCTTGTCAGAGAGTTGAAAGCGCACAGCCATCAGACGCGCGGGCGGGACAACGTAGAAAAAGAAGAACGAATCAGGGACGCCATTGTGGATGCGCAGCTGCTGTTTCCAGACGTTAACCTGCGGCCGGCCTTGGAGCAGATTCTGCAAGTAAGTGCGACACCTTCTTCCTCGCAGAAACTTTCCCGCAGATGAATTGCATTTCAGAGTCCATCGGTCAAGGACATTGTCGGAGGAGGCCAGGTCCGTCCATAATCAACCTGTGCAAACATTGTACCGACAGCATTTAGCCGGAGGGGCAATTTGACGGGGTTGGCACCAGAGCAGGTCTGATCTTGAACAGATCTTTGAGAGGAAGGCAATGTCCACAGCTTTAGCCCCTTCTGTGCACCTGCCAGAAACTACCTTGAACTTGATAGAAGGTCCCTTTTTGACACACCACCAAGTTCAGGATTGATCTGAGGTCTTTCAACCACCTGTGTCTTGTTGAATGGTGCGTCACCTGACTGGAAACAACCTGGCCAGAGAAGCATGTGCCCTGTCCACTGTCCAATCATCTTTCTGCTGTACTGTTGCAGCAGTACGAGTGGGACGGTTGGCCGTTTCTCAGCAACAACCAGCATGCAGAGCTCAAGTGCGTGCTGGCAGGGATGCAAGAAGGAGGCAGGCTAGAGCAGCCCTTTGCACCCACACCAACACGGGCCTCTGCAGCGGGCCCGAAGCAGACAGCAGCCGCTGGAGAGCGGAAGAAGAAGGCCACTCGGGGCAAGGTGGTCACAAGGAAGGTGGTGCAAGAGGAAGAGGGGACGCCCAAGCTGCGGGCGCTGCCCTTCAAGCCGTGGGTTTCATGGCCGGCCGTGTACCACAGTAGTTGTGGGGCCTGGGAGACGCCTGACTCCGAGGAGGAACGTTCTAACTCACAAGAAACCCCGAAGGAGGAGACGGTGACAGCAGGGGAGGAGTCGGAGGAGGGGAGCAGCGAGAGTGACGTGATAGTTGTAAAGAGGGGGAGAAAGAGGCAGAAAAAGAAAAAGTGGCCTAAGCGGGCGAAGGCAAAGGCATCCGAAGTAGAGCCGGCTGAAACTCGAGTCGGGGCAATTACCTCCGAACAAGCCGAGCAAGCAGCCAGCTTCCTGAGCCACTTCAACTGCGCCCCAACCCCAAAGTCCCCCAGTAAAAGGCACCCCGTCCGGCCAGGGAGAAAAGCACCGGCTGAGTTTGAGCCCCCTGGTTCGCCCCTAAAGCAGACAAGCATCCTGAACTTTGTGTCCGTGCAATCCCCCAAAGTTGCACCGGCATTGGCAGCGGGGCGTCAAAATGGTGGAGGGGGGTCTCTAGAACAGACGACGGAAAGCCTGGGCATAGTAAGGGGGCTGGACGAAACCTTTGCGGGGCCGACGCGGCCGACAAGCGGGAAGAGGATGGTTATAGACACTTCGTCAGACGAGTCTGACGTGGCAGAGCCCAGCCGACAGCAGAAACGTGAGGCAGCGAGCGGAAAGCCCTGTTTAGGCGGGGCACGAAGTGGTGCAGAAGGGCCGTCTGAAGCGGGAGGCGCATCACGGGTACCACAGCAGCCAGGGTTTGGGACGGCAGTCGATGGGGGAAAGAGCACACCAACACCGGGATGGGACGATCGCGGGGTTGGGAGCAAGGGAGGTGTGAGGGGCCGTGCTTCGAAGCGGCAAGCGGTTGTCTTTTGGGAGGAGCAGTCAAGACGAGAGACGCAGGGGGAGGGGCGCCGGCAAGAGGGCAGGAAAGGAGGGGAGGCCTGCAGAAGGGAGGGGAACAAGGCTGGAGACAAAACCAGCAACGGGCCATCCGGGAATGTTCGGAAAGCGGGTCTGCTGAGCCCTGACTAGACCCCACTCCTCCCATCCTCGATGCAACCTGTCGCTGCTCTCGACAGTCCCTATGCAGCTGGCTTGTCGTTCAGGCTGTCCCTTATGTTCACGCCCCCCCACCCAGTGGCAGCACCTTCCAGGAAGCAACGATTCAAGGGCCGGCCGTTCAGTAACACCAGTTCGGCAGCTGGAGAGGGAGATCCACCTTCGAATCCAAGCTCGAAACGGGACGACGCTGCTAGAGGTGGGGACGTCGTAGAGTGGCTGGAGGGGCACGTGGTCGGGAACGGATTGCCCTGGCTGTGGGTGCCACGTGGTGGCCAGGGGCCAGCCAAAGCGGAAATCGTCGATCCGGACAGCGCAAGAAGGGGCGGGCTGGCGAGCAAGCCTTTTGAAGGGAGGCTCGATGGAGCTGTAGGCCGGAAATGGAGGGGAAGGGAGGGACAGGGATGAGGGAGAGGCGTCTGCGGCGCCCCCGCGCAAAGGGTCTTATTTAAGCGGTGTTGAAATTGGAGGCGGCCGCGGCGGCCCTCATGCAAAGAAGCAGATAAGGGCTGACTTCAATCGGCGTCACGGGCGTGTAGGTGTTCCGTAGGGGAAGAACGTGAGCGGGAAAGGAGGGGGACGGACAGTGGCTTTCGGCACGATGTTGAGAAGGTGGGCAAGTGGCGCGCCTCATTTCGGGCCCAGCCCGCCTGCTGCAACGGCAGGCCACCGGGGTTCGGGGCTGGGCTTGCACACCACTGTGGCTATATGGGCTGGGAAACCGTAAGCGAATCATGCTCCTTGGGGCCCATATCCGGATCGCCCCGGCCAACAAACAGTGGGTATCCGCACTGGGGTCCGGAAACTCGCCCCTGGCCCACGAACGCTCCCCAAGTGGAGCCAGATTGATACGGAGTTGTCACGGGTTTGGAAGACGAGGAAAGTGGATAGATCCGGGACCATGTCGTCGGAATAAAAACAGCCGAAAGTGCGCTTGCCGATGAGGTAAGTCGAAGAGCACGCTGAGTAAGCAGTCAAATGTCACGTTCCTGAAAAAGATCGTATTCAGAAGATAGACGTAGATTACTCTTTCAGCACAATACGGAAGCTAGTACGGTGATACTAACTCAGTGATTGACCCGGTCAGAATTGGTCGAAGGAGGACTTTTTACTGGATACTACCGCTTGAAGCAACAAACTGCTTTGAGGATCTGCGGTCTTCACGGAGCAATCCTTGTGACCACCGGCAGCCTAGGTGTACATACCTACTAGGCTAGCTGTCCTTCAGTTTACGTCCGCGTGCTGAAGGTTGTGCATGACAAAACGTCTTCGTTTGCAAAACCTGGCGTGCACATATCATTTGTGTTGGATCGATGCAGCCATGTGTCCGACAATTTCATATGGAGTCCCAATCAATGCTTCGATCTTCTCCTTGAGCGCGCGCAACTGCTGGCAGACAACGTGCGAAAGTCAGGCCCTGGCTGCATGGCATGACCACACTGTGCAAGATACATGCATATGCATGAATGTCACTAAGAATTGTATAATGACGTATATACATGTGTGCGAGCTGCCGGAGGCGCCGGCAGCGGCGCCCGGCCCGGCCAAATTACGCTGTCAGCATGTAACATGCCCGGCATGTATGTATGGACCGGCGGCCCATATGGGCGCGGCCCCAGTATCTCATGTCCATGTGAGCCAATCGAATATATAACGGCCTCAGTGTGCTGAGCGCTCCTGCGTGCTATGGCAACTATAGCTCCGAATGCAGAGGGCGGCCGGAATCAATCTGACATGCTTAGAGGTGGACCATCCGCCGCGCTGTCTCACAACTCACGCGTACGGTTGAGTAAGTAAGGATGGCGATAAATTTACCAACTTGACCCGGTGGAGATTGAATTGAAACCAAGCAATTTTCGAAGAATCAACAATTGCTGTTCACTGTGGAAAGTGCTTGAAGATGTATCACTATCTTCAGCAATGTGCTCCTAGATGGCTACACTGGTACTACCAAGAAGCGTCTATCAGCAGTAACCACTTAGGTATGCGAGACCTGCTAGTACATGTGTATATAATTCAGTATCAACATCCCCAAGTGGTCAATCATCCTCTTTTAATGTCTTCTATCAGCGCTCATCCTCCGGGAATGGACCAGACCGCGAGCTCTCTCTAATACAACCTGCTTACCCACTTTCGTAATGTACAACTCAGAGTATCCTCTCCTTAGTCGTCCATGTTCAGTTACATACACTAGCTCGGCCGCTTAGGACCGTGATCAATTCGTTCAAATCTGTACACCAAGTTCTTCCTCCAGCAACCAGCATTCTGCCAAACGTCAAGCAGCCCTGAAAGCTGCTGACAGAGCCCCCCACGAGCTCTAGAACCGCAGACTGCCTGCTGCCCGTGGATCCTCGGGTTGCTCAGCCATACCTTCCGTTCTATTTCCTACACCATACCTAGTCTTCAAAGAAGCGCTTCTACTCACACACCCAAGTGCACTTCCACGGTCCCGCATCCACCTCAAGCGTGCAGCCCAAAGCCTGCCCTCTGTTGCTGCTTCTGCTGGTGCTGCAGCACCCGCTGCTCGGTGCAGTGAGCCAGGCGCGCCGTCAGCGCGTCGTGGTAGCGCCGCAGCCGGAGGCCGTCGGCCGGGGACAGCACCAGGGGCTCCCTGCTCGTCGTGTGCAAAGAGGGCGCCTCCGCCAGCAAGAAGTGGAACAGCGCGGCGGCCTTCTTGTACGCGACAGCGGCGTTGCTCACGTTGTTCATCAACTCTTCCACCTGGGGCGGGAAAATGTAACGGCGTCAAGGAGTTAACAATCCGAAATCCGCTTTTGGCCATAGAAGGAAAGTTGCTCCAGAGCCTCGACACTAAAATGTGAGAAGGTCCACAAGATGTACTTACATGCATAGCTGCCGTCTTCGAAGAAGGCAAAACCGGGGTCCAGGCGACGCCTGAGCATTCCGCCCAAGCTTCCAAAAGATGAACAGCACTTTACAAGGCCGTCACGAAAGAAGACAATTCGCTCCAGTGTACGAAGTTCAAAGCGGATCAGCATCTCAGCCGGCAAATTCCATGGCAGTCGACCAGTCCTTAAGAAGCACTTCAGTTTTCCACCCTCACCGCGCCGGCCCTGCCCACTGCGAGCGCGGCCTGGAACACCAGCTCCATGGCGTCGGGCACCTCGGCCTCCCGCTCCGCGCCCAGCTCCGCCGCCACCGACTCGGCGCGCTCCACCGCCAGCAGAAACTCGCGCTCCACACTCGCGCACGCCGCCTCGGGGCCCCCGTCAAACAGCATGCGTTGGCTGCTCAGGCTGCCCGGGAGCGACGAGTCCGGGAAGGGGGGGGTATACGACGTGGAGTCGTCACCGTCGAGGGTCTCGGCCCAGGCGTGGCACACGGTGATGGCCTCCCGCCACGCCGCCAGGCACAGCAGGTGCAGCGACAGCGCCTCCGGCCGCTGCTCCGCCTCCAACTAGGAGCGGGCAGGAGAGGGCGTCAGGAAAGGCCGTGACTTACGACAAAGGTGTCTCGGCTTTCTGAGAGACGACAGGAAGGGAGCCATGCTTTATGCAGGCAGACGAAGCAGATGCGTGATCAGGACAACGTGCTTGATCGGTTACTTGACACTTCCGAGCGTTTTGGCCTCAGTTTTGAGGTGAGAAGTGCTTCGCCAGATACCGACTGTTCGAGACAGTCGGGCTGGCTAAGAATAAGTACCCTTCCCGTACCTTGTCAATTGCCAACTCCGTAATCAGCCGCGCGCAGCGGTGCAGGGACGCGATGCGCGCTGGGGGACTCGGCGCCTGCTGGGCGTCCTCCCTGCCGTCGTGTGAATGGCCCCGGCTGCCTTCGCTGGCGGCCTCGGCCAACTCCACGCGGGGCCCTGTTCCCACCTCGAACGGCGGCGCCTGCGCACTCGGCTGGGCAGAGACCGGCGCCTGGCCCAGCCCGCTCTCTTGGCCCATCTCAGAGGAGGCCTGCAGCGGCCCGTGGATGACGACATACTCTCGCTCGATGCCCTCCATCGAGTCTGCCGAGCCCCGCCCCTTCTGCAGCGAATCAACCGCATGCGCCCGTTGGGAGCCCCTGTCCGGAGTGCGACCGTTCGGCTGCTGGTGTGACGGCCCCCCTTCCAGTCCGCTGCCGCTCTTTCCCGCCCCCGGATTCGTAACCGGCCCCTTGGAGTCCCAGTCTCTGCTGCCATGCTTCAGTGCATACTCTGCCCCCCCCGAGCTGATGCTCCTGCCCCGACTGCCCCCATCGTGGTGGAAGGGGCTGCTGCTGAGGGGGGGTGGAGGCTTCATTGACGCGATGTTCGGGCTGCCCTGCCTGGCCGGGTCGGTCCGGTGGCCACCCGGTTTGGGCCTGGAGGGGTTCGTTTGCAGATCGAGAGGGGAGGGCTTTGCCGCAGCGGTTTCGGCGTCGGGCGCGCTCCGTCGTTTGGGAAGGTCGAGGAAGGGGTGGTGGAAGAACTCCTCAAAGGACAGGCGCTCCACTGACAGAGTAGGAAAGGAGAGGGTCAGCATCGTGTGAGTCATCATGTAAGGATCTGGGCCAGGTGTTTACTTTCAGCTCAGGCGAGGCAAAAGAGTTTAGTGCTCCATTCATAAGTCCAAACCGAATGCACAACACAAAGGGTATTACCAAGATGCATCGCGAAAGGCAAAGACCCTCTTTCTTTTGGACCAAGTTCTTTAGTATCTCTCGAACACGCATGCGGAAACACCGGCAGGCCATCAAGCGGGCATACTCATTGATGGCAGAGGGCCACGAGGCTTACCTGGATTGCGCCGAAGAAGGAGGCGGATCATGCTGATGCAAGCGTCAGACAGGCTGGACGCAACACCGTCTGGGATGCGCGCCTCGCTGCGCTCAATGTTGCGAAGCAGCTGCAGCGAAGGAGCCGCAGAAAGTCAGCTTTTACCCGTCTCTGGTGGGCAAGTCTGCACTGCCTAAGGTTTGGGTTCAAGGGGAAAGCAGTCTTTCAAATGATGCAGGGGTTGTTCTCATATTCGTGCACTTTGCACCATCACTTGGGGTGAGCTTGACATTGACGGACCACTCCTGCTGTGTGGTTTCAGGAGCATTTGCAAACTTTCAAGAAGCAGACAATATAAAGGAGGATGGAGCCTACCTGGACATGGTTGGCTCCCCCAAAAGGTGGCCGGCCAGTGACCAACTCAAATAGGATGGCACCTACGCTCCAAAGGTCAGCCTGCAAAAAACAGACACAGAGTTTGGCAAACCCACAAAAGGACCCTTAGGAAACTGGATAAGACAACCAGAGAGGAAGACAAGGTAAGGGGGTTGGGAATGATATGCAGTTCGTTCACTACATAGCATACAAACAGGCTGAAGTTATCGTTTGTCCAGTATCTTTTGAAAGGAGGGCTTACCTTGGCGTCATACTTTTGGAACTGCAGAATTTCAGGCGCCATGTACAGGGGCGAACCACAGAGTGTCTCTGCCAGGTTCTGAGGTTGAAGTGATCTGCGGAGTAGGAGCAATGTGAGGGGCATGTTTGGGGATATATGCAAGTACAGTATGTGGCTGCAACAGAAACTTGTGTCCAACATGGGGCTTTGATACATTGAGAACGTCTGCAGAACCGTCTGTTGACAGGAGCTCACCTTGCAAACCCAAAGTCGGCAATCTTGAGGACAGCATTCTTCTCTTTCGTCAGAAGTAACAAGTTCTGCACATGAACAGAACGGGGACTACGTATTACATACAGAGCAAGGTCAATGAGAAGACCGGATCTGGAAAACAAAGTCAAACCACCAGTATCGACATGCTACAAAAGTCAACCAAAAAGAGGCATTAAGGGAGCAAGAAGGGTCCATTTCAAGGGCTAGCAACAATGTCAAAAAGCACATATGAGGTTGGCAGCCGGGCGCTGGTATACAATCCTGCCACATTGCTTGCTAAGACTGACAGGCACCGAGTCACCAAGGGGCAGAAGCACCTCCTTGGGCAGCTCCCCGAGCAGCCTGCCTTTCACATTCTTGAGTTATGAAGTAATGCTCTTTTTTTTATGTCACCTGAGGCTTCAAGTCACGATGGATCAGATTGTTGCTTCGGAGGATCTGAAGACCGGCCCCTGCAAACGAAATCGATATATGTCAGGCTATGGACAGTGACTCCTTTTTCAAGGAACGATAGGCCTAGTCTGGCACTCCTACCCTGCATTGTATCTCTCAGACAAGTCAATGCAGGGGCCTGCAATGGCACCTCACACTTCCACGCGTTTCCTGAGAGACGTCACTGCGAAGGCTGACCATTCCTGCCCACTCGCACCAAATGCAGGGCTATAAGACAGGGGGACACTCACTGTCTGTTTCATATTCCTCAAGAGTCAACATTGTGGAGTACGAGCCCTCACCAAGCTGGCGCAGAAAATGCCGGGCAATGCTTTCTGGGACACGCCCGTTCCGCCGAATGAACTCTGATAAGTCACCCCCCGCGCAATACTCCAGAATGAGGAAGATGCGGTCAGGATGCTGCAGCGGCGAAAGCATGCACCAATGTCAAATGTAAACAAAGCCAGTCACCCTGGCAGCGGTACTTGTGAAAGCAAGGGGGAAAGCCTTTCTTGGAATGACGACACGACACAAGGACAATGTGCTTCGCCTGCGACAGCCATCGTTGCTATATACGCTTTGAGGGCTCGGTCCAAGTAGGGACCTGCCTTGTAGCATCAATATCAGCTTCCCTGGCCAGCATTCCTTGAGCAGCAAACGGCAACAAAGAAAAAGAAGGAAGTAACATGTGGCCACTCAGCAAAACTACAAGCTCACTGAACTTCAATGCAAACTTGGCCCACGAAAGCAAACCAGGAGAATTTAGTAGAGACTTTCTCCATTTTCTCTTTGGACAAACGACTTCTTTGAACAAATGAGGCGGATCAACATTCCATATGATGCTTCTATGCTTCTAAAGACAAACCGCAGAAACAAGTTTTGAAGATAATGAAATGCATTGTTGGCGCATAGCTCAATTTGAAGGACCAAACTGGTGTATCAGAGTCAAGGTGCACAACGTTCCTTCGAACCAGCAGATGCTTAGCATACCTTGACGATTTCAATAAGGTGGATGATATTGGGGTGGTTCGCTTTCTCGAGGATAGCGATTTCTGACTCCAGACTCTCCCTCAGCTTCTTGTTGAGCTTCTCTGTGGCTATCTCCTTGATGGCTACCTCCCGCCCAGTCTCCTTGTGCCGGCCCTTCCACACAACAGCAAAAGACCCAGAGCCTATTTGCTGGGTCACCGCATAGTCCCCAATCATGCGGGACTGTCCCTGACTTTGTTCGCCTGTCGGGTTCTGCATCGAAGCAGCTTCCGGGAGCCGGCCCAACCCCTGCTCCGCCATTGCACGCTCTCTGGACTTTCACAAGAAGCTGAAAGTCAGCAGCGAGAAGGAACTGGAAACTTAGGTGCTACGCCCCATATTACCAGCAAGCACCCGCCTTCCTTGTTAATGCTGTTGTGCACCATCCCCATGTGCGTGTGATTCACTTGCCGAAAACCTGGTCCTTGCAGATGAGAAAGCCAGCAGAGACAAGATTAAAGAGGAGCACAGCACCCGCCCACAGAAATTTGATGACTGGCGGACTGGCGAAGGTTTGAAGCACTTTCAAGTTCAACTGAACCTTGATTCGCCCAGGCCTGCACCTTGGCTGCCAAATGAACCCTAGAAGGGCAGTGATCTGTGTCCATTCGATCGCGGAGTGGTGTCCTTCGCGGGACATCGAACGGTCCAAATCTACACGAGGGTGCCCCGATGACATTGGTTGGCACAGATCGCAGGCTTATCGAACGGATTGGAAACTGACCACGTGATTGATCGAAGGGGCGAGCTGGAAAGCTAGCTGATCGATTACCTACCTACTTACTAGTGACCACTGCATGACAGGCCGCCCCGGGTGCACACTGCAGAGTTCTGACAGAGTTTCATCTTGGTATTGCAGACCTAGAGATGCGTGCATGCTTGATACGTGCATGAGACCTACGGTATACAGTGCCTGCAAATGTGTGTCGGAAGTGTTTGGCAGGAATCCAAAGTTACAAATGCTCCGAGTGAGTCATAGACTCGGTGTCTGATATAACGGCAAGTGACCATCTAATAAATCTGCACGTTTTGAAATACACAAATGTCTCCTTCGGCGCGGCACTCTGAATAAGTGGCAAGCTTTCTCGAGTCAGGAACGCAGGGCCTGCTCCGTGCCAAGGCAAAGTTGGTATGCACATGATGGAGTGCCAAAATGGGGTACCAACGAACCTTGCCGTCTCTTGTGGCACGCTCCACTCAGATCCCCATGAAGTGTCCATGTGATCGCCATGAGTTCTCCATCTCGCTGAAGAGGAACGGAACGACTCTGCATTCGTTCGAAGCATTCTTTGATTGCCGAGATACAATGGAGCTCAATGGACATTTTAGCGTCATGCCCTGCCAACCGTTGAACCTGTGTACGAACTTTGACTCTGCTTGAAGACGTCATGATTCTGCTTGACGACGTCATTGCAGACTCCTTCACCCCCCCTTCACCGTTCTTGGCAAAAACGGCGGTGAGTGTTCCAGCTACGCTACGAGTTGCCGCTGAAGACCTGCACGGAAGAAGTCCATGTCTATCTCAAAATTGGTCCAGAAGGAGACGTGCAGTTTGCACAACGAAGCACTTCAGCAATCGTTCCTTGATGGGAGAAGAACAAGAACGACCACGCCTATGCTTCAAATCTTCCACGCGAGTCCTAGCTCTGCCAGCATTTGTTCAGTACGCACTTGAATTGCACGAGGCAACGGGACCAAAATACAATCACCGGCAGACTTTCAATGTAAGCATACCTTGGACAATATGCTGCTTGATAGCAGTGGCCGAGGCTCTTCCTCAAGGGCCGCAACTGCCGACCGCTGAGGGAAGCGCCGCCTGACTTTGACGGCCCCTTCGCTTGTTGCGGCAGCCGCCGTGTCTTCCCCTGGCGTACTAGTAGTTGCCTCAATCTTCCGCTGCAGAAAGTGGGAAAGGGGGCTTAAGGAGCAAGTACTTTGAAACCGATCACGCATGCCATGAGCAGCCTCCAGACATTTGATCTGAAGCAGAAGACCGTTTGAGCTCATCTCCGACCACAGAAATAGCTCCACAACCAGCAAGCGTAGCCTTGACGACGGCCCGAATATTTCTTTGGACGAGCACCCTCGGGGTAAACGTACAGCTTGCCTGATGAAATCCTTGCAAGCGGAGACCGTAGAGCTGTACATCAATTGCACCGAATTTTCATAAAAGGGGGCGATTCAATCCACAAAAAGCCTTACTCGCTTTATCACCCACCATATACAAGGTGAGGAAACAGGCATTGATGGGCTTACCTTTTTCCTTCGTTCGTCCATTGCTGAGAATGCGCGCGACTGGTCGACCTTGGCCAAGTAAAAGTCCCGCTCGCGCTTGGCACTCGAGATCTCGGCTGCCAGTCGTTGCTCCCTGACGGCGTTTCTATAAGCTGCAGACAGGGGAGCAATAAGTGGGCCGACAGCAATGTTTCTCGACGACCTGTCAAGCACTTGGACATGCTTAAAGGACTCGTTGAATTACCACCAATCGAAGTGCTTCATACACAAAGAAAACTTCCTGCTATGACAAATAAAAAAATTTCCTGATTCTCTCCGTGGCTTCAAATTCTTCTTTGTCCACCGACTCGACAAAGTAGCCAAGCTCGAAAAGCGCCCCTTGTCGGACAATGATCGAATGAGTGAGCTTTACACACAACATTTGTGAAGCCTCTGGTCGTTTGGACGCGCCACTCACCAATCTCTTCAGTGAGGTTGTCCCACTTGAACTTGTGCAGGTACTTGAGGTTCCACAGGTCGTAGTGGTACGCGGACCGCTTGGGCCCCCCCATGGGCTGCCCGTTGAGCATCTCCGCCACACGCTTAGCCACGCCCTTCTTGGCAAACTCCACCCACCTGTAAGTGGCACAAAGTAGGCTGGTGATGGAGGGCGAGAAAGCAGGAGCTTACGACCTTAAAGACCGCTTGTGAAAAGTACAGCAGATGGTTGAGTGGAGAGGCTTGATAAAGCATGAGCCCAACAAGGACGGCCTGTTAAAGTGGCCAACGCAGGATGCCGGAGAAAGGACAAAAAGCTGAGGGTAAGGTCCGCATGAGGCAACCAGGAACAAGTCCCCACACTGCCCACACTTGCTTCAAATCTGAGGACCCGTTCATAGTCAGATAAGGACCAAAATGCTAAGGTGGTTAATGAATGAAATGCATCATCAACTTTTCACATTCTCCAGATGGAACTTACCAAGTTTTCACAACTGGGCAGTAAGCCCAGCAAGCTAGACTGGCTTCTTGACAACAGAAAGTGTGAACAGTCAATTGCACGCTCTTCATGACCATCTTGCACTCCTCCATTGCCTCTTCGAGTAGCAGAGTAGTTCTCACCCTTCAGTGAAATTCTTCCCGCTGTCGCCCCCCGCCCGCTTTCTCCTGGCTCGAATCGCCGTATCTTCCGGCGCCAGGTAAATTCTCAAAACCTCTCCAAAAGGCTCCAGCATGTGCCGCAATTTGAGCGGTTTCAGATGTGGGGGTATCCTGCTCACATACACCACCCCCCGCTTCCGATACTTTTCTTTCAACTTCTCTAACTTCTCCTTCGACAATTTCTTGCTTCCAGCTCTCCGAACCCGCTTTTCTCCCTGTCTCACCCCCTCAGCTTGTTCGTCTTTCTCATCTTCATTCTCATCACCAGCATCTTCAAATGCGCTCGCTTCTCCGCCGCCTGATGGGCTTGGACCCTCTGGCCCCTCCGAACTGTCTTTGCTTTGATCAGCTCCAACTGCACGTGTGTCCAAGCGCTCTTCTGCTTGCTCCGATGCCTCTTGTCCTCTTTGCTCCTTCTTGAGCTTGCGTTTCATTTTCTTTTGCAGCTTATTGGCCTCTACGTCTGCACTTTTGTCTGGCTGGCCCGGCACATCCATCTCTTCCTGCAGATTACTGGTTCTCCCCATTCGTCGATGCTGGACGGTGGGGCAGCTCTGCTTGACGAACTCTTCTTTCTGTTGGCTTGGGCACTAGACTGAGGGGTCGCTTGAGACTATTACCAATCCTTCACAGTCCGGGGGCGCTCCAAAAGACCCTTTCTGCTCCTTCAAGGTACGCAAGGCATGGAGAGGTATTTTGCGACCACCCTGAACTTTGAAGATCGTGCGATGGACACCATAGCTGGCACAACTGGCACAGGTAAACTGGCGGGGGGAAATTAGTGCATCCGATGGGTGCGAGCAAGCAACTAGAGAAGTGCATTCAACTGTACCAGTACCCTTATCGCTCCCGTCTCTACCAACTAGGGCGCCGCAAACCAATTTCCGGTGTAGTACTAGTAGTAGTAGGTAGGTACCTAGGTCGATTGCATCATTGCTCGGGGTCTACCTACTGGTGGTTACCGTTACGGTAACGCTGTCGAATGGATCATGGTGGGCATGATCTCAAAGCTATGATCATTGGCATTCCAAATCTCGTGTCAGCGCCAGCTGGCATGGTTTCTAGCAAGAGGAAATTGCTCCTGTGTTGATCAGCTGATCAAGCGCTCGCAGTCTGGCAGCGGCGGCCTTCTCTGGGAGCCGCTCTTCATTACTTTTTGGTGAACATGCCGATTTTAATGGTGAGTGCCCACTGAATTGCTAGCACGCTGGCATTGCGAGAGGGCGGTGCGACCAGTTGCAGCTCAGCAGCTCCTCTTGACAGCACCAAAGGATGGCTTCTGCAATTGCGGTAAGTGTATCACTGTCAGTCAATCCCTCTCTCATTGAAGTCATTCAATCATGGCTCGCTTCAGCACATCAATTTTGCAAAATAAACAGCCCATCAGCAGGTTTTGTTCCAGGAGTGGACTACTAGGTGGATATTGCGACAGGAGAATGTGAGGTATGCAACTTTGATGACCAGGCAAATGTGACGTCATAGAGGGGTGCAAGTAGCGCCAAAGTGCAGTTTGAGCCATCCAGGTAGAAAATATCTTGGGGCCAGGGGCCTTGCAAAGATCTATGATGGTGTGCAAAGGTTTCCAATCCCACCGATGTTCGGATGAAACCATGAAAAGAGTGATGACCTGACTGACACGGAATGTATCTTGAGCTGCTACTTGTGTGCCTTAATACTTGCCAATCTGTTCCATGTCCTGTTGCAAAAGCTTATCAATGCTGCCTACCGTTCAGATTGCAAAGACGCTTATGGGCCCTGGGTCCAACCAGCCTCTGAGTAACCCCTGCCTCATCCACTTTTGGATTGGATATACAGGTAATGAAAAGACAAAGAGGTACTTCAACGATCGCGTCTTGACACATGCCATTCCCCATGAGGGCTCTTCAACTAACTTTGTACTTATTCTGGATTCTTGCTCCTGCCTCATCCTCGACAGCCGCGGCTCCAGTCCCGCTACAACACTCAAGGTGCGGCAAGGGTGACTTGCAGTCAACAGCGGCATGTGCTCCCTCTTCCTACGATGGCCCGCCTGGGGAGAAAGTTTGTCCCGCTGCCCCAGCCAAGACAAAGCTGGCCTCTAAGGTGGGTTGAAGGGCGCTAAGGTTCTGCCAGCCTCAGAAGCATGTTTCTCAAGGTTTCCAATCTCCCAACTCACCTGGTATGTCAAAAGGGTTTGATGACTTGCCATTCTTTAGGGTGTGGTACATGGTAAGACCTCTGTCATTTGCCTTGAGTTGCTTTGCTTGTCAAGTTTGCCTTTCTGATCGGCTAACATAATTAGAGCAGTTTGGCTGGGTGACGGCAGGGGCTAGTATTGGTAGATGCTTCCGGAGCAAAGGCTTCATTCCTTCCACATGGCAATCGTGAACCTGCCCATTTTGAACTCTATTAATTGATCTGTCCTCAGCCCAAAAGGGCTTCTAACACCGGCAGGCCACCAACCCCTGAAATCGACTGCTTTGAGCTTCATTCCTGCTCTCTTTCTTGTATGTAGGGCCCTTCTGCCTTCATCTTCAAAGCAGATTGGGTCAGCAACGCTGCAATCACAGTTTGGCATCAGCAGCAACACCAGTGGTCCGCTCCAGATGTCCTACAGCTATGGCTCCTCTCGTGAAACGGAGGTGAGGAAAGCCCTGAAGCAGCAAGCGCGTCTTCTGAAAACAATCTCTGGTCGTGATTGTTTGGTGCCACATAGCTGCTAGGAAACTGATCAAGCGCCGCGCCTGCATGCTCGAAAAAGCGCCGTTAGTCATGGATACAATCCGGATTGCAAACCGTCCAGATCTGGACTATGTGCTGTGAGTGAGACTCTGCTAAGTTCGATGCTTCATGTCACCGACAGAATTTGTGGTGCACCTACTTATAGAAGTCACCTTCCTTGTCCTTGGCAAAGTAGAAGTACTGTACGCTGTCGTATTCGGCTGAATCGAAGATCTGTGCGATCTCGAAGCACACCTTGTTTCTGCGATGGCGGAAACAAGAGAAGGGTTTCCGCCATCGCAGCGGCGAGCCCCTGTACACTGTGACTGATCAAATAATCGTATTATCTGGAGCCCAACGTATTCTCTAGGCAACGGAAGAATGTCTCCAGCCATCGCCACGGCACGCCAATGTCATCTAAACCAGCCCACTGCAACCTCTGCAGGGCGACATCCAGAAGTGGACGCTTCTGCAAGTGCGCGGCTGGGTCCTGGCCGCGTGCGCTCTCACCTTCTTGCTGGCGCCCGGCTACGTCTTCAACGAGGTGCTCCCGAACCTCGGAAGTGAGTGCACGTGCCTCCAAACGCACAGAAAACGGGGCACCACTTCTTGATCTGGCCCTGTTTTGATCTACTCGGACCATTTTCTGGTAGTCTGTAGTTTGTCCAGCACCGTCTCTGTAGTGTAAGAGGACTGTGCTGGACTAAGCATACGGAGTTCCATCCTTTCCTACCGGGACGTCCTGCTAATGTGGAGCGCATAGCCAATTTCAAGAGTTGCGCTGAAATTGCGTATCATTCAGGGCCACGCTGCATCCCGCCTCATCATTTCATTCACGGGTGTCGTTTCGCGGTTCCCACATTGTTTCTTCTCAAAGGGTTACGTCGACTGTTTCACAAAATCTTCCCTCTGATAGACCAGCAGCCCCTTTGAGATACTTTTCGAATTCTTGATCTCCTCTTTTCGGTCTCTCTCTGATTCCGCTTTCGCCTGCAGAGGTGTTCAAAGACCCGCGGGCCTACCCTGAGGTCTGGTCGTTCGGCCAACAAGCTAAGGGGGCAGTACGGCACCTCCCCACGCTCGCGCACTTTGCCGGGTGAGAACTCGCTGTTCCAACGAGTATTGGTGCTGTGGGAACGGTTGGTCCTTCAAGACGTCGTAGCTGATGCACGCGCCGTTTTGAAGTGTTTATACTTTTGCTGTCTCCGCCATTTGGCGCCCGAGACAGATAGCCAAACGCAGTTCTGAACTATGAGGGCCTAGCTCGATTTGTGAATGTAAATGGAAAGGCCACTGGAAAGAAAATGATGATAAAGCCAGCTCAACCGGTGCCTGTCGGCAATGAGCATGTCCTGCTCGTTCAAGGCAGCTTTCACGTCTTCGCCACCAATCAGCCGCCAATACGTTTCCCGTCTTCGAATTTGTGCTCTCCTAGAATCAGACTTACATGTCAACTTTGAATGCGGCTTTCGTTTCCCGTCTCTCAAGCTGCCACTTCCGAACTCAACTCCTCCCCCTGCGCTCTCATCATTTTCCAGGGCCCTGTTCTTCTCGTCCTCCGTGCTGGACATCCTGATTGCCCGCGCACGCTCCCACGAGGCCCTCCGCTTCAAGGTTGTGGGCGACATCCTCGCGTCGGTTATCTTGGTGGCATACCTTTCGTCGAGCATCATCTGGAACTTTTATCCGCGGAGCGACCTGGCACTCGTCGTGCTCTACTTGCTCCGCGGGCTGTGGGACCTCCGCATCTGGTTCGAGGAGAACTACGCAGACTGAGCGCAGGGCGGCGGTGATGTTGACATATGCTGAGCGCTGCGAGTTGACGTGTCGGTGTTAGCCTCTGTATATAGAACTTGCTGCGCTTTTCATCTCTGTACATAGAACTTGCTTCGTTGAATATTGTTGCCTTCAAATTGTTGTCAACTTCATGTACGCAAACGATCTAGGGTCACTTTACGTTTGACAACTTCCTTTAACTAGGGGCGGCTATCAAAGAGCGAAGTGTTTGAGAGTGCTTCTCATTGAGTAGTCTGCGTGGAATTACTTCAAATCCTCCCGAGATTCAATGTCGGAGAGTGCATTCTAGAGACTGCCCACTGCCATCAAGCGCTTGGTGACCAATGATTTTATGGCTGTTTTAGCACGTTATTTTTAGAATGATTATCGAAGATCGAAGGCAACGCCGTTGGAACCTAAAGCGATCGAGGAGAAATTAAGCCGACAGCCATTAATAGTCTACATTTAATTATCCGCCTATAGGACGGCCGCCTTAGATCGCGAGAGACATGTGCTGCCATGTGCGAATTTGCTATCATTCAATACAATTGTTAATTACCTGCAGCGTCACGTACAGGCCGTACACCGCGCGGCGTCCATACACATGCTTATACAACAGGCTCGCAACGTGTATCTGTACGTCAATTTTTCATGATTGCACATGATGATACGAAATGCGCCTAGCTAGCCGCCTGTTCCAATATCATGCACGCCGGGATTCGGGGACCGTCACATAGCTCGTATACAATCATGATCCTGAGCATAATTGCCGCCATGTGAGAGGGGTGTGCCTATATTCAACACCATGCATGCATGCGACGGTGCAAGCGCGGCGTGGCACCATGAGTTGAAGTTTATATAAAAGCGGGCCGTCATATGGCTATATATGCGTACAGCTGGCAACGATCAGGCTCTGGAGTTCAACTCAATGATAGCTTGCCGGACAGTGCGGGCGATCCGTCGAACCTCTGCAGATGATCATGGATGACCAAATAGCGCCCGGTTCTGTGCATCATTGCATGCATGCCGCCAATTACGACTTCGCTGGATCTGAAACAGATGAGGTGCATGGCACAGGGCCTACGCCTGAATCTCTACAGAAGGATGATTGAAAATCGACATTGACGTCCGATCAACTTACATAGGATAGATCTTCGAAGCAATCACAAAGTGCGGCCGCTTGCCACACCTCGTTTCTGTTCTGTTCAAGGCCGGTAGTAGCTCCGTGGCCCCAGCTCGTCCTCTTGCCGCCGCTTGAAGCTGCCAACCAGACACAGCAGAGAGTCAGATTGAAAACCGCGACCGTGTTAAAGCAGACCCCTCCGGGAAGCTAACAAATTCCAAGATCTCGAAAGCACCACTTTTCTCACGATCAAAAACCCATCAGGTGGTGATTCTAAGGGGCACAACAATCTCCTTGTCATCGTACTATTTGGGTCTCGCCATAACATGATGCCGCCTCCGCCCGACCAAACGACAGCCTGAAATAGTGCTCTCTTCCTGGCAGAGTGGCCGGGGCATCTCACCGGGCGTCCCTCTCGTCCTTGGCGTCAAGCGCCTCGACCTCCTTGTCGGTCAAGATCTCGTACATGGGCTCCCACTCCTCCCAGTCGTTCCGCTTCCTGCCAAGCAACACGTGGCAGGTTGGCAGCCGGACTACGTTGTATGCAAAAAGGAGCGAGCGTCTAACGAGATTCTCCTCCAGAGAGCATAAACGAGAGTTCCTCGGTGGTAGTTCCGCAGCAGGTGAGCACTTTCACCAGCCCGAGTTCAATTTACCGGAGCGAGGTTCATCGGATTGGAATTGGATGCGCGCGCAAAAAGCGAAAGCTCCCGGGCTGTTCGAATCATCGAGAAAGTCGTCAGCAGGGGCTATTGAACACCGATCAGCCGGCAGATCACAAAGTCGTTTGTCTGATCTGGTCAGGTGCACTCACGATTTTGGATCTCCCGTAAAGCAAGTTTTCAAAGGGTTGCAACCCAGCAGAGAGCAACAAGAGAGTTGTCGAAGGTTGTCGACCAGGATCTTACCTCACAACGCTTATTTTATTGTTGGGCCGCTTCATGAGACTCAGAGCCGTCGTGTCGCTGCACAGAGCGGGACAAAATGTGTCAAACGTGGTCTCAATACATAAGCACTGGAGAACGAAGAAAGAGAGAGGCGATCAAGGAGCCTTAATACAGTACTCAATTCAACTCGAGCCGAGGAGCGAAAGGCATCAGCGAGAACCCTGCTCGAACACCCACTGCAATTACGAGAAGCAGCATCGAAGGCGATGCAGACCTTTGCTTCGCTTCAAACGCGGAATGACGCTTCCATTCAAACCGGGACTGATATGCGGGGCATCAAAACCGCCGCGAAAGGTCAAAGACGCGACAATTGGTGCTCACCCGACTTGGCTGTAGTCTGGAACGCCCTTTTCTCGACGTGCCCGTTTGCTTATCCGGCCTTCCCGCCCCATCAGACTCTGCTTCACCATCTGCAAAGAGGCGCCCCCCCTTAGACCCTGGATCAACGGTGCAATCCGCGATCTGGTCTAGTTACCGGAAAAACTAAAGCAGCAGACGACGATATCTTCACTCAGACTCGCTAATAGCAACTCGGCAGGCCTCCAAGTTTTCTCAACCACTGAGAGCTTTCCTAAGGGCGCCCAAAAAGAGCGTAGAGCAGCTGTGCGACGATTACGCAAACAGGCCTGCTCGAAGCTTGAACGAAAGTGTGAAAGTCGATACCTTTTAGACACGAGACATGCTGAGGACGACAAGTGATACTCGAGCTAGTCAGGAGGGGTCAGGCTTCGAAAAACATCTCGTCCGCTGAGAATCAAATGGATCCTAGGAGGTAGTGCCATGCCCCCAGAAAGCAATTGCATGAAGAGGACACGAATTTGAAACTTACTTCGTAGAGCTGCTCCCGGATGGCCAAGGCTATTGCAGGCTGCGGAGAAGGAATAGAAAGAGCGTCGGTTTTGCGTGATCGTCCCGGCTCCTTTTGGCAAAGCAAGAGACCAGACGCTCAACAAAGCACAGAGGCTGCAAGTATCACGACTTAGCTGCCCGTTCGACCTGGAAACCGAGCATGTCAACAAGGAGAGGATCTTCATGTGAGTACATGTTCTCACCCGCCGGTCAAAAGCGTCAAAACAGGTCATCTAAGATCGTGCAGGAACATCTCCCGCACGATAACACGGATTTGACTTTTTATGCAAGAAGGCCGTGGTGAAGCTGGCCCTTACCGCCACTTCCGGATCATCTATCTCCAAATCCCGAGCCAGGCTCTCCGCAAACGCCTCTGGGTCGCTGTCGTAGTTGTTGAGATCCTGCACAGCCAAAAGGCCTCAATGCTGGCTCAACGCTGGCGCGTCAGTCTGAACTCAATCAAGCTTTACAGCAGGAGGGATCAGTCAATCGCATGACAAGCTAAGATCAACGGCGATGTGTGCGTACACGGCAGCTAAGTAGCTTTGAGGACTGATTGACGCCTTACCCAAAGGAACTGGTCCTCTATGTACGTGTTGTTTACCCGCACCTCCAACTGCAAAAGAAAACATTCGAGTGATGTTTCTTAAAACTTGAGTTATTATTTTATTTTAGAATGATCGAGTGTTTGCTGCAGTTTCGGGGATATACTCATGCAGTCCGGCAAGAGAAGACCCTCTGACGCAACAGTTTGAAACGATGCAAGAGGATCGACAAGACAACGGCTGCTACAAAAGTTGTTGCATCGAACTTCCAACTCATGTGGGATCAACCGAGGAACGGACTGCAGCAAATCAAGTTTTCAAGATTGGAAAGTTTTGCAAGAGCTCGCGGCGACAGAGTGGGAAGAAAACGGCGCCTCTGCATAGGAAGCCATCGGGATCTTCTTAAATTGCCCATAAGAGCATCACCGGCGAACACAGCAAGAAGTTGATGGGAATAGGGCTTGGACCAAACTCGACATGGTTTGTTGTTCAGAAGTGGGCTCACCTTAATTTGGCGAATCTTCTCTACGCCAGCCGCCGGAGCAGGCTGTGCTTCATATGAGCGGAACTCAGCCAATTGTGCCTGTGTATGAATTGCATCAACATCAGCGGAGTTACGTAGAGACTGTCCTCGTCTCTTACCAACAAAAGCCAGTGCTGATCCAAACGGTTGGCACCTCCAAGCCCCAAAGTCAATGTGCAGCTCTGAAGATGTATGCCTTTCTGGTCTAAGCATCAGAGAAGGAAAACGAACAAGGGTGGCAATAAGTCACCTGGATAGACTGGGAGACAGGATGGGCGAAGGCGCTGGAGAAGCCTGCCTCCTTGACCAGCCGCTTTGCAAAGGGCTGGATGGTGGAGTCTGGTTCTGCGGCACCAAACCGCAACATGAAAGCTATGCATCGAGGTGCCAGCTCTGCAGTTGCGGACAGCTGCTCCATACACTTGTCACTGGTTCTTGTACCACCCCAAAATACAGAAAACAACTTGGGGATGCAGAACATTCTCTACACAGGGACGCAACTGTGGCTCTGAAATGCTTTTCGAAACCAGGGGATATCATCAATTCCATTCAGGAGCTCGATCCGGTCCTACTCACCATCAGCATGCCATGGGAATGCATCCTTCAACCTTCTCCCGTCAAGTTCAATGTCGATCCTAATGGGCACCAAGTTTTCAGCCGTGGGCCTGAAGAAAACAAGCAATGTATAATAGATTGGCTAGGAAGATGATGTCAGAACAAGGAGACCTCCGCAACCATTGCTAGCACCATCAAAGCTGCACCAAGCTGCTTCACAATGCCACTCGATTTGCCATGGGGCCAATTCAAGGTAAATAAACAGCGACCCATATTGATCGCATAGTATTGCTCAATGGCAGAGACAGTGAGACGTATCAAAAAATGGCAGAACCCTTACATACGGAACTTTTGTTCGGCCACGTCTGATAAGCCCATACTTCTGCACACACTCTCCCCAATCGAGATCCCCAACGAGTTGACTCGTAAGGAGGCCGTGTTACACCGGGCACCACCACCCCTGCATTTCCTGGTTGTTCGTTTACACGTTGTACTGCCCGTCTGCCCTTCAAATCGATTCAAGCCAACTTGAAGAAGGCCACCCGACAAACCTAGTTCGAAATGCTTTCTGCTCGTAAGAAGAAAGCACCGTCAAACAGCGCAAGTGACATCTCATCAATCAACTGGCCATGTTCAAGCAATAACAATAACAATAACAATATTAACCTAACAATAACAATATAAACAATAGCTGGAGAGCAGCTAGCTGGAGCTGGCTTGAGCCCGCGCGATGGCATGCAGGCTGCACAGTGGGACTGCATGAGCAGTTTTGTTGGTGCGCGGCGCGCCAATGCAGGACCCCCGCTCGCGCACAGATGGATACTGCTGCTATGGAGCGCTCGATGTCGTCACCATAAAATGCTGATCGACGACAAGAAAGCGCCTCCTTCCCAAATTGTACATGTGATCTGAACCGTTCAAACTTGGCCGCCAACCAAGTCGACGGCTTATAAATTGCAGATTGGGCGGACTCTTGTAATGATTGCGGTCTCTCGCAGGACTATCTGCTTTCTTCGACGGCGAAACAATTTTTGAACACTTTGAAGTCGCCCTGTGACTTCCAATGTCCGTGTCCCAGTCGACTCATGAGGGTCAACGTTTCGAACGTAGAATCTGAAGACATTCCCAGCTGGCTGCGCCCTGGACCGTTCGTTGTGATCGATTGGTGACTGGATGAGATATCCGAGATTCAGGTCGAACCGCAGAACTTCCACCGCTGCTGGGGTAGGAAGAGATGCACCTACCGGCGCGGTCGGAAGCTGACATCTGTGACTGAAATTCGAACGTGCCACCCTCGTCGAAAGCAGCTGCTGCCGATACGACGCGATATACATTCCACAAGAATGAAATCCCAGGAAGATATACCGACACACGTGGCGACCTTTCGTAACGATATTCAAAAGCTTCCCGCCCCTCCATGGCGAACGGCCCATGCCAGAAGCCCTCGGAAGCACTCACACAACTCCCTCTCAACGAGTCCTACAGGTGCATCCCTCTTGAGCTGGACAGCCTGGTGGTGTGCGCTGACTTGTGTAAATTACAAAAGGGCGTGACTACCGTAGGTGAAGGCCGAGGTGAGGTGAAGACATTCACAGCAGATTCAAGATTCAGGTTTAACGAGGTTCGTAGGATGAGTTGAAGTTTCTGGTGTTTGTTAACAAAGAGCCCGCCGACGACAGGTCCAAAGAGAGACTCTAGAGGCGGTGAGCTGTCTTGCGTCTGAGCTGTTCCCGATCGCTCAGCTATGGCTGAACGGAGGCGGTGGCGTGGAGCAAGCCGTGAGGATGGGGGAAATGAGCTGGTCTGTCCAAGGGCTGCAAAGATGCCTGCAGAACCTCATGCGGATCTAATGTCAAAGGCAAGGAGAAGGCGCAAGTAAGTGTCCTGTTTTTAGGTGCTTGGTGTGCTTCTGATCCTTCTTTTTGTGGCAGCCCCTGCTTCATTGTTGGAGCTGACATGCTTGCTTGAATATCAAGCAGGTAAGGAGAATGTCAATTCGGAAAAGGAAGCCGTATGCTCTGCCTCCTGTTCTTTTGGTCTCAGCACCGCTTGGATTTAAGCGCACTCCTTTTCCTTTGCTGCAGTCTGGTTCGTGGTGAAGAGGTTGGACGGGAGTTGGTAGACATTCTTCTAGCAAAGGTAAGATCCAGGATCAACACTGCTTTGCGCAGTTGGTACACTGCTTTGCGCAGTTGGGTGCTTCTTTCTGGCACCTGAAAACGCACTTGTATGAAGGTAATTGCCATTTCGCAGTTTTTGGTGAGGGTGTCTGGATGCAAGGCGCATGCTCCCACCCAAGCTGACCTGCTTTGTTTCGTGTCTGCAGAAGGTCTTTGGGGAGCCCTCTTGTCCGGCATCGCCTCCATTTTTGGCCTGTTCCCCTCCGAGCCGGGCTGGTAATCCTGTAATTAAAGATGCTCGGTTCTCGTTCCATTCCATTGGGCCGTCTGGCCTGGGAGCTTCTTGCCAGGCCTTTCGCCCCTGTGCTGCGGCGGTCCGAGTAGAGGGTTTCGCTGAGAAGACGCTCTTCTCACCTCCGAAGATGAGTTCAGCAGTTCCTGCGCGCATTGGTTAGGACAGCCTGTAATTATGTGTTGGTGCCACAGTTGCTATTGAGGTTAGGCTCTCGTGCTCCCTAGTGCGGCGCTTCAAGCATCCTGCCTTTTTGTAGACGCCCGAGAGGTTAGCATAGATGAGCATATTATTGTTCTGGTGTATGATATAGCTTTTGTTCCAGAAGAGGTAAATAGTCTTAGGATGAACCTACAACAAGGCAGTCAATGCCAACGAGCTGTAAAGTTAGATTTGGGTCGAGAACATTCTTAGCGAATGGTAATTGAGAAGCCAGATTCGCATGGGGGTTTTGAGGTGCCCAGCATTTTGACTGTATTGCATTGTTGTAAGTAGATCAGTACGTAAGGAAGAAGACTTCCGAAACTACCTATTGGGCTCGTATAATCCTGTACATGACCATAAAAGAAAGGCTTGTGCTCTAAGCCTTAACAACTATTGTGTACCTCTTTTCTTCTCTTACCTACATTCGAATGTTTTCGCCCATAAGTGCACTCGGTAAAAGCACTCAATCTAGTAATCAGTGTTACCTAACTGGTGCTTTTTTGGCAATATGGATTTTCTTGGTGCAAGATATTGAACGATGGAAGATGACCCACATTGTAGTATGATTCCGTCTCTGCCATCCGTATTGCACAAGTTTCAGGTTGTGGCCTCAGGCTTGAAGCGACCATACAGTCAAGCTGGCATCCGCGGTGGGACTAATGTAACGGGCATGATCTTCGAATGATATACTCCATTCTTAAATCGTGGATCATTCTATCATCTATGGTGGACAGCCACACTCATTTAATTGTAACTTGTCAACACCGATACTACATATGCATTGGTTACCTTTGCAGAATCGTCCATGCATAAAATCCGTGAACATTGCAGCTATAGTGGATTGTAGTCATGGTGGCACGCTTCAATATCGTGACATGGTATCTTTCAAAGCCGTGGGAACAAGAAGACTGCACGCTGCATGCATGCAGATATGGCCTCCACTCTCCGACATCAAGTTAGTACTGGGTCATTTCAGACGGTATGTGGTCATTAGTTGCTGCTTACTGAGCAATGTGGATAGTACTAGTACGACTGCCGACCGAAGTTGAGCAAAGCTCTCAAGGCACAAGGTACAAGGCGTCTCTCAAATAAGAAGCCCGTACCATCATCAATCATGCAATGGTTAGGTGCCGCGCTCGTGTACGTGTCGTGTACGAAGCGCATATCTTGGACCACATATAATGATTGCTGCATTGTGTTCGGATGCCCATCACTGACACGGGGCCACATTATCTGGTTGCATCCTCCTATACCTAAGACTCTTCGTCACTGTCAACACTACTAAACACAGCGGCAGTTTGGATAAGCTGCTTCTTTCGCCCTCCTCCAGACAGCTGCACCAATGTTGAGAAAAAAACAATCAATCAAGAATTCAAGCAGATGACAAAACCAATTGAGCCAGCATCGAAGAAATCAAAGACGGCCAGCATGCAAATTGGTGGAGACTTAATGGCGATGAACAGAACAGCATGCACGACGACCATATACACGCGGCGAACAGGCAACCACAGCGCCAACACCTGAGGGGTGCTTGTATAACCACGCCAGAAAAAAACTGTTGACCATGTTTTGAAAGGATGTAAGATTCCATCAGACTTACCTTGCTGAATGTTGCCGGCTTTGCTTTCGAACCTACGGGCTTTGATGAGCCGAACCCAAACTTGAGGGCAGCGCGCCCTTCCCCAGGCTCTGCAGCCACAGCCGCAGCCTTTGTTTCTGGTGGCGCAGGGCCAGGCAATCCGGCAGGCTCAGCTTGGAGTGGTAGGGAACTCTGCTGTGCACTTAGCCTGCAGAAAAGCAGACATTCCCAACTTGCTTCTTGATGGGCTTGTCAGTGAGGTTACTTGCGAGCGGTCTTGTTTGTGCAATCAACTGCCACCATGGGGTTAACCGAAGAATCAGTTATCTGCTTGCTCACACTCTCAGGTAAGTTCGTTGGAGGTGGAAGATGCCACAATCGTGCACTGGTCCAACAGAAGAACTTAGTAATCTCTTGACTAACAGTCCTAGGCTGCTGCCGGTAGACTTCCAGCGGTGTCGGCATCACAGGGAACAGCTGTGCCTGGTGGGGGAAAAGGTCGCGCTTTGAGGAAGTTGGGGGAGGAAGAATACGCATATGACAAGGGTCCAAAGGTAGCAGAAGACATGTAGCTATCAAGGTACAGGGCGTGCATGGAATAAGAAAGATTCTACTGCAATGCATTCAACAAAGATCAACAGATCTACAAGTCTCCTGCTTGGCATGACCGGCGACGCTTGTTCCAGCTTCGAAAGCGGAGCGGGCTTCATGAAGGATCCTCCCGCTCACCGCTGCTGCTGTTTCAGCAACTCTCGCTCCGCCCGTACCTGCTCCCGCCTGATCCGCTCGTCCTTTGGGCCAGCCTGCTGCTGCTTCATGTCTCGGAACCTCTGCAAAGAACGGACAGAAAGCTAGTGGGTTTCGTGTTACTTGGGTCGTCAGATTGACATGATCATCGTCGTTACAACCTGTATCGACTGTTCTGCGCACCCCTCTTGTCGGTGTTCATCACACCTGCTTTTCGTGCTTCTCGTAATCCACGATTTGACCATCTACAACTTCTTATGTTTTCTCAGATGGGTTCATCAGACACATTGGAGTGAGTTGCTGAATTATAAACCAATCAGTATTTGGCCAAACTCGAACGAACTTCATCATGCTCCCATTAAGAACCCCATGCTGCCGAACAGAAATCCTCGATTGCCTGCCCTCACCTTCTTGTGGTTGTGGTCGTACGAGCTGAGGTGCGCCTCATACTCGATGGCCAGCTTGTACTGCTTATTGCACAGGTCGCACAGGAACGTCTTGCGCATGGCGGCTACCTCTGCCTCGATCTTGGTTGTGCGTTCTGCCACCACCTGGAGACACGTGTGGCCACGCAGGGTGACAGTCCCAGGCCCACAAGGGGGAGCGCGGCGGCCTGGCAATGCCAGGCGGGTCGACAGGTTAAGTTGCTTGTCCAAGACTTATCATACTGGAAGATGCTTTGAGCGCACACAAACGCTTACTCTACGTGAGGGAGTGCATTAACCATGGCAGGCGCATCCTATGGACTGCATACAAGTGTTAGTGTGCCATTTTCTGGGGCTCAGGACCGGAAGGCTTCAGCGTACCTCTCGCTGGCGCGCCACCTCCTCTGTCTCCTCTATTTCCACTTCTAGCTTCTTTCGCTGGATGTTCTCTTCTGCCGTGTAAAAGTCGTCCTGCTCCTGCTTGCCGAGCCCCAGCTTGGGGCCAGAGACACCGCCCCTGATCGGGTCCACGATACCTGCACGCCAAATGGCCAGCTTACCATCAATTGAGAGTCTTTCAAGCGGAGGTATAATCAACGAGAAAGTCATACTCAGCATCCCGTCTCCCTAGAAAAGGACGTGCTGGTGGATGTGCAATTCAGATAGATTTGTGATGACTGCATTTCTGTCTCGTCATCACCACTTGTAATGCGAGTGACTTGATCTTGTCCTTGGCGCACACCATGTATAGGGTGACAGCATCTCAATTGCAGGGAAAGCACCACCGTGATCAAAAAGTCATACCTTGGGCATTTCTGCCAAGGCCCTGGCCTGCGCTCCACCCCATCTTCTGCAGCATCCGGTAGCCCACATTCGTGGACGAGATCTGGGTATCCAGTGTCGCAATTTCTAGTCCATCGGTGCGGAGGTTTTCTTCCGGGCGCTGGCCAATAGGCAGAGAGAATTCGTCGTTGGAAGCGAGAGAGTCTTCGCGGAGGGAATCAGCCTCAGCCTGCACCATCGAAAACCATTTATGTTCAACAGTGAAACCTCACTGTCTCCCAGTGAAAACTTTCATCAAGCTTAAACTCTGTGTATTCAGTACGTTGGATTCTGTGTATTCAGTTGGTCAAATAATAAACTCCGCTATAACCTCTTGATGCGCTAGCAACAGGCCAGCAGGTTTAAATATTCAAACTGGAAGTATACAAAAAGGCGCCCATCTTTCAACCAGCCCGAAACTGCCACATGATGGGCAGATTGAAAAGGCACTTACAGCTGAAAAGACAGAGCTCACTGGCATTCACTGATTCAGCATAAATCCAAAAGAGGTGCAGGTTATACCTCGGACCGCTGTCCCTGTCTCGCAGCTTGAGCATGGGCTGCAAATGATGCGACCCGCTGCGCATACCCGGGCAGTTCCCTGCCTGACGTGCCCGCCATTCCCAAACCCCCGATGGAACCCTAATCACTAGGGCCACATAAACTCCCCTTCGACAAAAAAATTGATCTACACAATCCTTGTTGATTGATGCGTCAAGTACTTCGCATTGGAGCCTATTCTTGTCGTCCGCAAGGACAAAATCCAGTGTTGTTCTGCATTGAAAACAGTGTGGGCTGCCCAGCCTCCCGATGGCAGCGCAGCCCAGCTCCCTGCTGAAAAAGGGACTGGCTCGACTGCAACCTAGGGATTCTAGAAAACAAAAGGGCAATCCGAAGTGGCGAAGATCGATACGGTAGGACCAATAAAGCGTTGAATATGGCGCAGACGGAGTGGACGTGCTTCGAGTACAAGTGCTTGAGTTCCAGGCAGCGACTGACTCTGACAGTGAGACGACAGAATGCTGGCGCCATGCATGGCCCACATCCGCGACTCTAAAAGTCACATGCCCTTCTTCCTGCTTACAAACCTAGTGTCAATAACCCGGCCGAAACCAGACTTTTCTGGAGGCTCGAAGCACGTCCTCGGCCTTCCGATGCCTGCCTTATCGTCGATCGAACGGTCCAAGATCAGGAACCATGATCAAAGCATCTGAAACCCGATGGCAGGTTTGACGCAAAGCGCTGTAGTACTGTTGTGTCCGGGAAGCATAAGAAAACACTTCCAGACAGATTGCCTTCAAAATTTCTGGCGCCAAATGCTGAACAAGCTTCAATTCGATCAGTACGTTAATTGAAATTCAGCCTTCGCAAAATTCTGTGGGGGCGGTCACGTACGCTTGGTCCAGTGAATTCAGCAAGTGCCAAGTGGGCCATGTTTGATCGCGGCGGAACCTAGTTGCTGATATGAGCGCTCGTCTGATGTCATTGTGACAAGCTTCTCCAGGGATCTTTGTGCGCTGAGCAGGTGCCTTACAGACGCTCCGCAACTGTTTTTCCTGGGAGCAGAGTCCAGATCAGCAAGCTACCATCGAAATTATCGCGCAGTATGGTGGCATGCACTACTCGGTTGAGTTGTACGCCTATGGAGATGGACTCGCTGGAATGCCGTGAAAGGAGATGCCTGCCTAGTTCTAGTGCCTGGCGGTGGGCTGTCTTGTCAGGGAAAACCCTTTTCTTGCCGTCAATTGCGCCCCTCATATCCACTTCCCACGTTGCTACTCTGACAGAAGACTGCTGAGGCCGGTTGATGGCGTGCAGGGTCGGCAGAAACGCCAGTAAATTTGGTAATGGTCTGGTAGATGCAGCCTCAAGGAGGTGACAAGGCCGGGAGAGTTGCTTAAGTGGGGCGAAGATGGTGTTTGAGTATGTCTCAGACAGTATGGGGCCGTGTCTGGTGGCAAGGGGGGGGGATTTGCCTGCAAAGACCCAGAAGGCAGACCATGTTGCGCTCGGACGGCGGCGGCCCCGCTCAGGGTGGCAGAATGGGCCGATCACTTTCACGTCATTAAGGGCAGCTGCAGGGGCACCGGATAACACACGCCAACAGAGCGGGAGTGACGAGAAGTGCATCTGGAGTAAGTTGGGCAGTCGTGGCATATGCAGATTGCTTTGGATTGCTCCAGATTGTTTTTGGCAGGTTGCCTGTTCGCTTGGTTCGTCCACCGTGTGTTGGATTCTGTGGAGGTTGTCACTGTTGTTTGAAATGTTCAGTCAAAAAGCTTCTATTCTCAGGTGGGTAGAAATCATGGCTGACTCCAGCTTCTTGTGCAGAGAATGTTATTGCGGCGGCGACGGCAGGCAGCGTTCTTACGGTCTCCACGTTTCCCCTGGTAAGATCAGATTGTAGACCCGGAGGTTTCAGTGTGCACGGTATACAGCGCAGATTTAGCTTTTCTCTGACACTACATTGATATAGATCGTTGCTGGCTGTCGGTTTCATGGATCCTTCCAGAAGATTGGGTGTTCAGGCCATAAAAGTGCCAGCAGATACTCTGAAAACGGATGGGCGAATGCGTCTGACCAATCGACTTCGTTGCCAGTTCGTTGTGCAGCTGAGATGATGTACACTGTGCGGTGGCACATACGGCACACCCCAAGATGCCTTTGTGTCTGTAGCCAGTTCAATGCTGCTACTTTTTGTGATAAGTTGGGAAAGGCACTCAAGTTGATTCACTTGCCGGTGCAGGCTACGATTAAGACGCAGATGCAGGCCGGTGTTGACAGCACTTTCCTGGGGTCAATCAGGGACATAGTGCGGAGAAATGGCTGCAAGGCGTTCTATGCGGGGCTAGGCCCTGACCTGGCGCAGAACCTGCCGTACAGCGCTCTGTACATTGGCACGTAAGTAACGGAATTTGCCCAATCGAATCAGCTCGGACCTTGTTGATACAACTTTGTTGCCTCGACAATTGACTATGCGAAACATTCCTAGGCGAAATCATGCAGTGTGTCTAACATGCAGTTTCAGTTGTCTCGGTGCTCGTTTGTTTTGCATATCTTGCCAGTACTTGCAGTGCTGAGACTTCCGTCGTATCTGATGCAGGTTTGAGGGTCTGAAGTCATTGGGGGTGCCCCGCCCAGTTGCGGCTGCGGCGGGCTCTGCTGCGGCGTGCATCGTGACAGTGCCAGCGGACATTGTTACCCAGAGAATGCAGGCAAGCAGCCACGGCCACAGATGTTAGCTGCTCGTTCTTGTCTCCTGCTTCTTGACCGGGGGCGAGGACCTCAGCGTCGCCCCTCCATCCGCATGCCGAGCTCGATTTGTCGACTTTCCTATTGATTCGAGGTTCAAAGTAGCAGTTGTGTTTGAAGCGAAGGTCGGCTCTTGCTGTAAACCTTGAACTGGACGCCTGAAAGGTTTCGATGGCTTGCCAACCGCGGGCGCTCAAGATCACAAGGGTTCTGGCCGTACAGGTGGGCCTCCACGGCAATGCTATTCAGGCCCTGGGATCCATTTTGAAAGCCAAGGGGGTGGGGGGTCTGTACGCTGGACTGGCGCCCGCGCTGGTGCGCATCATCCCCACGGCAGTGGTCCAGGTGAGACAAATGTGTGAGAGTTACGGGATTCAAGCAGGCGGCCCCATACTTACAATGGGGGCGCGTGGGGGAGTGCTCAGCTTTGGAGTTAGCAAGATTCTCTTTGTTTTAACGATGAGCCTGGTGTCTCTGGCTCGTTTTCGCTCTTGGACCCTCCTTTCGAGCTCAAGTGTCACTTGTATTTCCTGTCTCTGTAGAATATCTTTGTTTGGACTTTTGATAGCCAGAGTTCACATTGCAGCGACACACAATCTGAAGCCCACCTACGCCAAGGCTGAGGCGACGCCTTTGCTGCAGCCGAATGGGTCGCTGCAGCAGATTTGGCCGTCCAGAGTGCAATTGATGTCATCTGAGTCGACTTGTTCTTCCTGGTGCAGTGGACTGTGTTTGAGAATCTGAAGGAGCACATCGAAGCCAAGAGGGCTGGCAAGCCGTTGGCTACGCATGAGAGCCTCCTTCTTGGGGGGCTGGCGGGCTCTACGGCCGCCTTATTCACTTGCCCCGTCGATGGTCAGTTACCACGGCTCCGAGTCCCTCTTCTGGGCTGTGTCTACTTCACGCTCCCTGCTATCTTCGGTTGCTTCTTCTACTGTTGCTTCTGCTACTGTTGCTCCTGCTCCGGGAAGATTGGAAGTGCCAAGATTGTTCAGGAACTTGCATGGCTGTGGAGCGTCTGGACAGAGCCCTGTGTCGTCTTTGGAAGGATGCTCGCTTTGTATTGTCTCTGGGTTACTTCTGATCTAGTGAATTGACAGACTACGGGTTCTGATGGATTGCCGACGTGGCCGCTAAATCAATCTTGCAAAGCGGTCCGTTCCAGCCGTGCGGCGAGGAGAGAATCTTGCGTTGGGTTGGAAGTGCTGACAACACCTTTCTTCCTCTGCCCCCCAGTTGTCAAGACGCGGCTCCAGACGGGCGACGCCTACCTGAGCGTGCAGCAGACGGTGCGCCGCATCCTGGCCGAGGAGGGCTCCGGAGCGCTCTTCCAGGGCCTCGGCCCCAAAACCGCAATGGTCTTCCCGTCGACCGCCATCTTCTTCTGCGTCTATGAGCTGCTCAAGAAGCGCCTCCACGAAACGTCCCTCCCTCGCAAAGCTTCCGCACGGCAGGGGCGGACGCCCTCTCGTCGGGTGAAAAAGCCCTCGCTCCTGGGACAAAGGTCGTCCATGCTAAGGGAGCCAGAGTGGCCGCTGACCCTGACGTTGCCACCATTTACGCTGCCTGACGTGTTCAAGAATAAGACGAGATCCCCGGCGCAGTTGACGCTGGCACACATACATAACCAATTCAGAAGCAAGCGGTGATAGTTCGGATCGTGGGCACTGCCGGATTTTTCTTGTACAGCATAGAGAGATTGCCTCCGCCCGCTTGAATATGTTATGATCCAGTTGATGGACGATTCTTACTGCCATCAAAGATTGTCAGTGTCATTAAGAAGACTTCAGACTGCTTTTTGTTTTCATGATTGCTTGCATGATCAAACATGTCAGCCGCCACAATTTAATTGAAGGAGGAGGCAAGTGGCAATCCGGCTTTCCTTGAAGTATGCTGCTGCCGTTCAAAGCCTAGTGGATGCTGCATGTCTGAGCTAGGACTCGGCCGGGCTGGACATGCGGATATATCGCACTCCCAGTGCTCTCGCGAAGCTGTACATATATACAAACTATAGCGGCATACAATGGACAAATAGAGGATCTTGGCATGGGCGATGCTCGTAACATATTGAATGCATGCATGGATCGACACATTTTGGTCATGACAGTCATGGTCTTACAGCACTAGGTGTGCATCATGCAATTGATCTTTACACCGGTTGAATGAAAGATATTGAGCTAGACATAGAATTATTGTGGCGCTGCCGCATGCAATATGCCAGTACGTTTTGAAAATTACCGACTGCTAGTTCATGATCGAAATGACGGTCAAGTGGTACGTCGCAAACTGGATGTATGTGTCTATGTGATTGTTATACTGACCTTTGAAACTATATGCTGGGACTATGACCATGATAAAGATGTGGATCTAGCTCCACCAAAAAGACTTGACTTGTATACTGCAGTGCTCCGTCTTTGTTGTATATGCATAGGCTAAGTTTGTCTATAACGTTAGCAATGTCTCCGCTTGACCATGACTAGCAGGTCCGTGACAACTATAATTCACCGTGAGATCATTCCTACTCTCGGTGCTCGCTTCGTATTGAGCTGACAGATAGGTCAACCACTTCCGCCTACAGAGCTCCACTTGGTTAGGCATGCACCTAGTACCTACTTATTCATTCACGGCCCAGTCATACTTGCTGTACTGGATCGTAAACCTGGCCTTCTTGATCAGCTTGGCGAGTACCTGACTCTTTTCCTTCGGCAGGTATGGCAGCAGCCACTTCAGGCGCTCCTCGGGGGTGCTGCCAAAGTCCTCCTTGTACCAGTCCATTATCTTGGACAAAGTGACCGCTCCAGAGTCCCCGTCCACGTCAACCTCCCCTTCGACGAAAGCGGAGGCCGCGCCCTCCAACCCTGCACGAGAGCGACGCTAATTCCTGATCCTGGCTTCCCACTCGACTTCCCAAGACGGCAGGATTCAGGGAGGCAGAGTCTCTCATCCCGAAGGAAGCTCGTCCCGCAGAAAAGCAGGATTTTCCGGGGTAACGTCGTCTCACCAAATCCAAGGCGTCTCCGCCGACATGAACTCTGCCCGTTATGTACATCGATAAAAAGACACAGGATCCGTACCAGGAAAGTCGCTTACTGGCTGATTCTTAGCATAATCAGCCACCATGCGAAAAACAGGACCGTCGACTTCTACGAAATGTTCCATCAACGGGGAACTTACCTTCGTCGAGATTTTCTGGCGTGTACAGCTTGATCGGCGGGCAGGACTTGGCCCCGCAGTTGAGCGCGAAGTGGATCCGCGGGTCGACTGGGGGGATCGCATGGAAGCGGCGGGGATCTTTGGGCCCGAAGGGCCGCTGCTTGAGCAGGCTGGCCGACTTGGGGCGGTTGCCGCGCAGCACGCCGTGCTCGATGTCGTCCAGGGAGTAGTCGTGGCCGTCGATGTGGTACCTGCGTGTCATATCGACGGCAGAGCTCGGACACAGGCGGTACTAGGGAAGGGCCACTTTCAGGCGTTCGAAACGGCAAACTCTTCGATCAACCTTTTCGACGAGGTCGCCTGGCCCCACTTCGAATCTGATTTCCCTGGCAAGTCGAGGGGAGAGGAAACGGAGGCCAGCTCCGAAAGCCACATGTCTCATTAAAATGCACGACTTTTTCATCACTTGCGGACTTCGTCTCAACGGCCAATCCGATGCGGCTTACTTTGTTCGACTGTAGAAGAAGAGGCGGTCGAAGAAGGAGGAAGGCGTCCCCTCCGCCACGAAGCCATGCACGACCAGCGCGTTGTACACGTTGATGAAGAAGGCCATCTTCTCCTGCCGGCTCATTGAGTACAAGTCCACCTGGAGACCACATGACCGGCTGTTACCGACTCGAAGGCGGCTGCCCGTGAAGGGGAAAGAGGCAGACACTCCGAGATGGACGAGCACCCGGCCCCTCTCTGGACGACGCCGTCTAAATGTAATCCGTACGTTCGATTCAATTGAATCATTCTGACTGTCCGCTGAATCTCGATTCAATTGAATCATTCTGACTGTCCGCTGAATCCCGAAGTCATTCAAAAGTCACGCGTAATGCTGTCCGGACTGCTTTTCCTTCAGGCGCTTCCCTTCGTTGTCTAGAAGGCAAGACTGGCAACTTTTCGGTGCAAGACAAAGCAACCAACTATCCTACATGCCCAGCTCAAAGATATTCCCGTACTATTTGTTTCAAAATCGAGGAGGGGCCAAGACGGGAATGAGACAGCTTGCCCAACAAGACTCTGAAGATTCTCTAGGTGATTGACCTTCTGCCCCTCTGATACAAACTTGGAACAGCCCCATGTCTAATAAGTTCACGGGTGAACACTGCACCTTCTGTGAGCAAAGTAGGACAAGGACCCAACTCAATCGGTTTGTTCATTGTCAGGCACTGCGGCTCCCTGCTCACCCGTTGAAGCTCCTCCGTAGCTTCTCGATAAGCCGCATATGTAGGACTTGCGGCAAGCTGGGAGTAAGACACCGACTTGCCGTCCTTGGACAGAGCCTCATCATAGAGCTCCAGGATACGCCTGCGCAGCTCGCCCGCAACCTGACAAAGTGATACGTAAATGACGGGCTCGATCTTCTCCTTTCAGCCAGAGTAAAAAGATTGGTGAAACAGCGGCAAGCAAGCTACAACCGTCACCCAGAGGCTGGCTACGACATGTTGGGTGTCCTTCACACAGACGACTTCACAGACATGTCAACAAAGTTGCGCCTGCCAATCCTTGCCAGCTTTATCATGAAGGAGAACTCCAGGCGCCACCAGCTTTACCTGTGTTGCTGATCGCGCCGGTTTCAGAAACGGTTTCCTGGCATTCAGCGCACTGCTGATAGGGGCCTCCTCCTCGACGAACATGTACAGCTTGGAGGGGCTGGCAGTGAACGGCTCTGCGTGCTCTATGTGGTGCAGGTAGTGGCGCTCCTGCAATGCTGTGCCCGTCCTCAAAGCGGATTCGTAATCTTCCTGCAGGCAAAGGGACTGGAGGGATCAACACACAGGAAGAACTTCAAAACGTGCAAAGCCGGGTTGAGATTTCTGATAAAAAGATCGTCTGAACCTTGTTCTTCGCTGACCATCGCAGAGTGTGTAAACCTTTTGTTTGAGTCTTCAAGGACACGCGAGGAAAATGAGAATGTGCTGATACTGAGTGGCTTACCTCCCCATTGTGTAACAACCAGTCAAGCGCTTCCGCACCGGTGAACACGTTGTTCAGCACAGTGAGGCCCTTGAGTTCTGTCTTGGTTTTCACTCCTTGCTTGGGATCTCTCATCTTGGTTGCAATAGCTTCTAAGCGTTTCTCCTCCTCTTTTACTTCCTCAGGAACTTCAGATGTGCTCGTTTCGGTCTCTTTTTCTTCATTTTTACTGGATTCTTCTAGAACAGAAGCCAACGCTTCTGGCAGAGGCTCGCTTTGTTTTTGAAGGATGGATTCGAGATCTCCCGCTTGTATGACCTGCAAAAGGATTCGAAATGTCAAACATGGCTTGACGTATCTCACAGAATGAAAGCAGCCTTTTAATCAATGGGACCTAAACAAAGCCTGTGTTGTTTAAAAGCTTCTTCTTGTGTGCTGCCGCTGCTGAGTGGTAGCATCCCGTACCCCGATTACTCCTAGTGGTTTTGATCAGCAGGAGAAGAATGAATTGACGTTTCGTAAGTGTCTGCTTGTAAGACAGACCCACCATCAGACACCTGCTGTCTCTTGTTATTGACGCAATGATGTCAGGTCACAACTTGCATGACCATTCTCCTAGTATCGATCTTTGATTATATTACCTGGAATCCAATTACCAGCATTAATACGAACGGCAATCACCGGGGCAGAAAAGAATCAACTTGCTTTGCTTGATTACCTGATCTAGGTCGTCCGCCCCTCCCACCAGAACTCCATTGACATAAACAACCGGCACAGTTTTTCTTCCTGCTACTTGCTGCACTGTACTCCTGATGTTTGGATCCGTGCTTACATCAATCTCTTGATACTCAATTCCCTTCTCTCTGAGGACATTCTTTGCCCTTCGGCAAAAGGGGCAGCCAGGAGTGGTGAATATTAGTGCTGATCCACTAGATTCCGCAGGAGCTTCCATCTCAGCAAGCGCTGTCGAGGAAGCGGCTACACGAGATGACCACCGCAATCGATGTCCTTCTTGCACAGTTCTAGACTGTTGTTTCATCACTGGAAAGCGATTGGCAGGAGATCTGCTTGCAATCCAAGCACCACCAGGCCGGGGTGCGATGCATGTCCATACATTCCTCTGGCCTGGAAGGCAACTCTCTGCTGAAGGTCGAGCGAGGCCACACTGGAACACTAGACAAGCTGAGCGACGGCAGGCAGCAGCCATCAACCCCATGGTCAGCTTGTGGAAATCTTTGGAGGCGTTGCAGGGCTTCCAAAGTGATCAGTCCGTATGGAGCTGGATGCAAGCTTCACAATCTGAAAGTCTACATTGCTCCTTGGAAATTGCAAAGGATTTCGACAGTGGAGCCCCATTCTTGGTCGTATGAGGAAAAATTAAAACAAAATGTTGCCAATTTGACTGCCATAATCTGAATTACAGCTACCGTACCGGTACTCCTGAAATGGGACTGTCTGGGGCCTGGGCGGCGGCCGGCTGGGCCTAAATGGTACAACTTTTATTTTACCGTACTTGAAATAACTTCAACGAGCAGCTACCTATACTGGTAAATCAGAGACAATTATATGCTGGAGGACAAAGAGAAGATCAACCAGCTATCAATGTTCATCAATGCATGATGTCTGCTGTGAGTGTGAGCTGATCACAAGAAGTGAGCATTGCATGTGGGCAAACGCAGTCCCACCAACGCGCCAGCTTCAGGGGTGCCAGCATTCTTACTTGTCCTGATTGAAATTGAGTCTTTCTTATAAGCATTCAAAAGAGAAGCTTTTTCGCCACTGCCTCGAGCTGCATAAGCAAGCTGCCACCACCAGAAAAGTGTTGCTCAGAGATTCGCATAGAGAATCAATCTCAATGGCTGCCGTTTTCAACCACGTTTTTGCTGGCAACCCTCTGCTGCCAGGCAAACGCGAGGTCCGCCAGACTCAAGAGGTTGCTGCTTTGCTCGCAAATGTTGGAGACGCCTGGTTCCTTCCAGTTTCTGAGGGGAAGCCCCTGGTGGCAGCCTCTCAGTCAGCAGAAAGAGTCGATTGGGAGCTTGCTTGGCAGACGTCAGATACGGCAGTTAGATACTTGAACACGCCCCAGCCAGTATCGAGCAATGCTGAGACGTTCAAGAATCTGCCAACAACAGAGGATCTTGTGTACGTTGGGGAGTTACAGGGGCGTTCGCACTACGCCTTCAACGTCCCCAAGCATGAAGGTGGCAAAAGCGCCAGTAGCAGTGGACGCTCAGATGAGCGCGCTTTGGAGAAGTTTGCCGCGCCAAGTGGGGGCTATCAAACGGCGTACCTTGATCTTCGGACTCTGATGATGGCCACCACCTTTGGCAATGCGGAGAGGAAAGAGGACCTTGCCATTGTGGGCTATGTGAGATGGCATCCATCTTAATGTCTTCTTCTGCATGCACTCAGTTGCACTGGAGCGTGAAGAACAGCAGGTTCTAGGACTTATGTTTTGGAAGGTTGTAGAAGATTGTCTCGTTAGTCAAGTTGGTGGTTCTGTCGGGGACAGACTTGGATTGAGCTTCAGATTAGCCTCGTGTTTTTGGTTCCATTTTACATTCCGGCCGCGGACAAGTGTTCTCACAAGCCTCTGGCACTGGGAAGGTTCTGCTGTTGAGCGGTTTGGGTCGAAGGGATAAGGGCAGAGACTGCGACTGCTGTTCCCTGATCGTCAGTCTCGATTGACTTCTCAATCACGTGGTCCCCGGCGATTCATTTGAATTTCAAATAAATGGTGAACCCTCTCTTCCAGGCAAGAGCACTCCTCGGCTGGCATGCAATCAACCAATACTGCGGCAAGTGCGGCACAAAGACTGCCAGCGTTCAATTTGGGTTGCGGAGAGTCTGCCAACAGGACTCATGTCGACTGAAGCTGTATCCAAGGATCGACCCAGTAAGCGCACAACCTCGATGATCCAGATTCGGCCACTATACAACCAATCTGAACCGTGAATGGTCAATAGCCTCACAATGAAATTGGAACTTCCCTTTGCTGACTGCTACTTATGCCTTGCCCCACTGCGGAGCTCCAAATGCAACTCGAATCTTGAGGAATCAGGTTCTACAGCTCTTTGCGTCAAACCTGCCATCGGGTTTCAGATAATCCGATCATGGTTCCTGATCTTGGACGGTTCGGTCGACGACAAGGCAGGCATCGGACGGCTCAAGATCAGGAACCACGCTTCAAGAGTCTGGAACCCGATGGCAAGTTTGACGCAAAGAGCTGTAAGTCTTTGCTCCTTGAACCGGAAAGGATTTGTCCAGCACCTGTTGCTTTTTCAAAAAGTCTCTCTTGAGACGAATCACTCAGAAGAAGACTTGCTTGATACGACCGGTTATCTCTTGCAGGTGGTCATCATGTGTGTTGTGGACAAGGAGCGGGACGTAATCTTACTGGGCCGTGGCGCCAGGCACCCAAACAATATGTACTCGTGCCTGGCAGGTTTCATCGAGGTGAGATACTCGAGAGAACAGCAGTGATTCTGAGGCATCTCAATCTCGAAACCATCGGAGACGAGCAATCGCGCTGCGCCCATCTTCGAGGGCCCAGTAATCGTAAGACATGCTTTGCAAGGAGCGTTCTGAAGGCCAAAGCAAGAGGTCGACAACTTTCGCACTCAAGACGTGTCCGGCTAGATTTTCAATCCATTTTTGTACCGTGAAGATTCGAAGAGCCCAGATTCTTCTGACTTATGGAGTGCTATGTCGATCAAGTGACAGGTTATCGATCTCATGAGGCAATACCTTTTTGCATCTCGAATTGGGCGGGAGATCTGGACCTACGTGGGAGCAGTTTCCGAAGTAGTTGGTTTTGCTTGTTTTCATTCCCACTGTCCATTCGTAGAGGTTTTCTTAACCGATGTCGGCTGTGTTTCTCGTGGCAACCAATATGGACTCAGGTGTGATAGAAGATCAATAGGTCCGCTAGAATCGTCTTTTAGTGCCCGTTATCATTCTCGGCAGGGTCTGACCTAGCCCGCAGAGAGTCGTGACATCCGCAGTCAATGAGCTTCCGCTATCTGTGGATTCAAGTATCTTGTTTACTCGGACAGAGCGTACCTCCTTGCTTCGCTCGACGACTCTATCAACAGTGAGGAAAAGAAACGGTAGCCCGCCGTCACATCCACGACAGGCGGTCATCAACAATAGAGAACTCGTTGTGGAGTGCCTCAAGCCCGTTCAAGACCTCTGCGAAGCTCGTATATTCTCAAGTTAAGGGCCTTTTCAAGACATGTTTCTCTCACGGGTGCAGCCGGGCGAGAGCCTGGAGGAGGCGGTGCGGCGGGAAACGCGCGAGGAAGTGGGCATTGAGATTGGGGACGTCGTACACCACAGCTCGCAACCGTGGCCCGGTTCGAATTCTGCTCTTCCATACCTCGAGCTCTCTGTATCCTCTTGGAGAAGCGATGCTGGTGCCATTGAGCGTCTGCCAGAACCGCCAGGTTTCAGGTCCATGAGCTGTGTCTACGCACCTTCTTGCTGCGAGAAAATGGGTTGGCCTTTCCCTGCCGCTTGTCGCCGATTGTTGGAAAGTGATTTTAGAAGGGTCGATCTGGATTTGTTTGTCTACGTCAACGGTAGCGGCTAATGGGCTCGCTTCATTTCGAAGTTGACTATGAGCAGTAGTCCCTTCAAGAGCAATGATTCGACAGCTTCCGCTTTCCGCAACAATCTTCTTTTCCGTGGTATCAAGCGCGTGCTGAACGGGCACTTCAGCGAGAGGACATCAATCTGTGCAGCCATAGTGCCACTGACCGCATCTGAACGGGTCGCTCGCTTTGCCCTTCTCGGTGCAGTTGGTTTCGGCACGCAGCAGTGCCAACTCATGGTGGGTTTCTTTGCGTTCGCCAAAACCGTCGAGATAAACGTCGACGAGGCAGAGCTCGCAGGTGGGGGCAGACTCTACTCGGCAGTCTCGCACTGGCTGGTTGTGCTCCTAGGTTCTTTTCGAATGAAGCATCATGTGACCAATTGTTAGGGGCTTTGTTCGAGCAGCGGATGTGCTCACGAATCATTGTTGCGGAGTCATATGCCTGCCAAGTATTTCTTCGTCAAAACGATCGGCTGCAGCGACACTGCGAGTCTGTGTTCGCTCGACAAACTCTCTTCGAAAAGGTGACCAGGTTTGTGTTGCGTGTCTCTTCCTTGCTAGCCGGAAGCAGACTATAAAGTCCCCCGCTTTGTTGCTGCAGATGCTCGGTGGTTTACCCGCAGTGAGGTCCGGGCCGCCTTCTCAGAGGAAGTGTACGGCTCCGCACAGCGGGATGCTCAGGAAAAGATTGCCAAGGCCTGCTTTGACAGAGTGGAAGGTGGAGAAGCAAAGATAGCGGACTTACGAGGACGGACGGAGCCATCAGCGTTGTTTGTGCCTGGTGCTTATGCAATCGCACATCATTTGATACTTGCGTGGTTGAACAAGGAAACAGGGAAGCTGCTTAGTCGAGTCTAATCTTGTTTGGGACGATGCTTATTGAGATCATATAGCCCGCAGAGCGTACTTACATTAATGGTTCGCAATGGGGGCCCCGGGGCTGCCGCCATAGCTGGGGGGCCGCCAAAGGACGGGCGGCTCGGCAAGCACGTACAGTAGAACTGAAGCTATGGTTCATGGCTAAGCTTCAGGACGTACAGTGCCGGTACACCAAGACGTAAAGTGCCAAGATCGCCGAGCTTCATGAATTAAGGTGGTCATGCATAGTTGCAGCAAGAAAAAACATGTACAGCTATATTCCCCGAATGATCACTACAATTGTGCTGCACACGCGCAAAATTTCTTAACATGCATGCTCGGATCGACATAAATGGGTTGCATGATCGATTGGAATGCGAGACTTTTCTAGTGGCATATATTATTGTCGAGCGACTTGAATGATCGAATGGTTTTGATTGAGGGCCCGCGGCCATGCACATTATAAGGCAGTCGATCTCTTAATGCATCATGGTCGCAGCGTTTGCTCGCATGATTCTAATGCTGATGGTGCTGGCAGTGGCACGCACTATTGCATGGTTCGCCCAAACGCGCTTATGCATGATCGAAAGGAATTGCCATCAAAACGTTTGCATGTGCAGAAGCTGCATGATTGAGACGGTCAGAATTGCGCGAAGAAATCAGCTAGCAGCCTCTATAGATAGCACCGGGCCCGAGCGGTCGCAACCATATGCATGGAGCTGATGGATTACGTACTGAATATTTTCATATGTGATCAAAACAAGTTCCGAAGATGATACAGCGCAAACCACGGCCAAGAGGCAGCATAGGTATCATGCCATCCCGTGCAACATTTTTATGCGATTCTACTTCTTTCTAGTACCTCAAGTTGATGACTGCAATCGTCATACATCCGATCGATCTCCTGCTCTGTCATGGTTGAATTGCTGACATGTCAGTGATGGCCAGATGGATTCGCAGCAGGTAATCAGATTTTACATGCCCAGTGATGCAGGGTTAGTCCGAATCAGAGTCGTTATTCTGTGCATGCTTGCTCGTCCGTATTTTCGTCTCCTGCTCATCATCACTATCGTACTTCACCACCTTCGGAACGACGACACCTGCACATAATCGCGACGGGTTCAGATCCAGCACTTTATTGTACAATGGGTGAGCGGAACGATCTCAGCAAGCTTTCAAAAGCCCCAGCTCTTTCGGGTATCAGCACACGAATGTTATTCAGCAACATGGACCGCAGATTGGATCACAGCTGCCCGTGGTCGTTCCGTGAAGACAAACGCTGCGACAGAGCTTGCAATCAGGGGACCACGACAGGAAAGCATCGTACCTGCTCTTTCGAGTCTTCGTTCCAATCGAACGGTCGCAAAGTCGTCGACGCCCCCCAGCTCCTCGAACCCGACAATGCGATCGATGGCAACTCCGTTTCTGGAGACGAATAATAATTGATGGATGTGCAGAGTACAGGCACGCGTATCTGCATTCGACCACAATCCCTATGCAACCAGTGCTTTGTTACAGGCATACAAATCATGCATTCACTTGACGAGTGGGTGGGAAACTATTGCTCGAAGCACATTCTCACAACAACCACCAAACGCTCCTGCGAACATAGGAGTCTCGAGTAAGAGAGGTCGCTGCAAAGGAGAGGCCAAGAAAAGGAGGCGGCGGCTTACTTGAACAGTATAACGCAGGGCAGCACCTTGATGCCTAGCTTCGTGACGAAGAACGGACACTTCTGCGAACAATACAGCCACTGTAGATTTAGCGGGCAGAAAGGCGGATGTCTGATTCAAATTGGTGATTGCAACGTCTTTCCACGAAGCATGCCCGGTGGCTCAAAGACCTTATCACAATACATTATGAACACAGCCAAAGCACTTGCCTTAAAAGTAACCGCATAATATGTAGGTAGGGGTCCCTTGGAGGTAAGATTCGTTTTCAGCAAGTTGGTTGTCAGGACGGCCAGAAAGGTTCTGCACTCACTTCTGCATCGACTTTGATGAACTTGGTGTCGAAGTACTTCCCAACGACCAGCCGCAGATGCTTGTCGACAATCCTGTATAGGTGGAGAGGCCAATATGAAACTCGGTGGGAATATACTCCGATGTCAAATAATTGGCGGGAAACATATCGCTCCATGTGGACTTCCTCGCACCGTAACCGCAGAACCCCCTGAGCTTTACATCTGCTGTCGTCGAGTCGTTCACAGCGACCTGAAGGAGGGGGTTCTGAAGAACCCTTCTACAGTGTGTCACAGCGGCAAAGCGCGCACACTATCGCGACACATGATGCATGACCAGGTGGTTTCAAATCACAAAAGCAGGATGCTCTGTTGCTCAGAATCACAGGAACCGCTTACCAGAGGTGGACAACCAAGCCTGGAGCTATGAGAAAACACTTACTTGCACCTTTCGAATTCGTGGTGGTAAAAGTGACAGACTACCCGCTCGCTTCCCGTCACCTCCGCCAGGAACTCGGCTTCCTCAATCTGTACCAAAAGAGAAGAAGAAAGAAATGCGAATCCAGGAAACGGCGTGAGGACGAGTGACAACCGAGAAGAGTTCGAACGGCCCCCAAATCTGAGCAGCATTGAACCGAAAACATCCCAAAATTGTATTCTTCAGAGGATTGATTGGCAAAGTAGGCACTCTCGTCTAACCTCAGCTTTCATTATAGGAGGCCCATTGCGTGTGGGGTCCAGAGAAGTTTACCAAAGTTGGATTCATGCGCTTCTGGAAAGTAGGGCCATACTGCAACGCCATGCTGTTACATGATTGGAAACCCCTCCAAGGACCTAATCGATCATTGAACTCCTCACCTCTTTGTACTCGCCATGTCCTTTCTGCTGCAAGGACGCCCGCTTCTCCGACTCTCTCTGCAGATAATAATCCTACTTATGACAAGTTGATACAGAATGACGAGGTCCGACGTGACACCTTGAGAAGACGTGCCAATCATGTGAGCACTCAGTTGAAGCGAGTTGCGAAGCTCCTCCTGCTTTTCTAACTCCAGTCGCTTGCGTCAGCCAAGTCTCATGAAGAGGCTGAAGTGCTCACCTTCAAAGCTGCTATCCTGTCAGCGTGCAGCTTTTCTAGTTCTGGGTCCTGTACACAGGTGACACCACGTTGATGCAGAAAGTTCTATGCGACAGCAGAAAGGTGTTGCCCTGACACTTGCAGATTGACAGTAACAGGCCATGCTTGCAAACACCTACTTCGCAGCTCACAAACCCACGTTAGGTATGTCCTGGTCATGGTCCAACCGTGAGAGAATGCAGTGTGCCCAGGAAAAGGTGCTGCTTGCACCAGGTAAGATACTCACATCTTCCAAGTCGTCCATGTCCACTTCATCAAATTTCAGGGAGTTGTCGCCCTTGCCTTGGGCCAGAAGTTCCTGCAAGAGTGGTGTGAGATCATTGCCTGTCCAAATTGTTCGGCAGGTTTTCAATGTCGGAGTTTCGCAGACTGTTTTTCTGCTGGGCTGCTGATGGTTACAGGCAGTACTGCCATCAGAACGAGGTTCTACGGGAGCAGAGAGGAATGGGCGGCCATGCAAGCTGAAGAGCTATTTTAGCAGCTCAAAACAAGAGGTGCCACCAGAATATACGGCCTTTTTGAAAGCAGCCTTTGCGAACTGGCCTCGTCAGGTGTAATCCAAAACTGTCAAGCAGCGACTTGGCTTGTCTAATGAGTGCAAGAGACAAGCTGCACCACCCTATCTTAGACCACAAGTTGAGTTTCATCCTGTATCCCATAAGCCCAAAAAAGCATTATTTCTGAGGCAAGGTTGCCTTTTAAAAGTCCTGAAGTTTCTTTCCACAAAGACGGGCACTAAGGCTTGATGCCTGGAGCCTCCAGACTTTTGACTAGCCTGCCTCACCTTCTTGTAGTCCCTGGCAGCTGCCTGCAGAGCGGTGCCAAACGCCATGTCAGACATGGTCCCCCGGAACTTGTCCGGATCCATGTTGTGATTTGCCATGTTGCAAATCGAATCCACTTAGCGGGGATAGCGGATTGTTGAGCTAGATCTAGATAATACGGATGACAAGACACAAGGTTCCAAGGAAGGACAGTATTCTCTGATATTGATCTGATCGCGCCCTCAACATCCCTTGTGCAAGCTGGAAGAGAAGAAAACTGAATGGCAACTTGAAGAACGAAGCTGAAGCCTCATCCAGGCAATTCTAGGGTTTGCTGAGTGCTCCTTCAAGTTCCAAGTTCCAAGTCAAAACCCTAGCTATTGCGAAGCGTGTGGCGCGCCGCCGCAACCCTAAATTCCAAAACGTAAAGCGCCCCGCACCACTCACATCATACGCGAAATTGCGTGATCCCCCACCGCCCTTCCAGGCAACCTGCAAAATGCAGTCCATCTTAGACTCGTTACCTGCTGTGGCAGTGCATGCATATTTGGCCCATTATGATTGTGGGTTTGTTCACTACCTAGCTAGTTTAGCAGCGGCGCCCTTCTTTTGCTAAGAAGAGCTTCCCTTCCACTTGAGGGATCCCCACTTTCTTCTTTGCCACTTGAAGGGCGAACTTTCTTCACAGTCTAAGTGCCTCCTTAGCACGCCAAGAATTTGAGCCCTGTGGTGAAGTGGAGGTGCATCATCCTGTTATTTGTAGGGGGTGCCAGTCAGCCAAGGCAACTCTCAGCTCTTGCAAAGGCTGTACTAAAAAGGGTCTTGGAGTCGCTTTGCTCTTCTGAGAAAGTAGTCGGCTACGCGATTGTCTTTGGCAACATAATACAGTAGGTACCTCAGAACTTGAGAGTTTTGGAAGTTGAAACATATTATGGGGCAGGACAGCTCCAAAAGCAGCCGCAGCCGGCGCTACTCTGAAGGCGGCGGTAGTGCCTCTGCCTCAGGCACAGGGCGGAATATGCAGAGGACGTTCTCCAAGAAATACAGCATTATTCCAGACAGATACAAGACACTAGAACAGGTAAGAACTTTTTGCCGGATGGTCCATGACAATTCTGTTTGCTCTCTAAGTTCATCCTTCATCTGTGTCTTTGAAACGCTCTTCGGTAGACATCTGTGGTGATTGTTAAAATGACCTCGAAGCTCATTCTAAAAAGGGTAAAGCGTGCGCGTTTGATGACATTTTCTGGGGGCGCAGATGCACCCGTGTTCACTGCGATTGTTTAGTTGCCGTGCTGAGCGACTGCATAGGACCTGTATAATGAACATCTGCTGCCAGCAAACTGGACTCTAAATTGCAAAAGGAAAGTGTACGGTTGGAAAGAGGTTGTATGCTTTAAATTGGAGATGCCTGGGACAGCGCCCGATAGTCCACTTTCTGATTGCGATTGCATTCTGTTGAGGGCTGGTTGAGTACATGGTGTGGCATCGATGTTGCCGCTAAAGGCTTTTCCAAATGCCGCTTGTGAAAAGGTAGAATATTTGCATTTGGTAAGTCCAGGCAATGTTTGCAAGCTGCGCCTGCCATTAAAGTGTTGTTGTCTTTGGCCACCTGCAGGTGCAGCAGTCACTGAGGGACGCTGGCCTAGAGTCCAGCAATCTCATCGTTGGAATAGATCTTACCAAGAGCAATGAATGGACAGGTGAGTAGCCCTTTCCACTTACTTCATCTTGCTTCATGTTGCAGTGGATCGCTCACTCAAATCAGCAGTGTCGATCATAAATGTGCTCCGGTTCTTTATGACAATCTCTTTTAGCATCATTTATTGCTCAGATGCTCAGCTAGTTTCTATCAGCCCGTTCGGCCAATTTGGAGACAGAGAGCTGTGTCTCTGTTCGCTCTGATTTTAGTTGTTGTTATTTTTAACAGGGAAAGTCTCCTTCCAAGGCCGCAGCTTGCACGCGCTGAGCAACACCCCCAACCCGTATGAGCAGGCGTCCTCAATCATTGGCAGAACGCTTGCGGACTTTGATGATGACAACCTCATACCTTGCTATGGGTTTGGAGACGGTGAGGCTGCACTGTAGCAAAGCGCACTCCTCTTCAAGTGCATTTGAAGAGCTAGTCCTACATGGTGATTGTCCAGGCTTTCTTCCTCACATCCTTTATAGATTTTGTTCCATCTGTTTTAAGATCTGAATACCGCTCTTCACTGATGGCCCAAGCACTGCGCCTGATGAGCGTTTTGAATTTCCACCCTCTTTGCTTTCAGCAGGGTTTTCTTTGTTTTCTGTTTATGCCGATCCAAGTATGTCCACTGTCTTCTTACAGGTACGACGCACGATCAGCGCGTCTTTAGCTTCTTCCCTGACGACAGGCCATGCAACGGTTTTGAGGAGGCCCTGGCCCGATACAGGGCGATCATACCTCATGTCAAGCTGGCAGGTGAAGCCCCTTCTGCATTCGCTGGTCTGCTTCTCTAACATGCCCCGCGTCTACTACCTGGGTTGATTGCGTTGAGTCCTGCTTGTGGCATCAGCAATCCTTTTTTAGTCTGTCAGTGAAGCCGTCCTGGCGGCTTACCTCACCTAGGTTGAGGACATTGAAGCCTACTTCATTTGGACTGGCATTGAAGATTGTTAGGCTCCTCAAATCTTTGGCGTTTGGGTGCAGGCCCGACCTCATTTGCTCCTATCATTGACCGTGCGGTCAGCATCGTTGAAGCGTCGGGGGGACAATATCACATTCTGCTCATCATAGCAGACGGGCAGGTGAGTTCTATTTCAAATTTGACTTTACCAATCGTTTTTAAGGACGTTTGCAAGAAAATTATTGAGAGCTTTCTTCTTCCTGACGGTGGTCCCGAACAAGGATTGTTGCTTTATGGAGGGGCACTAAAGGAAACGACGCTGAGAGTTTGCTGAGGCGCAACGATTCGCACACAGAGTTAAAGCATTTAGCGTACGTAGAGCAGTTTCGAGAACTACTCCACTTGTGTGCAGGAACACCCAGACCGCCAAAAAGTAGGTTTTGGTGCATGGTCGACTTGGCAGTACATTCCTCTTTATCGCAACTCCCTCCGCTCCATTAAGTGCTTCTTCGTCGCTCCGTGGACCCCCAATTGCCTGCGCTCAGCTTCCTTTTCCCGCCTCCCATTGGTCGACCGTTCGCACCAACATTTTTTTCCCCGGGGGTACTTACACCCTACATCTGCCCACGCCCCCGCTCAGGTGACGCGCAGCGTGGACATGCCCCCCAACGAGCTGAGCCCCCAGGAGCGCGCCACCGTCAACTCCATCGTGGAGGCGAGCAACTACCCGCTCAGTATCGTGCTTGTGGGCGTGGGGGACGGCCCCTGGGACATGATGCGCGAGTTCGACGACAATTTGCCGCAGCGCCGCTTCGACAACTTCCAGTTCGTGGAGTTCAACCGCGTGATGGCCAAGAGCGTGGATCCGTTCGTGCGCGAAGCGCAGTTTGCGTTGGCGGCCCTGATGGAAATTCCGTCGCAGTACAAGGCTGCGCTGGAGCTCGGGTTGCTCAAGTGAGGACGGAAGCGAGCTCTATGAGTCTTCTTCTGGACTTTGTGCGGGATTGATGAGGGAGTCCTAGTCCTTGGGCCACGGTTGCATCTTGTAGAATTGAGGGCGTGGCCCCGTCGGTAAAACTTTCCGGACAACCATGAACTCTGCTAAGGAAGCTGTTTGAAAAAGTTTTCAACTTGAAAGGTTTCCCAAAACGAGAGGTGTAATGCAAGTGTTTCGCTAGTCGGCTCCTCCTCTAGTAACGCAAGGTGAGCAGGTTTTGCGGTGGGGTTGGGAGTGCCATTCCACTCCGTCTCCGTCTTTCAGACAAGGAATTGTCTTCTCCCAGGATCTCTAAAAGCGTTTGGTCGCTCTGAGAGATCGATGCTGGTCAACGAAGTACTCCTCCGCCGACCCATTTTTGCACGGTCTATCCTGGTCGAGCTCCGAGCTAGTGGTCTCATCCCACGTCACCGCATCCTTTTCCTGACGCGCCTTCTTCTGGTGCAGCCAACGGACGGGCAGAACGCCCCCGGCTCAGGCCCTCCCCCCCCCGCCCGCTGTCCTTCGAGCGGACTCTCAGCAGGGCCCACCGACCCCCCCGGGACTGAGCGGATTTCCCCCGGTCAATGCTTACGCGCAAGCAGCCCCGTCGGCGCCTCCAGCGAGGACGCCCCAGGAGGCGGCGGAACAAAATGTGAGCACACAGAAGGTCTGGCGGTAGAGAACATCTATGTGCTGTGGCTTCTGCGTTGTACTACCAATGTGACATTCTTTGCTTAAGCATCGTTTGATGTCGAGCGGGGTTCTCCGGGAGCGGGGGATAACGTGCGATATTCATGCGCCTGGCTGCCTCCAGACCATCTGGTTTTGTAGTCTGAACGTCGCTCGCAACCCGGCGAACCGCTTGTGTGGGGCCTGATTAGTGGGCTCCGCTTTGCAGCTGTGTCCGATCTGCTTGACCGAGAGCAAGAACATGGCCTTCCAGTGCGGGCATCAGGTAAGCGCCGGCACGTCCCACGTCACCCGCCGCTTCCTCATCATCTTGTTGAAGGGCGACACATAGAGTATCGCATGTGGTAAGGCGGGCAAACACCGCTGCGATACTGCGTTTGCCGTTGCTCGCCACTTGATTTTAAAACCACGAATGGCCAGGGTTTGGGAAAGTTCTCCTGTAAACTGCCCCGGTATCCCCTGAAATTCTGAATCTTGCCAAAGCTTATGACCTGAACTTCGTACTGCCACTTGCATGCGAAGTGTCACTCGAGCACAACTTCTAGCTCGGCTGTCTGTTGAATTTGCGGCCTGACGCTTCCCTGTATTTTTGCTGCAGACCTGTCGCAACTGCGGCGACACCTTGCAGAATTGCCCGATGTGTCGGGAGACCATCCGGACTAGGATACGACTCTTCTAAACGTACGATGATGGGGGCCTGTAAATATGAATAGGTGGTCATGCGTTATACAGTCACACGACGTTGCTGACGTTGCTGCGCGGATAGCAATGCTTTTTGGACCGAGCTCGTAAAGATGAAGTTCGATAGATCGAGGTGGTGTAGACAGAGAAATCAGGTAGCCAAATCACTACAGGTGACTCCATCAGGCAAAATGCTTGTCAGTCACTGCTCGATATATAAAGTGCAAAGTAGAGTCAAGGATAGGGGTCAAGCTATGAGAGTTCGTTGGTCAATCTCAAACAAGTGCTACAGCGTGGGGGGTGAGTGTGAAGCGCACCCAAGCCGTTGATATCTCCTTCGTGAGGACTTGGTTGCAACTTCTTCATGCAGAAATTGAGAATTGAGCAACCCGTCCGAGGATTTCTTTACTAGCTAGACCACATTGGCTCTGTGTATACGTTTACTCGAGTCCGACCACTGAAAGGCCGGTAAGTTGTGGGCCATCATGTAGCAGTAACGCGAGAGAAGTCATGGCCCATGAGAACGGCCGCCTGGCCTAAGTCATGTCGCGCCGGGAGGTGTCACTCAGTGCAGTCAAATGTGCCAAGATACTTGCAATATTATGCACTGTGCACTTATACTTTATCAAGCGAGCGCCGCAAAGTTACTTATCTGATTTTTGATTGCAAGCTGAAGGATCCAAGCTGCAGATGCCGTCATTTATAAGTGACTGCAATTATCAGCTTCTAATCTAAAATCAACTCAAAATTGCTTTTAGATTAGAAACGTCCATATCACGATCGAACTAGGTTACGTCAGATCATTCAAATCCTGCGCGTACTGTAAGCCATCGCGATCAGAGAACACGTACCTAGATCGGACTGCATCATTACGCGGGCCTGGCGCCTGCCGGCCCGCCGTATACGTGTACTTGCAAGATTCAAGCGTCCAACTTCTCTTCCAATATGCATGTTCAATTATGATCCAACAGGCTTCCACCAATGCGCAGAGCTGAGCTGAGTCGATCGATCCGCCGCTCGCCCAACTCATGACATGCATGAGTCCAACACGCGATCGAATGCCTGCCGCGTGCCGCCATGAGTATGGGTGCCAAGACATGCAACAATCGCCCCTGCCACTCTACCGCAGCCCGTCATCATGCCGGATCGAACATGTGGGTGGCGCACATGGCGCGGTTGCAGGTCGGAACCTTCCGACTGATCGACACTGATTATCATAGTGGATTGATGGATGTATGCGAGCTTTGATTGTTGCCAAAGCTCGAATTAAACTTCTGAGGGCCACAGGATATCTGTTTTGATCAAGAGAGCCTCTCAGTAAACCCTACTTCAGAGTATGACTACTTTCGAAATATGGACTACGTCGATCTTCTTAAAGTCTTGACTCCTGTTACGCCTGAGCAAAATACTGACCACTAAAACAATCAAAAAACTAACGCTACCAGGCCAGCAATGACCACGAAGATACTGGCACTTGCAATGAAGCTTTTTGTCGCGCCAGATGCCGGTGCCGCTGGCGGCGGGGCTACCTGCTGATTCGTTCCGTTGCGAACAGGTCCGGTCGTCAAAAATCCAGCGGGTGATGGTGCCGGGGCCAGCGCAAGAAGCGAGCTGGCAATCTGAGGGTCGACGCCCAGGGTGAGATTCTTGAACGGGTTGGCGACTAGGGATGGAGGACATGAGCTGTCGGCGGAGCACGTGAAGAAGTTGTTGTCGTACCTGCCGTGGCGAGAAAGCGGAAGAAATTATCTGAACTGGGACCGACAATGGATAAGCGCCGCAATCACGAGACGTGCACGAGACTGAACGTACCAGATCTTGACCGAGGCGGATAACTGCTTTAGTGCGCGGTGAAGAAACAACTTCGAATCCTTTCCGTGTCTTTAACGAGCGCGAAGTCTTTGAACCCTACGCGCACTTCACACGAATGTCTGACATAAACCATTCAGAGTACTTTGAGGATCGGAGCTCTTTTCAACTGACTCTGAACTGTGCAGGGACTTGTGACACGTACCAGAGGTGGAGATCAGGGTATCTGACACGATCGAACAAACAGCTGTTTGTGAGGTTCCCCGTCAGCCGATTGTTCGAGATGTCGAGAGCCTTCATGTTCTTGAGCCCGTTGCATATAGTGCTCGGAACCTCTCCCGTGAAGTTGTTGTATCCCAAGCCTCTGCAAGAAGCACCGCTTTCATTGTGTTAGACTCTCATCTCTCTTCTTTAAAAGCCGCACACGGACAACTCGAACCGCTCTTCTGAAGTCGATTCTTTGGAAACGAAGCTTATGTAACACGCGGAAATTGGTTCCTGAACTTCTGAAAGCGAAGCATCGGGAAACGAATGATGAGAAAGTTTCATGTTTCTTCCCATGTCCTGAGAAGTGTGTGCTCAAGCGCAACTCCTTTGCTCTAGGTAACTGAATTAGAAAGCTGGGGTTTTTAAGGAACAGTACGTACAGTATCTCCAATCTCGAAAGGTTTCCCAGCTCGAGGGGCAATGTGCCTGACAGCTGATTGTTGTCCAGGTTGAGGAAAGTCAGGTCGAGAGTGGTGAGGCAGACTGGTAAAGGCCCCCCAAACGAGTTGTCACTCAGATCCCTGAGAAATAGAGATCGAACGGAGACTGCATTTAGAACGAAATTGGATCTGGGGCAATCAAAAGCTTCTGGCGGCTTACTCGGGTTTGATCTGACCAGAGATCGAGAGCAGCAAACTGACGACGAAGTCCAGAGTCGGTCTCCTTTGAAAATGGAAAAACTTCCCAGTCATCGGATAGCAATTTATGAAGCTGCAAGGTCGGACCGTGTGATTGCAGGGGCTAGAAAAAATTCTGAGATGTAGAACTCACAACTGTTGGAGATTCGATCCATTACATCCCGTTGGAAGGTCTCCAGAAAGCCGGTTTATCCCTAAGTCGCTGCATCGAAAGACACTTCGTTTTTGAGATCGATCAAAAAGACTCTAATAAATCATGTAAATGCCAAAGCGCAAATAAGTATCTCTGAGCAGTGACAATAAGAGACGCTTCGTCTAAGAGGGCACACTATTAACTAACCTGTCAGCTAAAGTTTGACTGATGACCACTCACAGCGCTCTGATGGACGGGCCCTGGAATATGGAGAGTGGCACGCTGCCGGTGAACGAATTCCCGTTCAGTGAGATCTCCTGAAGCGCGGTCATATTCTTGAAGAAGCTGGGGACTGCGCCTCCAAGCTGATTGCCTCCGAGATTGCTGTAAGGACGAAGGGAAACGTTTTGAACTTTTCCCTTTTGACTTTCCGCTTTTGCAGTACCATTTGATATGAGAGTGTACAATACCAGAACTTAGTTTCTCTGCGCAAGCCGACCTCAGAGAATGATTCCGAGTACAATCCTATTGAAGCATAACGACATGCTCTGATGAAACCTGTGCACGAGACTTCTGAGCCGAGAGAAGAGTGGAAACGTCATTTCCCCGCCCGATTTTTGTAAGTCGACAGATGGATCAGGTAATCACTGCGTGTTCGCCGCGGTTGTCAAAACTTACATGCTTTGAAGATTCCTCATGTTGGTGAAGGAAGTGGGCACGGGTCCAGTGAGCTTGTTGTTTGAGAGATCGAGATGAAGCAGTCTATTTAGATATGCGAGCTGGTCCGGGACTGGGCCTGAAAGCTTGTTCTGGCTGAGATCCAAGTGCTGCAGGGCCTGAAGGTTGCTCAGAGAAGCGGGAATCCCGATCGGACTAGTGGTATTGAGGCTTCCGTTCTCATCTACCGCCCCAAGAGAGTTCTGGCTAAGGTCCAAAAGCACCAAACTGTTGAGCTTGCTGAGATCCGGAATCGACCCCAATAGACGGTTGTTCTGCAGTTGCCTGTCGGAAAGAGGTGGGAGACGTTGTGATGAAACGCTTCGAAGGTGATAATCCAAAGGGACAAACAATGACAAATTGTCTTACTGAAAGCAGAAATATTCTTTCTAATTCACTGAAATACGTGCCCTCGCAGCTAGCGATAGTGAATTAGGCAGAGCCTGCTCCATAAGAACGGGATGGAGAAAGATTCTAGATCATGTCACGTGTCGGCTTTAATTCTCGTATTTCGTACTACTTTCAGTGATGCATCTCAACCGAGATACTTACAGACTTGTGACCTTTGGGCCAATGTCAGCGATGGTCGCTGGGATGGGACCAGTGAGCAGATTGATTTGCAGTTGGCTGCAGAAAGGCAGAGGAAGAATCTGAGGAACAATCTGAATGCAGATCAGCACAGTTGGTTCGAAGGGGTCAAAAGGCGCTGTGTTTCAAAAGTGCGATTGAACAAAGATCTTGTCTGAAAATGTCGAAGTTTCCAGGGCAAACTTTCAAGACCTTCAGAAGCTTATTTCAAATCTGAAATAGCTCGAGATCAACTTACACGTCACGCAACGTCTTCATGTTGCCAATCTGGTCAGGAATCACTCCAGTGAGTCGGTTGATCTGCAGCTGCCTGCAAAATAGACGATGAAAAGAGCGTCCGAACGCTGCAAAGACTCGTGCCCCTTACTTAGTACTGAGGGCGAATCTTATCATAGACGATGTCTCCCGGCCAATCTATTTTCGAGGAGAAACAACTCGCTCGTGACACGTACTTCGATAAGCCCGAACTCGATTACTAGGTAAAACGTGACAGCACCTTTGAAACTGGACATTGTTTGTGAACATAGCGCACTTACAGTGTCTGTAGTGCAGGCAACGTTGTAAGAGAAACAGGGATGGGCCCGCTGAGGTAGTTGCTGTTTAGGTTCAATGCCTTGAGTTGATAGAGATGCGACAGCTCGTCAGGAATGCTTCCTGTAAGTTGGTTTGACGAGAGATTCCTGCGTGCAGGGAAAAGGATCGACATGTTGAGAGGTCTTTTGAGATCTCATGAGGACAAGACCGTTGGTGCGTGATCATGAGGTCGAGGAACAGGACGCACTTGAAAATGTGTATCACGAATTGCGAACACTATTTGCGGTTGCCGAAGGGATGGCACTTTCTAGCCGTTTTGGAGTACTTACAGGGCTTGTAGTTGTGAGATTCTTTCAAGCTGGGGTGGAATGTTGCCCGTCCAGAGGTTTGTCGAGAGATCTCTGCAAGGTACATGAAATAATCTCAGAAATTGTAGTGATCAGGTGGATGACTGCTTTTCTCTATCAGAGGCAAAGCAGGGTTAGGTAAGGAATTGTAGCTGTAACATCGCCCTTTCTTTAAGGTTTATTGCGCAGTTCTCCTTACATTCAATTCAAAAGCCCGCATCTGAGACAACGTCTTTCCGAATCGATTCTTTTTGACATTTGAATTGAGCAAGAAACGCTCACAGTTGCACCAGACTGGTCAGATTCCCAATGTTCTTGTTAATGCACCAGCTGTCGGTTCGGTGGTTTGGATATGCTGCGAGGTCAGCAGACGAAGGTGCTGTGCAGCTCGCTTCATTTCCAAGCTGGTTGTTATTCAGCAGCCTGCAAGAACTTAAAGTCAAATTGACGTATGCAAGGGTTTAGCTATGGATTGGAGATGACGTGAAAAAGAGATCACTTCAGACACTTCTGAAAGCATTGAACGAATATGGGGTTCTACTATACTCTGATAACATATGAACCATTTGTGACAAGCCCTAGAGACTGGCTCACGCAGAAGTCCAGTGGATACAGCTAGGGAGTTGGTCCATCAATGAAAAGCTGAAAGGTAGCCTCGAGAATACTTACAGGCTTTGGAGGTTTGGAAGTCTGGCCAACGTGTCAGGAATGCCTCCATAAAGGCCACAATTTGACATATCCCTGCAACGAAGGTTGACATGGAGTTGGCCTTCAGCGTACGAATCGTAGCTAAGAATCGAAGGAACATTTTGGGTCGGGAAAAACTCTCGAGAATGCAGATTCCATCCAGCTCCTTCCAAGGCGATCATGGAAAAGCTCAAGTATCAACGTGCAGAGAGGACCGTAAGAAATAGAGATGAATCTCGTTTCTGACGTTCTAAGGACGTTGAGTCTCACAAGTCGGTCAGGGCCGTGAATGAGCCGTCCAAGAACGATGGAATGCCTTGACCCCCAAGCGGATTGTTTGAAAGAGTGCTGCAAGAGAACGACAGAATGAGTTATCTCCTCTTCAGTGCCAAGACAGAGCCTGAAGCGCTGGACCCTGTCGCTGAATCGCTTCGACTTTAGCAAAGGTGGTCATCGAGCCTATCAGGCATGTCTTCAGGAACAACAACAACACCTTGAAGAGTCAGTCAGCTCACTGGTTCATCAAGATTTAGCGGCAATCATCGAGTAGCATTTCTCACAGAGTTTTCAGCTTCTTGAGGGCGCTTAGTTCGTTGGCAATCCCGTTGAAACCGTTGTTTGCCGCGTTGATCGAAGTTAGAGACGGCAGAAGGGCCAAAGATTTTGGAATCGTCCCAGAAAGTGAATTGTTGTCCAGGATCCTGCAGTTCGGAGATTGGTTGTCTCTTAATGCATCACGTTTGCATCACGCTCGCATGACAGTCGAGGGGGATTGCCAAGATACCGCTTGATCATGAGTGCATTGCTCTGGAGTAACGTGCAGAAGTACATTAGAAACTTGGATTTAATAGGAAAACTCTCACAGCATATTCCCTCGAATATTCACAGCCTCGTCTAGGAGGTTGCATACAGTGGCCTGGTCAATTGGAACCTTTGCCTCTCGACCGGTTGACTCAGCTCTTTAGACGACGACACCCTTCCAAGTAAACACTGGAGGCCTTTGAAAGGGGTACTCACAAGCTTTGCAACTGAGACAATCGACTGAAGTTTACGCTGGTCAGATCCCCAGCAAAACGGTTCCCACCAATCTTCCTGCAAAACACAGCACAAAGATACATTAACTTCGAGGAAAGCGCAATTGAGAATATTCTGAACAGCTTGAGTATTGTTAAGAAAAGCTACGCAGTAAGATATGATGCACTAGAAGGGCTGTGCTAATACCTCGGCCCATCTGCCCAAATCTCTTTCCGAAAACGAGATGAACGATGTCGATGCAAATGTGCATGGCGCATGCTGACAAGCACCGAAGCCAAGCTTACAGAGTGACAAGGTTCGTCAGGCTCGTTATGTCTGTGGGAAACGGCGCGGCGATGTTCAGGTTCGTTAGATCTCTGCAAGATGAAATAGCAAAGCATAAGCAAGAGGCTCATCGTGAGTTGGATGTCTGTAGACAAGTATCGTTTTTACATGCAAGTTCGGCGTTGTTGCAATAAGCTCGATGGATGCTTTTTAGATAAGGGTCAGACAGGAGATATTTTGTTCTGCTCCTCTTGAGTTTCACGGTCATCTGACATAAAAGCAAATCTTTTATAAACGGACATCAGCTTCGAGGTTCACTCACAAGGTCACGACGACTGCGTAATTGGTCGCATCCTTGTTGCTGACGGGGTTTGATTGTGACCAATCACATGTGATGTGCAGCCAAACGCCATCGCCACAAGGGTCGCTTCCCTCCACCCATGAAGAGAAGGCTCCATTGTCATTGCTCCCCACCGCTGCTTTGATTTTCATCAACGCATTGTCTGCACGGGTAAGTAAGAGTCGAGGTCAATCTCTTGTATGAAAGAAGCTTACTCCCAGTAATACGAACTTCTTGACGTCAAGGCCCTATGATTGTGATTCATAGCATCAGCTTGGCATGGGTGTCTGAATGTTCAAAGGCTTAATGGCCGATATATCCTGCAGATCCTGTACTCAAACGTGAGACAAAGAGGTCTGATGCTGTCTTCAAGGTGGACAGTATGCACCTATGAATCTCATCGATTTCGCGTTTCGAGCTTACAATCTTGAGGAGACGTTGACTGGTTCGCGTGTACTGCAGACCAGTGCCAGCTTGCAAGCACAGTAAATGCGAGGAAGAAGCAACGGCTTGTTGCAAAGAAAGACATTTCGGAAAATAGACTTCTGAATTCTCCCGGTCTTGCTAAGAAGTGCAACTTCGATCGTTATTGACGAACACTCTCTGCAGAAGATTTGAAGGCCAGGCGGAAGTCGACCGGTCTTGCTCTGCTCGGTTGATCAGCCGTCCAAAAGAAGACTGTCCTGCTCTCGCGCTACTCCTGAGAGCCCAAGCTTTCAAGCTTCGTCTATGCTGGCTGCATGTACGTACTTGCTGTGAGTCCTACCTAACAGTGTCTGCCTACTCCAGTCGCTCAGCAAGCATTCGGATTATGCAAAGCGACTCGCTTGCGCATCTTCGAGCGGAGTTTAGAGGCGTAGTCAGCTGCCTTCAAGCTGAAGTTGGCACTGAAAGGCCGCATGACTCGTCGCGGCCGCACGGGGGCCGCACTGAGCGGCCGGGCGCTTCGGGCCCGCGGTCACAGTTCGCGCGCCAATTCCTCTACGGAATTGACAGTGACTTCCCTAGCCTTCGGCACCTCACACTTCAATGGGGAGTTCGTCAAGTTCTCAGGTCAAGGTAGAGGACTTTTGTAATCAAACTCGCCACTGTTCAGAACCCTTGAACTTAAGTTGAAGTGGCAAGGGCCAATTCAAGTGGCAATTGTACCAGGACTCTCGATCATCAGGGACTCTGGGTAGGAACGAATACGGTAGTGGTGCACGGAGTACCTATGAGAAGTTATGGTGGAAGCAGTTGCACCAATCACCTGCCTGCGCGTCTAGATCTTCCCCACAATCGTTGCAAACGGATTGTCAATTCATGGGATATCAATGAAACAAAGGAGGCGAGGTTCACAAATCACCCATAAATGGACCTTAGCATGCGACCTGGGCTGTCGTCCGAAGCTTTGCTTGCAGTTATCAAGCGAAAACTGGTGGTCTGGGAGTCTCAGTTCCTCGCAGAGCATGGCCGAGAACCTGGGAAGTTGGACGCATATGCAGATGAGAAAATGGGTGAGCATTGAAAATCTTTATTGACCTGCCAAGCAACTGTATGTTTTGCTATCTTTGCATGATGCGTCATCTGATTTGAGCTGAAAATGAGCCACCAGGTTTGCAAGCCCCTTGCTGTATGCGTTGTGGAAAGCCTATCCTCCAGTCCAGGTCATTGACTTGAGACCATTGGATAAATCATTGCAGCGGCGCTCTATCGGAAGTACGCAATGCTGAAAATGGCCGTCAACAGGAATGGAGCACTGCCGAGGGGGAAGCCAGATTCAGTAAGCAGCTTGATGACTTATGTTTGTGGCATGCTGGCTGCTTCTATTGCATGGAGAGGCGTCATCCGGCGGGGCAAGCTTCTCGTCTTGACGCAACAGCGATTGATCAAAAAACAAATCTGGTCTGGGTATGCCCTGGCCACAATACTGCATCACTTGAGCATGCTTAGCAAGTGCGCTTCACAACATTCTTACCGGCGCACAGATTAAGAGGAAGAGGGCAAGGTTTTCCAGATACTGACTGTTTCAATGTTTCCTCCAGGCCTCTCATCATCTGGCAACAAAGGGGGCTAGTGCAGCCACCCAGCGTTGTCTCCTTGAATCAAAAGGCAAGAGGCAGTTTGAAGTTGATTCCCAGGTCAACAAAAAGCACTTGGCAAGGGCACCGTTGAAGGACAGGGCCAATCTGCAGAACGACAGCATGCAGGGGAACCTCCAACGGACAAAGCTGCCCAAGCCGAAGCAAAAAGGTGGGCTCTTAGGGGATGTTTTGGGGAATGGGAACAACCTTGCCAGCGCACGTGGAGGACACTCTTTTAGCAGATGGTTACCTTCTGATGGGGAGAGGGGAGAAGAGCGGTCCAATGTGTCCACAGTCATCCCGGTTGAAGCTGACAACGCATTTGCTGAAGAAGGGCTTTCAGCAAACCCCAGAAACCCCTCGCACAATCAAGACCGGCTGAGCCGGGACCCAAACAGCCCGCAGCGATCACAGAAAGGAGCTAGCAGTATGATAGCTGACAGCAAGGTCAAGTTACCCTTTCAGCCGGCAGCGCAGGGTCAAGGGCGCAGTTCTGGGTCATACGCTGGTGCGGGGTCCTTTTCTAAGAAGCATGGCTCATTCACTGGGTTTGCCAAGCTGCAACAGGTGAACGGACTACTTGCAGAACAAGCCCCAGAGTTGACAGGATCTGGCCCTGAGCAAGAAGCAAGGGCACCTAGTAGCATGGATACAGTGCCCCCGTCTGAACGCCTCAGAACAGACAACAGCTGCCCACGAAGCAACGCGGTGGCACAAACTCACTTAGTAGGCATCGCAGCCTGTGAGTCGGAGATAGACAACGACCAGGGAGTCCAGCGGACAGAAGAGTGTTTCGCAGAGTCGATCGGGCAGGAGCGGCAAGCAGGGGAAGGAGCGGGCCAGGCGAACCAGGGGCAAACTGCTGGGGGGCATGCCGAGCTCCCTCAATTCAGCAAGCTAGATGGAAGGCGTCAAGAGCCAGGCAGTGCAGAGCCAGTACCGAGTGGCCAACAAGAAGCTGCAGAAGGAGGAACAGGGGCCGCGGTTAGTCGACCGATAGAAGCAGACTTGGGCGCGAGCTTAGGCAGCAGCCTGCAGGCCGGCGGCGCCATCGAGGCCAGGCTCTTGAGATTGACGGTGGTCCAATTGAAGCAGCAGCTGGAAGGGCGGGGCCTCGTGTGCAGGGGCAAGAAGCAAGAGTTGGTGGCACGCCTAGTTGGGGCCATCTTGGAAGAGGGCGACCTGAGCAACTGGGAGGAAAGCCTGGGGGTGCTCGATGCCGGGGGCTGGGGTAACCCTTCTCTGGTGTTGAAGCGGGGAGCAAAGAGTGCAACAGCGAGGGGAGAATCTGGTCGGGGTGAGAAGCACGGGGCTGGCGCCGTTGCGGAGGGCAGTCAAGAGCAATGTGTGCAAGATGGAAAGAGTGCGGCAAGTAAGGCTTCGACAAAACGGAAAGCGGGAGCGAAACAGAAACGGGCAAAAGGGGCCCTTGCTGAAGGTGCAACCTCTGAGTCCAGCGACGAAGACGTGCAGATCTTCGATGGGGCTTCAAAGAGGAGTCTGCGGAGCAAATCTGAAAAGGGGGAGAAAGAAACCGCTGGCCAGGACGAAGATGCCCCGGAGACGGCCTCAGAGAAGAGCTTTGACTCAAACGATCTCAGCGACTCGGATGACGACTACAAGCCACCGAAAGAAGGGGAGGCGGTGGCGGCAGAAGCAGAGGCTGCCCAGGTTGCGAGTGAGGGAGAAGCAGATTCAGGGGACCCGGAACGGCAGCCTCGAGGGAAGCGGAAGAGAGCTGCTGGTGAGGAAAGCAGTCAGAAGAGGAGCAAGGCGAAAAAGGTGGCGGCCGCAGGGGAGCCAGTAAGCAGGTCGAAGGGGACGAAACGAAGTAGGACGGTGTCGGGGCCTGGTGAAGAGATGGAACGTGGGGGGACGAAGAGGGCAGCGGCCGCCAAGCGGAGGGCTGAGCTGCAAGCTGTGGGGTGGGGAGGGCCCGTTCGCACCAGCCGGGCTACTGGCAAGGCATCAGGCAACTTCTCGAGCGCGGGGCTGCCGGTGCGCGACAACTTTGTGCGGCAGACCATCAACGGCAGGGGGGGCGGGAGGAAGCGGTTCACAAACGGGGGGCGGTCTTCCTTCAGGAGTAAGAGCGGAACCCGGCCGTTCAAACGGAACTGGGGCAAGTCGCGGAGGGGCGGAAAGACGGGGTCGAGACCAACGGGCAGGGGGGCTGCTCCTGGGAGTGAAGAGCCTGGTGAGGGGGGGACGGGGGAGGGGTGGGGTGCTGAGGAGCAGCCGGGCCTCTTTAAGAACGAAGGCTGGCTGCCCGCAAGTGCAGGGTCCGCAGTCCAGACGCCGGAAACTGAGTCCCTGGGGGAGCCTTCGATACCTTGTCAGCTGGTTGACCAAGCAGAGCCACCGCCGGCCAGCGTCAGTAACTGTCCGAATGATGCTGAGACGGAGGCAGCGATGCAGGCGGCCCGGGGGGATCCCTCCGAGAGCAACCTGCTGATCGTTCTCCAGCGGCTGTTTAGTTTCGACGACTTCCGGGAGGGCCAGCTGGCGGCCATTCAGCGGGTGCTGGCGCAGCGGTCGACCATGCTGGTGCTGCCGACAGGGGCGGGGAAGTCGCTCTGCTACCAGGTGGGAACTCATCTTTCGTCTCTTTGTGTATCGAAACCAATCTGATGTGTAGTTTCTGCTTTGCTGAGGCGCACAAGTGCGCAGAAGAGGCGCAAAAGCCCACTCAGAAGACGACTGTATTCTCAGATTGCCCTGTTGCGAAAACGAGTATTATGCGTGCGGGTCAATACTATCCTTGACACTCAAGAGCAGACCGAACACAGTCGTCTTAATGCGATTTTATCTCATCGCTTCCGAGGGATTAACACCGTCTTCTGGAAGGGCGGCGCCTGACCCTCACTTTCCGGTGATGCCAGCTGCCCGCACTGCTGCTGCCGTCCCTGACCCTGGTCATCTCCCCGCTGGTAGCGCTCATGACGGACCAGCTGCAACACCTGCCTCCCTGCCTGCCCGGGGCGCTCATCAGCAGTGCGCAGGTGAGAAAAACACACCCTGCGAGGAAAGCTAACTAGCAGAAATACAATTTGCGAAAATCTTCTTCGACCTGAACCGGAATGTGACATGATGGGACCTCGTACTGGAGGAGTGCTGACCCTTGCCTCACGCCAATTGAATAGAAACATTTTGCAAATGGTGACTGGTTACGGGACCCGGATTTGCGTGCTCCATGGACTGTCTCCGTAAACGCGTGTTCTCCGTAACCCTTTTTTGAGTTCCGTTGAAAAGAGTCAGCAAAAGTGACATTATTCTCCTTGGCAGGCCCCTTGGGAGAGCGCCAGCGTCATCGCAAGGCTGCAAGCCGGCGAGCTAAAGGCAAGCCTCCCCCCCGTCTTTCTGTCCGCCTACCCGCTCTTGCTTTGTGTCGACATGTCAGCGTCATGTGTTCGTTGGTCGCCGCTTTTCTTCTCTCGGTTCCTTCATAATGTCCATTTTCGAGCCTGGTTCTCATCCTTTAATAGTTTAGCAAGCGCCTCTTCTGTCGCGCTCCTCGTTGCTGGTCCCCTTCTCGCGGCCCTATTTTTTTCCCGACCACCTCTGCTGAAACCGGTCGATCGTGCAGGTGCTGTTCATTTCTCCGGAGCGGCTCTTCAGCGAGACGTTCCTTGCGGTCATGGCCAGCCTGCCGCCCGTGTCCCTGGCCGTCGTTGACGAGGCGCACTGCGTCTCAGAGTGGTAAGCAGCCAACGGGACCGTTCCATGTCTTTCGCCAGATTGTTTTTTCAATGATGCAACTCAGATACACGCCTTCGAGGAGCCGATTTTTCGTGACTGTCAGTACAACATCGAAAGGTGCATGTGTGCCCCGACCGCATTCTAAAAGGAAAAGCAGCGGAGAATGGATGAGCGGTCAAAAAAGGAGATCTCGACTCAGACATGAAAACCCCCGCGATCTGCAATCCGCCGTTTGACACGTGCTGTTGACACGCCTCGTACAACCAGCAGCAAGCCGCTTCTCAAAGCCGATCGCACGACCCATCGATTATCCGGGAAAGAAGGTTGCCTGCGACAACGAAGTTTTGCTTGCCAAAGCAATCCAAAGCAGCCAACGTTATTCCTCCACTTCAAAAGGCCCCACCAACCGCTCCATTGCAGGTCCCACAACTTCCGCCCCTCTTACCACCGCCTCGGCTCCGTCCTCCGCTCCCGCCTGCGCGTGCAGTGCGTCCTGGCCATGACTGCCACCGCCACCCCCAAGACGGAGGCCGCGGTCGCGGCCGCGCTCGCGCTCCCCGATGACGCCATCATCCGGTCGGCGCGAGTGCGGGAGAACCTCCGCCTGTCGGTCAGCAAGGAGGCCAACAAGTGAGCGCGCGCGTTTCTGAGCTGAAGCATGATGTTTGTATCGCTTGATGCTTTTTAGGGAAAACTTAAACATTCGTTCCGGGAGTTCTTTCTAGCCAACGATCGAACGCTTGCTCATATGTCCGGGCTAAGCATGCCGAGTGGTCATGCGCTTTCCCCTGCTTTAAGAGACGCCAATTCCAGAAGCACGAAGTCTCCCGTCCTGCTCAGCTTGTGAACGACCGTTGAAGGACCTTCCTATCTTTCGGCTAGGCAAGCCCGGACTTCCTTGCATGAAACGCAGCCGTTGATTCCGATTGGTCCTTTCGTTCCGTCGATTTCAGGATGTATGCCCTGGCCGCCATGCTCAAGACGGGGCCCTGTGCAAAAGTCAAGAGCGTCATCGTCTACTGCATCTTCCAGGTAAGCAGAGAGCCCCGAAGGCCGCGTAGTTTCTCTGACGTTTTCTCTGACACAGTAGAACATTCTCAGACAGCTCTTTGTGGACGAGGACCATATTGCCAGGTGCGTATGCCAGTAGTAGTTTAATTTAAAGGTTTCGGAACAGTCGTAGGACGACCTCTATTTCTGAAAGCGAAACCCGATCTCCGTCTAAAATGCTGGTAACCTCTCCTTTCAGGCACAGACGGATCAAGTGGCCGCTTACTTGGAAGCCAACGGGATCTCTGCTAAGGTGGGTCCTCCGCCGGGCTTGCAGATTGTCTTTTCCACAAGTTGCCTTTTCGAGCTTGACAGCGCTCCTCATCGACGCTTGCAACGAAATTTGTATCATTCGAGCACATTCTGTAGGTTCTAGAAGGTCAAGAGTTGCAAGGTGGATTCGCTCGTCCTGCACTTACAATGAGGCGACTGCTTGACGCCCGCCCCTGACTTCAGCTGCTGACGTCAGTACGGCCGCTCTCGTGCAGAGCTACCATAGCGGCAAGCACGGGGACGAGCGCGCGCGTATCCAGCAGCGCTTCTGTGCCAACAAGCTGCGAGTGGTGAGCGAGTCGCCGAGGGCCTAACTTTGCTTCGTCAAAACTGGTTTGCAATGCATTATTGCAGTGGCGCAAGCCCTTCCTTCTTCTGACTAATGGTGTGAGGGGCATGAGCCCTTTACAAGCAGCGACTGTCGGATCGAGTCGAAGAGCAGTTCAAAGAGCTCGGAGGAAGCCTCGCGTAATTTTAAAGTGTCCGAAGCCTTTCCTTCAAACGTCGTAGGAATCTATGAAGAGGTTGCGATCTCGATGCCACTATCTGTCAACACCTGGAAGGTTTCTTTTGAAACCTTCGCTTAAAATTCCTGCTTTTCGTCAGCGTGAAGTCAGAGAGCCATACGCAAAACCTCAACGTTACATGCAGTCTGAACCTCAGACAACAAGAATACGGGCGTCATTAATGCTTTGACGCGTGATCGTGCGGAGGCAGACGCGTCATCTTCCCCCATTACCGCACACTTCGCTTTGAAACCGCCACTCTCAAGTTTCGTGTCCTCTACCCAATTCAACCTGTAAGGTGGCCCTGAACGGGACGCATACCCTATCCCCTGCAGGTGGTGGCGACAGTGGCTTTTGGCATGGGCCTTGACAAGAGCGACGTGGGGGCTGTGATCCATTACAACATGCCGCGCAGCCTCGAGCACTACGTGCAGGTAAGGCCACCTGCCCTCACCGCCGCTCGTCGCATCTGACTGACTGTTTAGAGCATTGTTTTGAGGAAAGTGGATCCTGGAAAGCTCCAAAATAGTCCTACTCTGAGGGACTGGTTCTCAGAGGCGAGCGACTCGTCATAGCCCGCGTGCGGCAGCTTCTTTGCCTCCTGTTATCTCGCCTTTGTCAGCGTCGTCAACGCTGAAGGAGGTACTGCCCAGGACTTTCGAGCAAATTATGTAGGGTCAGCAGTCAGGCCTCCCTGAGCAGGTCCGCCATAGTCTTTGATGGTTCTCCGGCCTGTTTTCAGAGAATCATCATTGACAGCCAACTCTTCGGTACAGCGGCTGATTCACCGGTACATCATGCAAGCGGAATACCCCAAAAGCCAAGCGTTCTGTGTGCCCGTCAGCGCTCATACATACCAAGCGATTGCAGGAGATCGGGCGGGCCGGCCGCGACGGCTCCCTTGCGCACTGCCACCTGTTCCTGGACGACGCGGACTACATCAAGCTGCGCAGCCTGGCCCACAGGTACGTGTTTCGTCCTTTTGAGCTGCTCCTTCCGATGCTCGAGCGGAACCCAGTTTCCAATTCCGTTTCCGTGCGAGTTCTCACTACTTTCACACCTTATGTATCACCTTGCACACCTTCGGTACTTTACTTGCTGCTGGAAGAATCAGACTCCATTCTTACGGGAGAGGAGAGCATAACAGTGAGTCCAAACGGAGGTCTGCTTAGTTGGAAGAATATCCGGCACTCCCGTTGGATCGAGCTAGCGTTGCGCGCGGGCATGAACAAGGCTTTTGTGTTGTGCGCGAGCATGACCAAGGATCTTTCTGCTTGTGCAGCGACGGCTGCGACGCCAACTCCGTGCTGCGCTTCCTGTCCAAGGTCTTTGTCAGCGACGGCTCGGAGGTGCGCGCGGACCCCGCGGGGATGGAGTGCCGGGCGGTGGAAATCGAGGCGACGGCCACGGAGCTAGACCTGAAAGAGGAGGTGAGAGGACTTTTGATTTTGGCTCACGACACCCCGCAGCTCACGGATTGATAAGGCTTATACTAGAGCTGAGCGGGGGTTGCCTGTTCGACTTGATTGGGCACGCTGATTACTTCTGGGGCAAAAGGGTTCGCTCGCGGAAGTGAAGTGATGCACTCACAAAGATCAGTTTAATGCCGAGGTTCCCTTGCAAGGGTCCGAATATTTCAGTGGAGGTTCGGCCAAATGCGCCGAAAACATCCTCCCTGCGCAAATTAAAGTGTAATGCCGTGACAGCCAAGCGGTGGCGACATCGAAAGGTAGCAGTGGGAGATGTTGGAACGGAAAGGAAGCATAAGATGTCAACCAAGTTGCCACAGTGGTTGCGGCTGTCCCAGAAGAGCCTGGTTGCGGCTGTCTCTTGGCGGCGACCTCGGAGCCGCCATCCCTGCCTTTCTGTCGCCAAACAAGAAGCACGCGAGCGCAGGTGATGGCGACCATCCTGTCCGCGCTGGAGGTGGGCGACGCCCAGTACGTGCGCGTGCTGTCCCAGCTGAGCGCCACGTGTACGGTCACCTTTCACGGCCGCAGCCCCGCCGCGCTGGCCGAGGCGCACCCGCTCGCGGCCGCCATCCTGCGCCTGTGCCCGCAGCCCAAGCAGGGCCGATTCACATTCGATGTGCCCAGCCTCGCCAGCGCGCTGAGGGAACCGTTGGCGACGGTGCAGCGGGAGCTCCAACGACTGCAGGTGCGCAGCGAGAGGCTCGTATCTCTCAGCTGTTGTCAGGAAATGCGAACATGTGGTTTGAGGTCTGAGCATGTGAGGGGTATTGGGAAGCTGCTGTGCACGATTTGCGAGCGCAAGGGTCTACGCAGGGTGGTGATTCTGTAACTCACAGAGGGTTCTTGGCTCGCTTGCTCGCGACGCGAAAGGGATGCTGACGGACATGATGACGTCCTTTCTACTCTGACGAGTCCGCACGCTGACTGCCGCCGTCTGCTTATGCACACTCAAGTGCCGCATATCTCGTCGCAATCCTGTCAAACCCGGTGATATTAACACACTCTCAGCAGTGTCAGACGTGTCCTCGATGGCAAGCAGACTGAGACTTGATGCTACTTTTGGGGCAGTCTGCGCGGGAGATTCAGTACGAGGTGAAGGACCCCGCGTTCTGCTTCTCCGTGCTGCGGCAGCCCGAGGACCTCGCGGCGCTCAGCCGGGACATCGCGCAGCGGCTCGACGAGGTGGAGCAGTGCAAGGTGAGCGGCAGACCGCCAACCGCGCTTTAACCCGAAACCCTAGAATCACCCCGCTCGCTTGTCAATGCTGACGTTCAGGGAGTGGACACAGCGTTACAGTCAATGTTTACAGACACGCGTATGGGCGGGAGGTGGTTTGTACCGGCCGCATGCGCCTGAACGACAGGAGAAAGGGGCTTGACGTTACCGGTCTTCGGACCAGTCGTCTCGGTGGCCAGGGGACGAAAGCAACTCAAGGACTGTACACGGTCTGTTATGGCCCGGCGAAGTGTCTTCGGCAACACGTCTTAAAAACAAGTATACCGCCCACTTTTGAGGAAGACACACGTCAAGTCTTTTGCAGCTACAGCAGTAGGGCGTCTTTCTATCCAGCGTTGGGCTCTCAGTGACATCAGCAGGGCCTCTTCTCTATCTTAGAGTCGAGTCCCAGGCTTTTTGCAGCGACTTGAAAGGTGCGTCTTCTTTTTCCCAGGTCGCCAAATTGGACGCCATGTACAGCGCCGCGGCCGCGGCCGCGGCCGCGAACCTCCAAACCTCCCCCAGCAGCTCGGCGGAAGATGCCAACGCCCTGCTTCACCGGCGCATTGCTGAGAATTTTTCGACGGGAGAGGACGCGGACGCGCCACTGCCAGGGGTGGTCAAGCGCGCGAGCACCTTCCTCAAAGCGGATATCAAGGCAAGCACCGAATCTTTGCACGGCTAGAAGAAAACGATTGGGAGTGGTTGCTCGGCGCTTGCTGGGGATGCAGGGCGACTCGCTTGCGCAAAGCAGACCAAAGGAAGACCTTTGGGTCCCCAGCGACCTTAGGTGTGTGAAAACTTTTGACGTCAAAAGCAGTTATCGCGGAACTGGGCTCCTTATTTAGGCAGACCACGAAGCCCATGCCTTTGACGCCTCGCCCCGACATTAAGCCCATGCCTTTGACGCCTCCCCTCGACTCTGAAGGAAAGGTGCGAGAGTCTGCCGTTTCCCTCTGTCAATGAATGCACCGTCTGTCGTCGTAGAGCAATTTTAGAAAGTACAAGCTCCTCGGAGGTGCAGGCTGATTGGAAACTAGTTTCACTCCGCAGGTCTTTCTGAACGGGAACAAGCACGCTCCGCTGACGGGCCGTGCCGTCGCCCGCATCTTCCACGGGCTGTGGAGTCCGGCGTTTCCGTACCAGGACTGGTGCAAGAACCACTTCTGGTCAGTGCTCTGGCTGCTGCTACAAGGTTTCTGAAGGTCACGAAGAAACACGAGGAGCTCATCAAAGGCCTGCGGATTCAATCACCGACGAGGGCTGGACCTCGAAGTCTTTATGCGCGCTCAGCAATGGTGTGCATTCATTAGGAGACGTGACTTCCGCAACGGAAGTACGCAGTAGTATCGGAAACATAATTCCTGTCGCTAAAGCTGCGGTGGTCCACTCCTGAGAGGGTTATCATCCAAATGTGCGTCTGCTGGCTTCATTTGAGCGCTTCGATTTTGTCGTGCAGGGGTCGGTATGCGGACGTCAACTTCCACGACATTCGGAGGATCGCCACAGCAGCGCTAGTAGAAGCGAAGTGCAACAGATAGACGTAATCTACCCTTATCCTCCACTCCTTTGGTTTTGCGAGAGCTCGAATCATTGCTTGTACATCTGACGAACGAGAAGATGCATCGTTCCTGGCCCCAGGAGACGAATGTTACATTTGACTGGTAAATGCACATTTGACGCTCTTTACACCTTTTGACTGAGATTAAACTGGTCTTCTAATTGATCCGGGTAGGCGCCTATCTTTAGCATGGACTATTCGGAACGGTTCATCGATTACTTGCTTGACCCAGGGCGGCCGCAAACTAAAATACAGCTTGCCATCCCCCGGGGCACTGTTCCAATGCTCGGCTGCCTTTACCAGATGTAGGCGATCTATTTCCCTGTTGCAAGTGACTAGGACATTCATGTACGCTGCTATACCATCTCGAATGTCCGCACTCTCTTCTCCGAACTGGACTAGGAGCAAATCCTCTGGGTTGAAGAAGCACTCCACCGAGCATTCCGGCCACTCATTGGAGACGATGTTCTTCACTTCTTCGAGGATCGTTGATGCTTCGTTCCTCGAAGGGACGCTGATGGTCACCGTTTCTGCACATAAGCACACAGCCAGGTCGGTGTCACCTTGATCTAGCATGATCCATTAACAAGGTGCAGCATACTTCTACTGTGCATGATCAGTTTACTCAGATTTCTACCAAGCTATAGCACTCATATACACAACTCGGCCAGCCAATCCGTTTCTTCCACGTGTTCATATGCACAACTCATGGTAAAAAGCGCCATATGTTTCCAGAGGACCCAGCCATACTACCTAGCTTGCTATACATGTGTTCTACACCTCAGACCAGAATGACGAGCTCAGCTGGACTTTTCTTAATCTGAAACTGGCCTGATCAGGAAAACACTGGAAGCTTGACACGTTCTGTCAACAATGTAGCTCTCGTCATTGTATTTGTGTACGTTCGACCATTGGGAAGAGCCATCTGTGGATCCTTTAGAAAGTTGTCAGTCAAGACCCAGCTGCTACTAGTTGCATGGATGAATTCAAACCCGGCGCTTACTCGAGGAGGGCACAAAAGGCCCAAACAGCTCCAACGAGCGCTTTGATCGCTCTTCCAGCTTGCTGACGTCATACTGGTCCACATATGCCTGCGCCTCCGGCTCCCCTTCCACAAAATGGTAGTCTGCGTACTTGGGCTTAAGCGATGCTTCCTTGGGAACAATGAACGGGGTGCGCCCCTCGAGCGCCGACGTTCTGTCCGACCGAGGTGGGCTGTCAAGGAACGGAGTCGGGATGTACTCAAAGTCCTGGAAAAGGCGCCCCTTGGCGGTGTACCCCTTGGCGGGCGATTTGCTGCGACCCGTGGAAGTGAAGGGCTGCTCCTGGAGGTCCCTGCGTGCGGCGGTGACCGAGTGGTCGTCGATCTTCTCCGGCAGCCTGCGCAGGTAGTTGTAGTTTCCAGAGTGGAACGTTTTGTGGATGTAGTCTGCGCCCTCGTTCACGTACTCGGGCAGCAGCCATGCGGCATTGGGCAGAGCATAGCGCGGCACAGTACGCGTCTTCTTCAGCTCGATTGAGGGCTGATCGGCGGTGTGCCGATCGTCGGCGGCCATGCTTGGGCTGCCTAGTTGAGCAAAGAGGCTATTGTCGTCATCTTACTTTAGAATCGCTGCAGCCTGGCGCGGGAATCCAATGCACTCGCCTTTTTGAAGGCGCTTCAACTTTTCTTAGCAGACGTTGCCAGTTCTATCGCTCAATGGGGCCACTGTGTGATTGTGTTGTTGCCTTGCAACACAGCCTTCAGCGCTTCGCTAACGGCTGGGGCCAACATTCCTTGCCAAAAGGCAAGCGATTAACTTGTAAGACCTACTACAGACACTAGAAAAAGGTCCATAGATACGCAATAACGGCAAGGCAGTGGTGTGATTAGTGCCCACACCGACCGTAGGTCAGCCAGCAAGCCTGTACACAGTACGTACCACTAGACACAATACAGAACTTCACATTGCTAAGCCCACCAGTCTTGTAGATGTTTTCGTGGTCATAGGACTCTCATTTGGCTCTGTCTTGTCCAAGGACCAGAACTCAGCCACTCTTGACTCGGTAGACAAAGCTACCAAGAGCAAGTTTGAGTACTGCTTGCAAACTTGAAAAGTCACCTTTGACCACGTCCGCCGAAAGAAGCCCTTACAAGACACCGTTATCTACGCGCGCGAAATGGCAAATGGAGCAATGTGATTGGTCACAACATGGGGCCGGAGGGATCATCCAGATTCGTTCGTACGGATGATACTGATAGCCATCTAGAGTACGCGTCGTCCACAAGATAATTTCTTATTTACCGAATCAAGGACCAAGCGCATTTCTAGGCTCGGAATGTAGCAAACGGTCCCACCGTGACCTGGCAGCTTCTCGTGAGTAGCGGACAGGGTAATCCCTGTGTTTCATTTGCTCCAGCCTGTAGTTCCGAGTCAGTGTGGAAAGGCCGCCAATGAACGTCCAATCCTATCTGGTCACCTTCATTGGTGCAATGGAGCACGTCCTTCCAGCCAGCCATACTAGGTAGTATAGATCTGCCTTTTCAAATATGGAATGCGATTGCCGCGGCATGACTCTACTCGCTAGCTTGTGAAGACTCCCCCCACTTAACCAATCGATCAAAGGAGACGCAGTGATTTGTGGCCATGGCCGACCAAACAGGAACATTGGGTCAGCTGGCCCACGAAGGAGGGATTGATACTGCGCAGAAGACGCAGATTCAAAGGAGTATGCAGAGCACTTCAGTAGAAAGTATTGTCCGACCTTCGCTCAGGAGGAGGCAGAGCACCATTCTCAGAGACGCAAGAGACAAGGTAACATACCCGCTTTCAGTGTCATGACACTACGCAAAAGAGCGAGCCACATGCCGCCAGCACATAACTGGAAAAAGAGGACTGAAAAGCTGATATGCTTTGACATCAAGGCAATGATCGCACTACCAATCCAATCAACACTAAGTTGCTACTTCACCTGCATCCACTTGATTGGTAATGCTAGTGAGTCGCTTATGACGCCATCTGGCCCATGAGCCTCTCATGTGATGACTGTTGTGACCAGCCTTCTCTCTGCTTGTGTAGCTCATGTCCTTTGTCAGCTCAGCCAACAAGATCTCAGCAGATCGAGATGGTTTCAAAGATGGCACTTACCTCAACGGGGTCCTCAACCCCTACTCAAAGTTTGTACAGAGATGGAACAAGGTGAGCATTCAGAGCTGTGCTCTTTTGAACTACTGCCACTTGAGTGCACACAATTGCAGCTAACATCACCCTACGATACCCACCTATCATAGGATTGCTCACTCAGCATTGCCTGTGCTGGATGTTTGAAGTTAAGTACTGAAGCGAGACGCATGGTAGGTTTTCCTAGTATTGGGAAAGTAACACGAAAGTAATGTAACAGCATGTGAAACTACACCAAGGGTGGCTGGAGTGAGTATGCCTAATGTTTAGCCATCGCTCATGAGATTCATCACGCATAGTATCTCTACCTTGCAGATCTTCTTCCTGTCGATGCTCATTGCGTTCGGCGTAGACCCACTGGTAAGCCCCTTACGAAGGGAGCTCTTCCGAAGCACTGGGGTCTTATCAATGTGATACTTCGAAAGCCTGGCATTGCAAAAGTTTTGCTTAGCTGCATGGCAAAATTTTGAAGACAGACATTCGATAATAAATGTGCGCTCATACTACGCGGTTCTATTATTCTCGTGGGTGACCTCTCAAATGTTGTTTCTCTGCAGTTCTTCTATACGCTGGTCGTTGATTCCGACAAGATCTGTACATACATCGACTTTCCTCTAGCACTGGTCCTGACCATAGTCCGATCACTGTGCGACTTTGTATATGCAATCCACATCGTTTTGCAATTCCGCATCGCTTTCGTCTCGACGGCAACCCGAAACGTAGGCAGAGGAGAACTAATCATAAGCAAGAAACTCATTGCACAAAACTACTTGAAAGGACCTTTCAGCGGCGACCTTATTGCAGTTCTACCAATGCCTCAGGTGAGAATCGATAGACCACAGTTTCTTTGAGGAGCAAACGAACACGCCTCCTGATTGGTCGCATGTTCCGTCAACATTCATGTTAGATCTTTTGAAAGAAACCTAGAAAAGCACTTGTTTGGTGGCTCTCAGTTTGAGTAGAGCAATAAGACCCACTCTGTTCCAGCTGCCAAAGCATCCTTGATCACCTGTGACTGACGCCCTCTGTCCTGTTCCCACACAGCTGGCAATCTGGTGCATCATTCCCCACTTCTTGAAGACGGGCGACACTGCCAATATGGCCAAGGACTTGGTCCTTATCATAGCCCTTGTTCAGGTAAGAAGGAGGTAAGACACGATGTTAAGTGGAGGTAATCCACAAGTGGCTTGGCCACCCGTAACGGTCGAAGGATATCTATTTTTTCACCTCGAAAGAAAGGTGCAACTCACAATACAAGCATTTGGCGGGAGGGAGGTATGAGAGGCTCAACTGACGAATTTTCGTTGATAATCACCGTCTGTGAAGATTGCATCCTCTTCGTCCCGTAACAGTTATCTTGGCGAATTGTCTCACACTCTGTGGTCTTTCTGCTTTCAGTACGTGCCACGGGTGGTCTGGATCTTCTTTCACTACAGACGTATGAAGCGAGCAACGGGCATCGTGTTCGAGACGGCTTGGTCCGGGTTCGCTTTGAACGTGCTGGTGTACGTTCTCCTCAGCCACATCCTCGGGGCTTGTTGGTACCTCTTTGCAGTTCAACGAGTGGTAAGACCAACTTCATCACCTGCATAGAGCTTTCGTTCATTGGCGACCTATTGCCAAGAGGACTTTGCAAGCAGCTCGCCGTCGGCCTGATCTGCAACTTTTCCTACGGAGTCTTACCAGTCGCGCTTCCTCTTCGACTTCGTGAAGATCGAGACAAAAGTAGTTCCATGTTCATCCAATCGCCCAATCCTCTCACCATTCCCTGTGAAGGGGGGACAAAACGGAGTGTTCAATCCTCCCTACCTGCAGGATCACTGCATTAGGGAAGCTTGTATGTCAGACAGCCCCAAGTGCTCAACCCACTATCTACACTGCAACAAGTGAGTCGCGGCTATCTCTTGACTGATCTCTAAAAAACATGTTAAACTCCCTTGAGATTGCGACCGTTCTAAGAATAAGGAAGGGTGTTCATCAGGAGACTTCGTGCAAGCGAAAAGATTTTCGATACCCTCATAAAAGTAAATATTGACAATATTTACTTAAACGTTGCGTCCTGAACTTTGTGCCAAATGCCCTCAGGATCCTCCCGCTGCACGTCAGCTAGATTCTTTTTACCGCCTTGCCTGCAGCAATGGCGTGGACGCAGACCTACAAAGATCTATCTGGCTTGCAAGCAACTCATCCAACATCTCGTCAACATGTTTCGCACCTCTATCTTCCAATTCTTTCAATTACGGTGAGCATACAGGTATCAGCAGGTCTTCAAATCTCTCTTGTCTTTCAAGGACGACAAAGAGGCTTAGCTGCTCCTAATGCTGTCTTTGCTACAAATAGGACTTTGTAGGGCTTCTGCAGGAACTCGAAATGTGATCGAATCCAACAGATTCTTCCATCTCTTTCTGCAGGCATCTACGTCAATGCCGTCGATCTGGTGACGGTAAGCGAAACGACTGAATGACGCGGCGAGTAGGCAATTCCTTGTCTTCGTAAAACAGAGATTCATCTGCAGACATTATCTGAAGTAATAATTCCTTCGAAGCTGACAAGCAGCAACGGAATCACTTTGAAAACCCGACGCTTCATTAAGAAAATCCTGTCTTGCATCAAGATTGTTCGCTTTTCAGTTTCATGACTGTAAGAGGTCGCTCAAGAGGAGAGTTCTCCGCTGCAGGTCAGAAGAGTAACTCAAAAAGTCCTCTTCTCGTTCTTCTGGGGTCTACAAGCTTTGAGCACGACAGCGGATAACTTGGTTCCAAGCAAGTTTGAGGGCGAGGTAAGGGCTGCACTGAAAATCTCCTTCGAATCATCAAAGGGACTGCTGAACAAAGTGTGGTGCTACTTGATCCAATCCTTTGATCATCTCGAAGTTTCCGTGGCAGTGTACGAGCTTCTCGCAACTAAAGACTAACGGCTCATTTTTTCTTTTTCCAGGTTACATTCGTCGTGTTGATCATCTTCGCAGGCCTCCTGCTCTTCTCGTTGCTCGTAGGCAATATGCAAACCTTTCTGCAGTCACTGGGTCGCAGAATGGAGGAATACAGAACCACGGTACGTTCAAGGCCCGTCTGAGACCTTGCCTTTTTTGGTAACGTATAATCCGTAACTCCACAGGTCTGAACATTGCGAGATTCGGTGTCAGCAAGATCTGATGTCAAAAGGAATCATTGAGGAGGGCTCCTCAGCTTCTTTGCGGACATCAGAGAAGACGATACGCTGTTCCTTTGTGCAGCGTCGGGATATGGAGGAGTGGATGCTGCACCGAAGGCTTCCGGAAGATCTGCGAAAGCAGGTCACAGACTATCAAAGGTGAGCGCGCTGCAAGCTCGTCACCAATGTGCGGCTCTAAAAGGAGTACACGTGAACCAGCTCTACTGCTCCAGGTCATACACCGCGTCCAGGTCTCCACATTCTGATAGGCTATTGGTAGTTCCTAGCGAAGCGGCGTCCGCAGAACATTTCCGCTAACAAGCCCTGGCCGACACACCTAGAGTTGAACTTTTTGTTGCAGGCATCACTGGGCTGCTACTCGGGGAGTCGACGAAGACCAAATGCTGCAGTCTCTGCCGGCAGATCTCAGGCGCGGCATCAAGTTCCACATGTGCATGAATTTGATCTGCAACGTAAGGTTCCGTCTTTCTCGGTACGCACTGGTTACGTGCCTTCTACGACATATTGCAAACTGGGTGTCGGTATTGCAAATCAAATTTCAAAGCTTGCGTTTCATCTGTATGGCGGCCTGGCAAAAGATACTCCGCCTCGTCTGGCCATGACATTGCGCGACAGATGCCGTCTCCATGGAAGCAGGTATAAGATAAGGACTTCGAAGCATCTTCGGAAACTCTTCCCTTTTTCCCCAGCAGGTACCAATCTTCCTGGACCTGGACGTTCGCGTGAAGCAGGCCCTGTGCGACGTGCTCCACCAGCAGCTCTTCATCAAGGGCAGCTGCGTCATGCGGGAAGGCGACCCCGTGCCTCACATGCTGTTCGTCATCCGGGGAGAGCTGGTGCGCTTCCGCAATGTTGACGGGAAGGAGCGAGGCAAAGTGGACCTCAACGGAAAGGGAGGCTTCTGCGGCGCGGAGCTCCTCCTGTTTCTGCTTCGAAACGAGGAAGATGCGCTGTAAGGAGCATGGCCTGCTCAAATTCGTCTTGTCCACTCGCGCCTGCCATCACCCTTTGCGTCGTCCTTTTCCCACCCCTCGACGATTTTATTTCTTTCCGCGCTGTCAGCGCATACAGTCCTCAGGTGACTACAGTGCAAAGTCCTTGGAATGACGGCAAGAAATAAAGCTCTGACAAGTCATCAGTCAAGTACTCCTGCGATATTTGCAGGGAGGACATGCTCTCTGGTCGGCGGTACCCCGTTGCTCAAAACACCATCCGGTGCACAAAGGCAGTTGATGCCTTCTCACTCAGCGCCGACGACTTGGACATGGTGATCCGCCGCTTCAAGCTTCGAGAAGACGGAAAGCTGCTAGCTGCTGTCAAGTGAGTTGCCACGCTGTGTCGGTGGTTGCCCAAAGGTTGTAGGATAGAGTCAAAGTCAACGGTGAACTGCTGCATGCAACTTCAGTAAGTAGGTTCTTTTGAAAGTTTCCTGCGAATATACATCACTTCAAGCTAACCACCAGAATGTACGTCACGCCTGGCAATGACGCTTTGGGTCGAACATTGGTCGGCTTTCCTCTCTCGTCTCCTGATAAAGACGAAGCTCTGCGTCTCGATTTGAGGACTCAAAAAATTCAAAGACTCAGATCGATCAAAATTGAGTCGCTTCAGACGGTAAGCAGCATGGAAGGGGATTTGCTGGCAGCCAAAGTGTGAGGGTGTTTTGATCCCCTCAAAAGTCTTTTCCGAAGCTGTTCTTTGAGCCACTGACCTTACAAACGTCATCTGCAGCCGCCAGCAGCGTGTGGAATGGGAGGCGGCAGCAAAAGCGGAAGCGCTTGAGCACGAGAAAAGCGAGAAGCTGAATACAGCGAAAGATTATTCAAGCGCTTCGCGGTCAGACTCCATTGCCGTTGAAATCGAAGGACCCTCTGGGAGGTCAACCTTCCAACTTTAGTCGGAAATAGGAACTTAGAACGTGCTTGAGCGGGGGCTTGAGCGAAGTCGGCCGTCAATATCGTCATATAGACCCACATGCAACTCCGTCAAATTGAGACTTCCAAGGTACAGAAAACATCAGCTTTGAGTACTATGCCTACATACAAGTCAAAAGAACCAAAGTAGGCTGCTTTCAAGCGTTGAACGACTCCACTCGAGACGGTTTTGATAAAGCGGAATCAACGATTAGATGCCCCTAGCAGGTGGAGGATCACTGGATGAAATCACCAGTGAATGCACGGAGAACACTCGTGTATAACGTAAAGTAGAAAATTTCTATAGCTTAATATTTAGAAAGCCTGGCAGGTTCGTCAATCCGAAAACACGAACTTCAAAAAGTGCATGGATCGATCAAAATCCGATTGCACGGATTGTCGTTTGAAAGCTCAGGCATGTCACGCATCCTTAATTTCACTTACTGTCTGCACTTAAATATAATTCGACAGGAAAGTTTAGTACACTCTGTATACCACAGAAGTCGAATTATGGATATAATCCAGTACATGCATTGCAGCGAGGACTTTTTCATGTTACTTCTATTTATGATTGGAGAGAGCCCGCGCGCTGCTGTCTAAGCGGACGACTCGCAAGCCATGCCCACTGGTGCAATGACAGCATCATGGTTTAATTTTAAGGACTCAGGGCCATGCCAGCTCAGGCTCAGCTCTACTTCTAGCGGCTAGATATAGCTCTTGCAGAAACATGACTCGCATGGTGGATTAAGGAGGCATAAACATCTAGAACGGCTAGCTAGCTTTATTCCTTAATGCAATATATGGCGTCTGGATTTTGAACTTTTGATGACATCAGAAAAGAGCCTGCAGACGCACGTACATGCAGATCCCGTTGCAGTAGCATTGAACCATCTGCACAGTGGGTTTGATAAGCGGTACTGCAGTATACATGAGCTGTCCATCCTTGATCTGACGCGTAAGTGCGCAGGCCCATATTCGTGATTGCCATCGGCACATGCGATATGAACAGTGGAGGGATGGGTCTCATGCAAGCTAACGTGACTCAAAGAAAGCTAGCTTTAGCGTCTCAATGCGAGTGTCTCGATGCGAGTGTCTTGGTGCCAATAGGTGGTCATTTTGGCCGTCCAGCTTACCATACTTTCAGATGCACATTGGGGCCACTGTCAGTAACAAAGGCTCTCAAAAGGCTTGAAAAATTCCTGCCTAGCTCCAGGTTACATAATGCCCTTAAAGTACGGTAACTTACGTTCCTCTTTTCTCGACATAGCTGATACTGGCCGGTGGGTTAGAACTACTTTGACTTTGCGGTTGCCTCGGCATCCTTGTGGGGCGGCCTCTGCAAAAGAAAACTCTGCGTTTGGAGTTGTCTTCTCAGGAACAGATTCACTGTACCTTCAAGCTCACCTGTCCTTCGACAACTCTCATCATGCAGCTTCAGCAGAATTTCTTGTAGGGACTGAAAGAGCACATAAAACACTATCCACTCGCCCTTGAATCAGGCGATTGCACTTGGTCACAGGTGCCACCCTTTTATGTGAATGAGACAACTGCAGATCCAACTGCAGCCTGATTCTTCTGACACTCTCTGATGGAATGTTAGATGGACAAAACCGCTCAAGAAAGTCTGGCTTAGACTGCTTTTATTGCCAGTCTAGGTAACCCGCTTCACAGGTTCAGTCCAGTTGCAGCCGACTTCTAGATCCTTTGGCGACACTTTGACATTGACATTTTGCTGAGCCACACCAATGGAACATACCTGATAGGCAATGTATGAACCAGCGACAATTGCAGTAACTGCTGCACCGAAGTAGACCAGCTGAAGCAGAAATGGACGCACTAGTCAGTACGAAAGCTTCACAGAAACTCATCATCTAGGAGACGGGGCAATCTGCAAGGGAGAGAAACTGACTCCAGATGCCATGTTCCGCAACAGATACGTGTGCTCAATAGCAGATTCCTCAGTGCATTGGGGCGCACCGGTGCAGTAGCTAGGCTCCACTTGTAGAAGATCATCCTTTCAGATAAAAGTTCCTTGACCACTTTTGCCTCTGATGAGATTTTGAGCAGCCAAGCGGCAGCTGTGTGCAGAACTCTAACCGCTCCTCAACAAAAAGGATACTTCTTATCTTTAGGCTCAAGCACTATTCTGATGTCTGCGAATTTTAGTGAGAACAGGCGTCCCTGCGGTATGCCCCCGGCGCCTTCAGCTAAAACTTTCAAGAGCCAGTTGAGACGTGTCCCTGCACAAATGAAGCGGTGGATTGTGGCTGCACACCACGTCAAATCTCCTCAGACTCAGAGTTGCTGCTAACTTCTTCTACTAAGGTTTCTCAAACTTCAAAGCTCCTCCCTTGCTCCTCCCTTCGTTTGCGCCATGCAAATGCCGCCAGCGCTAGATTTATAGCCTTTACTTTAATGGGTAGTTGCTGGGCGTAATTAAAACCCCCCGACGCGCGAGCGGAGGGCTTGCGCGCGGGGCCCGGGCGGCCACGCGCTTCATCTTAGCGCGGCCGCCGGCGGCCCGGGCGCGGCCGCCCAACTTAATTGAACGAGCGCGCGGCCGGCTCCGCGTGGTCACACGGTGGCGGCGCGCCCATGCCGCCCGCGCAGGGCCTCCGCTCGCCGAGGCGAGCCTAGCTGAGCATCACGGAGCCTCACATATGAGACTGCCTCGCTTCCGTCACGGTCCGTGGCGGGGGCCACTGACAGTTGAAACAGGCTAGCTCGGGCACTTGCCGTGATGTAAGCTGAGCCGCATGGCTGGCGCGGCGTGCGTGATGGAAGGGGGGCCGGGCCCGACCCCGCGCCCACGCGCCCAAATGATTGTACCTCTAATAATCATTCATATCTCAAATACCGTAATACGAATGTCGTGCATGAGCATTTCATGCATGGATGCGCACAAACTCATGCACTTTTGGTATCATTGCTATGCATCCGGCCGAATGAAGTTGCATGAGCCTCGCAATTCGCGCCCGTGAGCCTAGTTGCTACCTGATAGTGCGCACCACACACATTTTTGAGTGCGCTCACATGGTATATACAACGTCAAGATTGAGCCTACAAGTTGCACGGCTGCAGGCCTTTACAATATCCATGTTCAACGGAAATGTCTCACATGCGTGACTAATGTACACTATCCGTTTGAAGCCATGGCTGTCTGACGTGTTGTGCATGTAATACTTGTGCAATTGGGGTTGCGCAACCTTTGCAGTGCAGTCACATGAACGAAGGCACGAAACGTATTGCGCAATCTACACATGACCGGCATTTGAAACTTATACAAGTTGCGAATAGCGAAGCGCATCTTTGTGACACGAACCGCAACAATGTACGGGTTGACTCCAAGAAAAGAATACATAGATGATGTGGACGCAGTGTTCGACCAATATATCACATAAAACCTGGATCCTACAAGGCGCGATGGCGAAGCCAGATCGTCATCCCCTGAATACAATCATTGAAATCTTTGTTTCCGACAGATACCTACAACCATCCTCGTCGACGACGAGACACCAGCTTCTTGAGCGCCTGAAAACAAACTGGCCACATACCTGCATCTTGGAAGAAATCATGGCGTCAGATTTTCGTGCAAACGCAACCAGAAGAGACTCGCGTCACACCTGCATCTAGGAAGAAGCCATAATTTCAATATCTAAGCAAACGCAACCACAACAAACAAAGAACCAAGCTACGTAAGCGCGGCACTCCACAATTCAGCTCAGCAACGGTTTTGGCTCAGATCCCTGGGTCCGCGGATGACGAACAGCTTTTGGACAGAATTCAGGGCAGAAAAACCAGGCTGAAACAGGGGCCGATGTCGAGACTCACAGTTACACGGCGCCATCCCTTTCGACCAGCTGTGCCCCCGCCTGCTCCTGCGTGCTGTCAAGAGGCATGTACTGGGCCATGATAGCCCGGATCTCCGAATCCATGTATTGCTGCACGAGAGTCATTTCGGTTATGTCAGCAGGTGGGTCGGAGCGGCGGATTCGTAAGGGGACGGCCTGGTTTGGCTTTCAAGCAGACGCAGCCGAGCACCCCACAGCCTCAAACAAGGAGCGCAACTGACACGAAAAGCATTGCATGCCCTGCTTAGCAAGGAGGGCGCAGAGTCTCTTGAACGTATGATGGAGAAAAGGGCAAGCATCTGCTTTTACGCCTGAATTGTCCCTGGAGAAAACTACGAAGCTGAGAGGGCCAGTACTCACTCTGAGCCTGTACTTGTAGATGAGGTAGCCTGCCGCAGCAGCCAAGACGAGCGACCCAACGACGACTGACGTCACAATGACGCCTACCTTGCTGCTGCCGCTTTCAGAGGACGCAACTGCGAAGCAGGCACAAAATGTCAGCATGCTGGCAGTGACCATGGAAACGAGCGCAGCACTGCTGACGGCTCAAAGAGGTCACAAAAAATCGGTTGCCTGGCGGATGTGTTTTGATGTACAGAGATGCTCGCTCACTGGACAACACTATGCAGCCGAGTGGCTCACAAACATAGCAAGACTGTACACTGCACGGCCTTCGAAAGCGAAAGAGCAACAGAGTGTTTGGACGGAATCAAAAGAAGTTCGGGCGCTCACCAATGCAGGTGTCGTGGTCGCGCATGTAGAGCTTCCCGGCACTGCAGGTGCACTCAAAGGAGCCAATCGTGTTGCGGCAATTGCACTCGGGGCACTTGCACACGGTCGAGTCTGAGGCGCACTCGTCGATGTCTGCCAAGAAAAAGCGCCGCAGTCAGCAAACTACTTCCGGTGCAGCATGCAGCAATACGTCAACCTTCGCTCCCATGGACGTCGCAGACCGTAAAAGTAAAGCATCTCTTCGCCTCCGTCACACGCCACTTCACAGGCACACGTCTGTTTTTAAAAAGCCGAACCAGCTGACGAGTTACAAGGTCGCCTTAGCTTGTGATAAGGAAGCTAAGCGCAGAAATCGACGTTGGCGTCCGACCAGCGGCGGCGCCACTACTGAAAGACAAAACAGCAGCATGCAAGATGGCAGGGGGCGCTGACCCTGGCAGGTGATGCCATCCCCGCGGAAGCCCGGCGGGCAGACGCAGTGGTCGACGCCCTCGCGGCAGGCGGAGAAGACGGTACTGCTGTGGGGGTCCTTCATGCTCCAGCACCCGCCATTGTTTAGGCTGCACTTGCCCACGCCCGAAGCTGCGGCAGCGGAGAAGGGATTGTTTTCGGTATCTCAGGGCTGACGTGTACTGGCGCAGGGTGTTCCAAGACTTGCCATAAGAAGCATCCAAGACCGTACTCGACTCGCAAAGTTTCCGCATCCAAACTTGCACGATGTTTGCCAAGGTGCACATTTCTGGACGACCAAGGACAGACAAGGGCCAGTTCTGTGAAAATGCCCTCTTCAGAACTGATCCTTGACAAGCCAACTGTTGAAAAGAGGCGTAACTTACGTGCGCAGTGCGTGTAGCCATCCCCAGAGAAGGTCACCCCGTTGACCACCGGGCATTCGCACACGCGGCCGCGGAAAGTGTCCTGCGGAAGACGTCCAAGTCAACAATCAAGATCCTCGGAGACCCCAATGAAGGAGCGTAGTATCTTCTCTGGAATGGGTGCAAAGGCCCGCTTGTGGACAATTTTGCTGGCCCCTTACAAAGTACGCCTTACAGAGTGACAGGGTTTACAACTGCTCTTCATCTGTGTCGTCCTTCTTCCGAAGCATCCCGTTGACTCAGCGAATTGAAGTGGTGCAGAAGCGAACCCTCCTTGGTTGGACAAGCCTCGATCCCCGAGCTTCTGAGGGGAACATGGAACGGATGCACTGGCAAGCGAGCAGCATACCTTGCAGGCCGTGACGTTCATTTTGGTATCCTGCCAGCAACCACCGTTGTTGTCGAGGCACTCGTTGGTCTCCACGTCTGCACAGCAACCGGAACAAGATAACATGAGCATCAACGCATCGCGCTCAGGTCTCTCTAGTCTGAGGCACTAAGCATGAGGCTAGCTCAAAAGAGGCAGGCGAGGCGCAAACTGGGAGCGTACAAAGGAACGCTGAACATGAGAGCATGTGCCTTCAAAAGCCCGTAGAAGCAGACCCATGCTTATTGCCTCAAATCAAATGGTCGATCGCAGACGACACTGACGAACACAGAGCAGGAGAACGAGAGCAATGCGCCCCGGCTCACCTGCCCCCAGGCACACCGCGGGTTCGGTGGTCTCCTTGAACCCAGAGCAGATGGCCTTGAGCACCGACTGCTTCTCCAGGTTGCCTGCAATGCCACAAACCTCGTCATATTAGCGGCAAACACGTCATAGTAAAGGCGGCCAGTAATCCTATCGGTCCAGTCGAACAGAAGGATCTCGGCGAAGGAGCTTCATTTCATCTAAGATAGCTCGTAAGTGGTTCGGCCATAATGAACAGAATAGACATGGGGGTTCCAACACATGGCCGCGCATGCTAGCGGGATCCTGCAAGCAATCGAGTGCCCCAAGAGAGAGAAGTATACTGCGAGAAGGAGAGCATGATCTCAAACAAGCAGGGCGGCTCAGTCTCTTCACCTCGGTACTGCCTGTTGTTGATGACCACAGTGGGCAAAATGGTGACATCGCCCCTATCGCCATCACCGACCTGTCAGAGAAAGAAAGAAGCAGGTTCACAGCTTGTTAGATGGCACTTGGGTCTGGAAAACTCCAGCTCATGTCCGAACGAGAATGACCCCGGTTGACAACGCTTCCACTTCATTCCGCACAATAAAGTCTCTCCAGATTCAACCAGTTTCAGAAGGCGCTGGTTTCTGCTGGAAGTCTAGGACCTAGGAATGAACCCTGCTCTCCTGTAAAGAGAAGCAATGGCTCTATCTCCTAATGCGCAATCCCTTTTCGAGGCAAACATCACATCTCGGGGCAAACATCACCACTCCGCCTGAATTAACGCTGCTGAATAATTACCTGAGCCTTCTGTTCTGCTGCCAAAACGGTGTTCTCCACATCGGCGGTGGGGTCACCGACGCAGTTGCGGATGTTCTTCACGTCAAGGCCTGCAGACACACACACAGGAGCGTGCTTCCCATTTAGATCCTGGAATCCTCTAGAGCGCCCGGTTTCCAAAGAATATACGCGCATTCAACTGCTACTACTACTTGCAAGGTGCACATTACCAGCTGATAACAAACACCTTTTTGCCATGCTAGAATGCGTTGCTTGCTGCAACCACAAGTACACAGGTTCTGGGACTAACAATCCCAGACCGCTAACAATCCCACACTAGAGCTGATCAAACTCGACGAAAACTCATGCTTGTGCATATTCCTGCCAACGCCTCCCACCCTCTTTATCTCTGCAGACCACTTTGCATGAGAGAACCCTCGACTCACCCCCCAACTCTTACAAGAATCACAAATTCATCATTCAACTTCGAGACGCTCACCGAGTGAAGTGATGACCTGCTCCGCGCACTCGGCGTTGTACTGCCCCGTAGCCATGGAGCAGCGGATCTCAAAGTCCGACACGTAGTCCCACCACACCCAGGGCTTCTTGGCCGCCGTCGCCTCACGGTACACGCACAGCTGGCGCAGGTTCTCAATGACGACATCCCGCCCGTCGTACCCCTGCTCAAAGTCCTGCTCGGGGTCGGGCGCACAGTAGCGCCCGTTGTTGATGCACTGCAGCTGGCACTGCAGGCTGTCTCTGTACGAGTCGGGGCAGTACCACGTGATGTAGTGCGGCGTGAACAGCGTGAACTGCCCCTGCTCCAGGATCTGCGCGGCGGCCTTGAAGTCCCTGACGAACGCCGCCTGCGCGTCGCACTTCTGCCCGCACTCGTCGTTCGAGTTGGTCCAGAACTCGTACTCGACGCGCTCGTCCGGGTGCGCGATCGCCTCGCTCCAATCAAGCACGATCTGCACCAGCTGCTTATCGGAGAGCGCCTTCTTGAGCTTGTCTGCCAGGTCCTTGGTGATGAGCGCCGACGGGATGGAGATTTGGGCGAGGTACTCATCGGCGGTGGGGTCATCCTCTGGGGCGTCCATCGTGATCAAGGGCTCGTCCTTGTCATCTGCGACGATGACGGCCGACGCGCCCGCCTGCTGGGCGTCCCACACCTTCTTGGTGAAGTAGCAGCCTGGCGGAGAGAACGGCTGGGCGGTGAGTATCTCGACTTGGCGAAGGGGAGGAGAAGAGAGTGGGGGGTACTTTGTGGATTTGAGGAGGTCAGAAACAAGAAGCCAAACACAGTGATACAAGTCACTCACAGCCTGTTGGTCTAGTCTTACAGTATGCGAATTAAAACCTGTTGTAAAAGGCTGGACAGATCTGATGCAACAGTGGCGGCAACCCAGGAAAGTGGGGAGAAGGTGCAAAATGTTTTCAAGTAATTGTGTACTAAGTAACTGTGCTGTGAATAAGTGTGCAAAGGTAAAATGAGTAGCATTTGTTCGAAATACATGCCCACACTGTTTTCATGGGCACTACACACGTGGCTTCACCAACTTAGGACAAAGCCCAATCAACCCATGCTGCAACCACCAAGCTGACAAAATAACAGTCAAGAGAACAGTTGGACAGCAGATAAGAAAACTTGAAGCAGTTTGTATTCTCCTCGCTAATGAAAACCTCCAAGTGCTGAAAATGCTGAGGTTAAAACTTGGGCTCCTTGTTTCAAGCTCCCTGAAGGTGTGCGAATGAAAGCCCTGTCGGTATCAAACTCAATACTTCGATGGTCACCTGGTTGAAGCTTTTCTAGGTGATAGTGAGGAAAAGCAGGACATCTGTTGCCAGCAAACCCTAAACAAAGTAGTAAAAGAAAATTCTCACCCATGCAAGCAATAAAGATCCTGTTTTTGGATAGAAGCAAGACCTCTCAAGGAAATTTTCCAAGAAGGCTTTTGTACAATTCTAATGTTGAAGGGTTCAAATTGCTGAGAAGACAAGCCCATATCACACTTCATGTAGACTGCCCAAACTGAAGATTGTTACTATATATCAGATCGTTGAATCTTGAATAGTAAAAAGACTGGACAAAATACAAGAAAATAACTACGCCACCTGGAGCAATCAGGAGGAGACATATTCCCAAAAGGAAAAACTTGCCCCCAAAAAGAAACACTCTAGGCCAGCAGACAAGAAAAAAGCCCACTAAGGCCAGGGGTTGGCACCCGAAACCAAAACAAACTCAGAGCTGGGTGGGCCACAAGACTCCTCAACTTGCAAATCCACATAACTGTTTATGCCACTTAGAACAGCCTTCTGGATGTTAATCTTACGAATCTGCATGCCATGCAGCTCGGGCAGTGAGTTTTGAAACCCCTTCCAAAGCTGTACCACAGCCACTCTTTCACAACGGAAGCTGAGATGACGATGCATACAACCTCCGAATACAGAAGCTCTTTTACCAAGAAAGAGGGAGCCCTAAAATCGAAGAAAGAGAGAGTCTGTCCAAGATCTGCTGTTTATGCAAAATTGGGGAACAACATGATCAACAAAAGGAGCAAGGCAAAGAGGATTGAACGCAAAGAGGGGAGTTTCATGATGACAACACTCACTGCCTCTGTCGACCAAGACAATCTTCGGCAGCTGCCCTGCCTGCGTCCTGAAGTTGTATCCTCCATCTGCAAACCCTGTACACGCGTCCTGGTCTACGCTGGGGAAGACAACAACCCCCGACAACGAGCCACCGTAATTTGGCGTCCCAAAGTTTGCGATTGAGCTGTCAAACGTGCCCTTCAATTCTTTAGGAGCTGTCACCCGGATGCTGTGGGTTTCCACAATAAACCGGGCGGAGCAGAGAGACGCCCACAGGCCCAGCAACAGCGCCGCCAACAGGCATCCCTGGCGAGGAGCCATCCCCTGCAGGAGGAACTGGTAAGCCCTCAACAATAAGTTCAGTATGTACAGGCGAACTGGAGTAAAACCTCAGACTCTGCCCCTAACCCGCCCAGGTCTGAGCAGTTCAAAAAATCCGATTGGGTGCAAAGATTCGTCACCCCTCCGCCTCAGCAAAGAAGAAAAGGATCACCAGACGCTGGTCAGCTTGGTGCAAAAAGGCCGCTGGGGCGTTCTCTACTGCAACTTCAACGTCCCCAAACTCTGCCAGTGCCAGTGCATTTGGAGCAGGGATGGCTCGAAAAGCACACGAGCAATCCCTTTGACCAGTATAGAACTGGATTCATGCAGTCCGGGTTAGGGTAGAGTCATTTTGTAAGTGGTACCCCCCCAAAATTAGATTTTATGGGGGTGGGGGGCCCTTGACCGAGATGCAGAACCAGGGTCGGACCGGCGGGGGAGACCCAGCGCAGTTTTTGAGAGTGAGGGTCCCTGGGGGGTACCTACCACCTAGGACCCCAAGAGGCCTTAAGACCTTTAGTATCTTCAGTACCCATTTAGCCTCTTATGAACAGACTTTGTTCACATATCTTGATCAAATTCGTACGAAGTTTGCCCCAAATTATGGTCCGAATATGCTGAAAAGCGGCCCTGCGGGGCTCTACAACGTGCACGAACTTAGCGAAATGTGCGGCTTTTTCAAAAAAGCCCTCTCAAAGCCCCTGCAAAAACTTGCGTTCGCTTTTGGCCGGACGACCCCCTTATTGCGCCGGGTGGGAGGGGGGGCGGGGCTGGGACCCCTCGGCGAAGCCGAGGGCCCCCTGGGCCTTTGGAGACCACCCCCTAGCTTGATCGAAAAATGGGCGATAGAATAATGGGGGGGTACTAGTTACAAAATGACGGTACCCTTATACACAGGACGAGACAAACTGATTCTCTACCACGGTACCTATGACGTTGACCAGATGGCATATGCTATGCCGGTTGCGCATTCTTCGGAACCAGTAGGTAGTAGGTAGGTACCGGTAGGTACGCAGAACCGAGCAGTCTGTCGGAAGGAGGGACGACGGCGACGGCATCTTTGCCACTTCGGCAATTCGCTTTGAATGTGGTGGGCATACAGCATACGGCTCAAAGGCATGAACATGCTTTGGTGCACGAGGCTGGCGCTGGTGGCAAGAACCCGCTCATGGCTCACACAATTGCTCAATGCTTTATAATGTCTGAAGCAGCTGGTCCGAACTTGGAGCTAGGCTCCAGAGAATGGGCATCAATGCTCGGGCTTCAATCAGCCCTAAGCAAGTCTGATAGCCGTTGCAGGTGGAGACCGTACTGCGCAGATTGCACTTCGAATCTCCTTTTTGCAACCAATTGTGCTACAAGCGAAGACCAGACATCGTTCTGCTCTTACAGGTTCTATAGAGAAGTCCGCTGGTAAACATCTCATCACACAACTGCAGCATGACTTCTCCCCAGTCCGATGAGGTGGTGGCCGCCATCGCAGCTCTGTACGGCCCCGGCGAGCCGACACTGAAAGCCGCTGCCAATGATCTCTTGACCCGATTTGCGGCTTCCCCTAATGTTTGGCCCGTCGGCCTTTCTCTTCTGGACCATACCTCGGTGGAAGTGCGCTACTTCGCTGCCAACATGCTCCTCTCCAAAGTCCGCTCAGAGTGGCACCGGACCCCACCGGAGCTGCGGGCTTCGCTGGCGCAGGAGACCGGCCGGTGCCTGTTCACACTGGCCGGTCACCCTGGGGCGCCCTGGGTGGTGGTCAACCGGTTGTGCCTCCTGACCGCTGCAATGGCGTGCAGAACCGCAGAGAACAGTGCTAGCCAATCCTCTCTCACAACCACTGCTTTACTGGATTCTGCATTCCAGACTGCGGCAGGGGCTACGGAGGGCAACCCCGGCGCATCTATGCAGCTTTCGGTTGCGCTGGGGCTGTTGCAGTCGCTCACAGAGGAAGTGGACCAGCTTGGGAGAGAGCGCCAGGTGGCGGCGCAGGAGCGCATGTCGCTACGAACGCAGGACGTGCTCCGATTGGTCGATGCAGTGCTGTCTGGACACCTGGGGGGTGGAGGGGACGATCGCTTGCCGGTCGTGGCGCTGCGCCTGCTGCACAGCTGGCTGAGGGACGATGCTACGAGCAGGGGGGTGACTGCGGGCTACCTGGCTCAGTCCCACAGCAGTCTTTTCCAGAGGGTGCTAACTAGTCTGTCTTCAAAGGACGGCACAGATCTTGAGGCGGCCATCGAAGTAGTGGTGCAGTTAGTGTCTCTCGACGAAGCGAATGTGAAGGATCTAGGCGCGGAGGAGAACGCGGTCCGAATGGTGCTGGCAGCGGTGGCTGCGCAGAGGGGGCCGCTGCAGCAGGCCTTGGCGGAGGATCCAGATAGTCGCTTTGCCGGGGGGCTATGCGAGGTGGCGTGTACGGCAGCGGAGCACTGGTGGGAGCTGGTAGCACAGGTGGGGGATTCCCTTTGGAATCTGTTCGTTCCATTTATGAAAGTTGTGTTTTCATTTCGAATCCATGCAATATCCGTGCCTCAATTGATACTTTCTATCTTCGTTCTGAAAGTCCCTCGTGGTTCCTTGGTGACTCACACGATCAACCAATCTCTGGATCTATGTGAAAATTGAAGTGCCGTCGTTGGCGCTGTGATGGCATGACAATCAGCTCAACCTCATTCAAACCTTATCAATCGAGCTTTGCATAGTGCTGGCCGTCCCAGACCCCATGACTTAAGGCGGCAGAGCCTGTCTTTCGCGACACGCTTAATGACGGATGTAAGTCACAGCACCCGTCTCCATCTCTTGGGAGTATAGCAGATTTTAAGTCCTTTCCTGCCCAGTCCGATACATATAGAGGAGAGCAACCCATGAATTTCCCTTTTCCTGTCCTTTCCCCAGGCATCCAAGCAGTGTCCAGAGGCAGTCCCCGTTGCTGAGGTAATGCTGACATGCGTGACCGACGGCGGCCAGGGCGTGGCTGAGCTAGCCCTGGACTACTTCTCCATGTTGAGCTCGGTGCCGCTGGCTGAGCGGCCGCCCGCCCTCCAGGCGCCACTCTATGTGCAACTCCTGCAAGGCCTTCTGAAGCAGGTGGGATCCAGAAATCATTTTCTGCCTGGCAACGCCTTGAGTGTCTGTCGCGGTTCATCAGTGCGGGAACTACTTTCGTCCAGGCTAGCTTCGAGCGGCTTTTCTCAGTGGCCTTCTACGAGGAAGCCAACCAGGCATTAGTGTGTGTTCGTCTCTTGCTCACAAAAGCAAGTTGCTTGCAGAATGACATCGACGATATAGCGACTTGTACGTTGTTGTTATCTTTGTGGCACCTTGTGCGGTGGGCATCCCGTTGCTGTCGCGAGACCTGGAATGTAAACGCACGCTCGGTCTTGCCAGCCTCGATCGAGGCTCTGCCATGTTCGTCCGTACTTCACTTGCAAGCCAACTTCGGAATCGCGATGTCCTTTTCGTTTTGAAATAATCCTCTTCTTCGTGTCAGGGAAACCACCTCCGGAATGGTAAAGCAGTAGGTTTGGGATTGCCTGCCAGTACTCAGATCGCTGTTCGTGTCTCCTTTCTGCAGTCTGCATACCCACCCGACTTCACCACGTGGCAAAGGAGCAGTATGGACGCCGACAGCTTCCTGCGGTTTCGGGAGCTGTATGCCGCAGAGACCTTGGACACATGTTACGCCGTGCTCGGCCCTGCATACCTCTCCGCTCTAGATCAGCATCTCAAGGTAGGTGGCATCTTCGCGCGCTTAGCGGAACAAATGTTTTGTACACTTCGTCCACAAACCCGCCACAAAGCTCGATTCTTCTAATCCGAAACGATCTGAATGCTCGATCGAAGATCGACGGGTCCGTTTTTGCCAGTTGCATAAGTGGAGTCTGAGTTAGGCGGCCCTGCGGTACAGTAGAGACTACCTTGGTGCCCCCATTTTGGGAAGCCCGTGTAGACGGCTCCTTGATGCACGAAAGGTCGGCCTGTGCCCAAATCATTTTCACCTGCGAATCGTCGAGGGGAAACGGGAAAGGGCCCCTTTGTCGCTCTGGTCGACTGGAACTCTGCCTGATTTCCCTTCACTTTCGGCGAACCACGCTGCGGGCTTTTCAAAAGGAGCTTGACTTCGAAAGCTTCACTCTGGGCTCATTGAAGAAAGCGTTGGGTGATCGGTCTCTCCTCGGGTTACGAAAGCTGTGCCGACAGCTCAACGTGGGGCAGATCTTACGAATGAATGTGAGATGTCCAATGGTTTTTCTGCTACGGATCCAAGTGCACGGACATACCTTTTGACATTATTACCTGGCGCCCTCTCATGTGGGTTCCAGGCTCGAGTAGCAGTTCAAAAAGGTTTGAGAAGGTATAGACTTAAGCAATGAAGCTGAACGGAAAAGATCCACAAATTATGAAACGGATAATATCCTAGTCAGGAAACTTGGTTTTTATGCTCCTTTTAAGATCAAGATTCTTCCATCTCCTGCAGGCTGCCCGCTCCTGGCAAGCTCTAGAGGTCGCCCTTTTTGCCCTGCGGAGCATCGCCCCGACCATCAAAATCCGCTGCCTTCCTGTCAACGGCACGCCCCCTTCCCCAGGCCAAGAGGCGGTCGAGGCCTTCTTCACTCCGTTCTTCGCCCAGCTCGAGAGGGACGACTTCCTGTCTCACCCCCTCGTGGGATCGAGCGCCGCTTCTCTAGTTGGCGCGTTTGGCGCGTGGATCTGCCAGCACCCCCAGTCGTTAAATCCCGCCGCGAGCTACGTCCTGAGGGGCCTCCGGACCAGCCTCGAAGGAAAGGTGAGGGCACGGGATAAATGTGATCGGTCGTGCCTGGTCGTGCCGTTCATTGCAAACGAGACGACTATCTCCGGCTGATTTTCAGCAGATTGATCGAAAAGTTGGATTTTTTTCTGCATTGAGATTTGCTTGTTGTGGGGGTCTCGCGGGGTCTTCCCGTATGCAAGCCGTCTAGGAGAAGTTGTTTCGCTCGAGGTTGTGTCAGACATGAACCCATACACTTCTGCAGGGTTGGAGGTTGGCTGTCGGTACTGCCCTTAGACGGCGTATGTCACTCTTTCGTTCAGACGTTGGTTCCTGTTTGGGAATAGGCAAGGACTACAACGTTTAGCCCAGTGCCTCTCATCCTCATCGCTAAGCTTGTCCAAGTCTGCAACCCAATAACATATTTTCCCGTTGATTAACCTTCTGCCGACCTCGGAAACGTACCGGGTCTCCTCCTGCATTGTTCTCTCCGCATATATCCCGCACCTGATTCTTCCTCTCGTCTGCAGATGCCCGCAGTCTGGCAGGCTTCCGCGCGCGCCTTCCGCAGCCTTTGTATCAAATGTTATCCCCACATGGCGCAGCCCGGCCCCGTCGAGCAGCTGATCCAAGCGGTAGAGGCCAGCCTCCCACCCCTCCCAGAAAATACCTCCCCCTCTGCCGTTAGCGCCGACGATCGGACTACTGTCAACGAAGGACTCGCCACTCTAGTTGCCGCCCTCCCCTCCAGTGACGCCTCCAGACTGGGGGTGCGACTAGTGACGCCATGCGTGACGTCAATGGGTCGGTTGGCGGGCGCCAGAGATCCCCCTGCCACTGCTCTAGTTACATGCCTGGGCTTACTTTCAAGCTCGATCCGGCACCTTGAATTCGGACGTCCGGAGGATGAGGTGAAACCGTGCGCTGCGCTCGTGCAGTTTTCGTGGCCCACTCTAGATACTCTTCTGACGACGCCCCACGTTCAGGCGAACGGTGATGTTCTCGTAGCATTGGGTGACGTGTATACACGTGCGATCCAGAGCCTGGGGCCCGAAGTGCTTCCGATCGCACACATGACATCACACCTCGTCAGCATCTTCGAGCGGTACCAGCACCCCGACTGCGTGCCACCCCTAGTTACGGCCGTGCAATCAAGCTCCGAGAGTGCACTGCAGTCCCAGGTCGACTTTCATCGGGGCGTGTTTGGCGCTGTCTCGGGCGCCTCTTTTGGGTGCTTGCATCGGGGTGAGCTTGCGAAACGGCCAGAAGTCTTGGGGGCTTTGTTTTCGCTGGCGTCAGCATACGTGGCACAGTGTCCAGCTGTAGTTGCGTCGGGGCCGCTGCTGCCGAGCCTTATTGAGGCAGCTGCCGCAGTGGTGCGGTTCCAAGACAAGGACTCGAGCAAGAGCGCACTCGCTTTTCTGACGGCCTTGCTAGAGCTCCCGGCAAAGCGGTCGGAAACGAGAACAATGATCGAGGGGGCCCTGCTCGCTGGGGCGGGGCAGCAACTGACTGCAGTGCTTCTAGTTGCGGCGGCTGATAAGTTACCACGGCAGCTACTTAGACTATTAGGGGGAGTGCTTTACTTGTTGACGCAGTATTCTCCCGCAGCGGTGGGGGTTTGGATTGCGTCGACATTCGCTGATGGAGCGTTCTTAGCGGTAGTGAACGGGGCGTTAGAGGAGAGCAGTCAGCGGCTAGCGGGGGAGGTGCTGCAAAGACAACCGCCGCTGCCGAAGCGGCGCTTTGAGGCGTTTGTAACGGACTTTGCGTCTGTTTGCAGACGAGAAGGGACGAATGACACACTGCTCGCATATCAGATTGATTAACGCGCACATACTACCAGGCTCGCATTTTTCTATAGGGCTTGCATTCTTGCACTGACAGCTTCCCGGATCCTACCTGTACGCCTGCAAGCCTTAATGAGTGAGCTAGTCGAGCGGGCAATCATGCAAGGTTGCAATTTGAACTGATGTACGACATGCAGATTCAATTTGAATCAAGTTGCTGTCATGTTACGACTTTCCACTGGCATACTAAGTCGGATCTAGGTGCATATGGCATTTGACCATGTCCCCTTATATAATCATGTTACTGATGCTGGTCGGTTTGCTAGCTGCGCGCTATATATACTCTAGCTAGCATGCCGCCATGCTGAGATCAGACTATAGACCTATATAGTCTATCATTTGATTAGCGAGACAACATTACAGTGCAGCTACGCATGCCGCTGAGTCATGGTTGCAACTGAATTATGGGATCGATCGACTATCATTAATGCTAGCTACTGAGCTCGGTGCGTAAGATACTAAGTGAAATTGAAAATTATCGACGTCAGCCTACATTACGTCCAATTATGTACCTGCTGCAGAGCCTGTTCATCCTATGAAGCACTGAGATTTTGAATGGTCTTGAGTGAAAGAAGGTAAGCGAGCGCAGAGCACCAAGCTTATCAAATGGGGGCGTTGATGATCGTGCGAATCAAAATTGAAAGCAGAGTCAGTTCAATTGCCTGCGCTGGCAATTGTTCTGAGTGCGTCTTTTGACTTCACTGATGTGTTAACAATGTCAGATCAGTGGATCTTATCTCGGGCCCTTTCCCAGGCTCAATATGCCGCTGCATTATGGTCCTGCTTGGAGGCCCTAGAATTACGCTTTGTCGGAACCTGTGATATGTTTGTCATCAACGTTCGCAAACACACTGCGCTTGTGTATGTTAAAGGCGTATTCGAACTTCTGAAGCCGGTGCTCTACGACTATGGGGAAGATTAGTCATGAGGGCTCTTAGCAGCGTACTTTTGCGAAAGTCAACCTCAAACGAATTCCCACGGTAAGTCAAATTGCTGTCGGTCAACGTCTCATCCCCTTAATTGGTCTTCAGCCGAGACCTTTCACTTTGTTAAGCGTTGCAACAAAAATGAATCAAAGTTCATCTTCTCCAAACTCGCCTCCTTCACTCCCGCCATCCTCAATCTGCTCCGCTTCGTCTTCTTCTCCCTCCGCTTGCTCCTCGGTGTCAAACTCCTCATGAGGAGGCATGACTGAGGTCCCAATTGGCACTGTGCTCTCATTCGAGCATCGCACTTCATTCCACTGCACAGATCGAATGACGACCTTTCTTGAGAAGCTGATCGACATTTTCCTTTCCCCACAAGCAACTTTTGTCAACCTGACAACTTACTACAACGAACGCCAGATCGAGGTTTCCAGTAATGAGCGTCTGGGTCAGAAAACTCTGCACAGGAGGCACATAAAGCCCCTGGGGGATTTGAAAAGCCCCAAGGAGTTAATAAGGCAAGCGAGACATGGTCGATAGCCCGTACAGCAACCAATGCGTCGGCAAACCGGAAAAACGAGCGAGAAAACAAGACACTGACAGGTTAATTTGGAGAAACTACCTGGTATGACTGAGGGCAATACGGATCAACCAATGGCACCAGGGGGATTATCCCTTCTTTCAGACGCGATCAACCAGAAGCTATCAGTCCTCATAAACCAGAGGAAGCAGACCAACCCAACTACACCTGTCACTCTGATGTAGCTCAGATTCTCTGGGCTTGGGCAACCTTTGGCAAAACAGGAACGTCTTAGTAGTTCCATTAATCAGCTTTGATAGAGCAAGGTATCGTCTCTACAATCGTCCAGCAACCTTCCAAACCAGCGCCTTCCCGCAACCCACCTTGGCTTCCAGCTCAGCTTCTTCCTGCGCCAATTGCACTTCCTCGTCTTGAAAGCTGACCCAGCCTGTAATGTGCTCTATCGTTGGAGGAGCAAAACTTGGAAAGAGCGCCATGCTTCGTTCTGCTGAACCGGCACTTAATGTGATCCGTTTCGTTCGTCAAATTCTGGTTGCACAACCAGCTGTTACGATCAAAGACATGCTTTCAGTGCTGAAGAATCTTAAAATCAGCTGCGACCTATGACTTCAAGCCATCAAGCCAACAATGTCGAATTGAAGGACAGGAAGGCGGTCGTGCTGCTCTCCCTTGTGCTGAGGCTGCTACTCAGTGCTTGCCACGAACCGGTGTTTAAGCTGGACCTGGCCGGCAGAGATGACAGATGCACCGGTGCCCAAGGCACCCCACCGGCTGGACAGCCGGCAAACAATGCTTGGCACCTAGGCAGAACCGGCGCCCGGTGCTTTAGCCTTTAGCCCGTGTTGCCAGCCGGTAGAAATGTGGGAGGGCCGGTAGACAGCCGGCACCGGTGAAAGTTGGTGGCAAGCCCTGCTGCTACTGCTACTACTACTACTAGTACTAGTACTTACTACTACCGTACTACTACTACTAGCTGAGCCATATCATTATGGGCTAGGTTCAATCTAGTGCGGCCGCGCGACCAACCTTAGCGGCCGCGTACCACGACGACTGGTATCTTTCCATGTGATCCACGTGGACCGGATTTGAAGATTTTCTTTAGTCTTTGGGTTCCTTCTGACCAATTAACTTGCCACTTTGGCAACCACGTTGGCAGCTAAAGTTGCCGGCGAATGGTCGAGTTGGAGGAAGAAGGCAAATGTGCGTGCTGCAGCGTGCAGCTGCCATCCTCCTGCAATTTCAAAGCACACCACCTCACAACGGGTCGGAAAACGCTCTATACCTAGGTACAAGACTCAGAGGGTTGGCCTGACGTTCCCTGCTTCCGGAACCTTTTGGGCGCCCCTTGTATTGGGCTGCTTAAGGAGATTTCATATCAGGTCCTGACCTCTTGGGGCAAAGCAATCTCTGCATTTCTTGAGAGTGTCCTATTGGGGAGGCGGTATGGCAATTGCCGCTGCTGCCAGGATTGCCAATGCCCATGGGGCATTGAGCAACCTGACAAAGTCTGTACATAGAACGGCCGACCTGGCGCCTTGCCCTGCGATAAGCCAAGCTCTAGCGCAAGGCAGTGTTATAAGCCGGAAGCAGGGTCGCCAAATTTACCACCAACTTGCTAAAAGCCATGCCGCTTTCCAGCTGGCGAGGGAAGAGCCGCTGCCAAGGAGAGCTAGGTTCGCGGTCTCGGCAAAGCAAGCCACGGTTGCGCCCCCCGCCACAAGGACGGATGATGTCACAGAGGGGCTTCTAGATTGTGTTGTGGTGGGAGGAGGGGTGTCAGGGCTGTGCACAGCGCAGGCGCTGAGGACAGAGCATGGAGATGCAATGCCGAGGGTGCTGGTGACAGAGGCTCGGGAACGGGTTGGCGGGAACATCACAACGGTTGAGAAGGACGGCTATCTTTGGGAGGAGGGCCCTAACAGCTTCCAGCCTGGAGTACCGATGCTCAAAATGATAGTGAGGTTCTGTCAATTTCTGTTGTGATTGTTCGCTGCAACAGTGCACATCTCTTGTCGTCCACATTTCTCTGCATTCAGCGTAGACATTGCCTTGAAACCAAAAGTATTGTTAAAGTCAACCAGTTGCTTTGATAAATTGGCGCTTCTTGCCAAAGTTATGCTCGGCCTGTGTGCAGCATTGGAAGAAAAAGTTCAAGCTGCTGGAAATGGCACGTCATCACATAGGGTTTAGTTGAAGAATTTGCCTATTTTTAAAATGTTTTCTCCTTATCTTGGAGTGCTTGCAAAACAGGTTGTGTTTCGAAGATCACATATTTGGACCCATTTCTGGTCAATCCACAATCATTGGCACCCAACACAGTTGAGATTTCAATATACGGAGCAGAAGCCCTGGGCGCCAAATTAGGGTTTTGGAAGCCAACCTCCAGAACGCTCTGCTTACAAGCCTCTGCAATCGCTGCCGCAGGTGGACAGCGGTATCAAGGAGGAGTTGGTCCTTGGAGACCCGACGGCGCCCCGCTTTGTGCTGTGGGGCGGCAGGTTGCGGCCGGTGCCAGCGGGCCTCACGGACCTTCCATTCTTTGACCTCCTCAGTATCTTTGGCAAGATCAGGGCCGGGCTGGGGGCACTCGGTTTCCGGCCAGGACCTCCCGTGAGTGCTAATCGTGGCACCTGTCCTTTGCCTGACTGGATTCTTGCTGCTGCTTGATTTCGCGCACTAAGACCTTGGTGGCCCTGGAAAATGCTTAGGGCAGCATTAATAAGGCAGAATGCGACTCAGATCTCATGCAAGTGGTGACAGGCTTGTTGGACTCATGATGATGGGCTCTGTGCTTGTGTTACACCACCCGCCGTAAGCGCAACGACAAGTTGCTGTGTGTGCAGGGGCGGGAAGAGTCGGTGGAAGAGTTTGTGCGCAGAAATCTGGGAGATGAAGTCTTTGAGAGGCTCATTGAGCCCTTCTGCTCAGGTCAGTGCCTAGCAATTCGAAGAGATTTCGAGAGTTGCGCCAAGTCCATGTTGTTGTGAAATCTGATGCGGCTTTGAAAAGGGCCAGAGATTTAAGACAAATTTGGAAGTGAACCTGACTCTGATACTTGAGAACAGCTTACAATGCCAATTCATCCAAATTGTTTGCTGTGGAGTATGCTAAGCAGGACTTTCAAGCATACTGAGAACAGAGCGAACCCCCTTGGGGAATTATCTGTAGGCTCTCCCCCCGATGCGTTTTGTTATCACCCGTTCAACCAGGCACTCTGCATCATCAATAGGATACAGGCATTCTGCCAATCAGATGGTTTGGAAGCTCCTTAACAGGAGCCTTTGGTTCTGTTCAGGTGTGTATGCGGGGGATCCCTCTAAGCTGAGCATGAAGGCCGCCTTTGGCAAGGTGCAGCGCCTAGAGGACATTGGTGGCAGTATTGTAGGGGGGAGCTTAAAACTGATCAAGGAGAGGAAAGCAAACCCCCCGCCGCCACCTGACCCGTGAGTGCTACAGCCTGCAGCCATTGATGGACTGTTTGTTAGTGAGTAGTGTTCGGTTGCCGTAAATCAAGCCCGTTGGAATGATGCACAACAAGGAAAGCTGTCTGAATCGATCAGGAGGGTTTGGTTCCTAGGTTGTCACCACTCAATATCCCATGTTTTGTGGTTGAGAGACATGGTTGAGAAAGCAAAACTTGTCTGGTCTTCCCTCACCATGCGCCCGTGTGAACGCACTTTGTTGGAGCCCTTCGTACTTCATACAACAAGATTGTACAACCAATTATTGCCTGCTACTTCATCTGGTGTGCCCCTGTCTGATAAAAAACAGCCATGTGATGCGTTTCATCCATCTCTGCGGCAGGCGGCTCCCAAAGCCAAAGGGTCAAACCGTGGGATCTTTCAAGAAAGGCCTCCAGACGCTGCCAAAGGCAATTGCTGATATGTAAGTAACCAGCGATCCAACTCACAGGGTCCAATCACTGGAGATTGGGCATCAATTTTTTCGGAAGCTCTGGATTATCTTTTCCAAACTCATCAGCGAAGGCGTTCGGTGTCCGGTTTGGCTTTCGCCGTGCTTTCGATGGCGAACAGCGGTAGTCTTTTGTGGCAAACATCCGCTCAGCAATCCTGTCCGTGGCTGATTCGCACTTCAGGGTTGCTAGCGAGTTGCCAGTGCTTGACTCCAGGGTGTGGAGCTGTCATCGCTTTTGCGAAGTTGTTTCTGACGTCATCAAAGCAGTGTGCGAGAAGGGGAGCTTCTTAGTGAAAGGATAGGTTTTAAGCATCTGAAGCGCCACTCTTTCTGCAGTCTGGGCGACACGGTGAAGGTCAACTGGAAGCTGACGGCAATGGCGAAGGTGGGGAACGCGTATGAGCTGACGTACAGCACGCCAGAGGGGCAGAAGGTCGTCAAAACGCGGACGGTCGCGCTAACTGTGCCTGCTTACACAGCCAGCTCGCTACTGAGGGAGATCAACGTGAGTAGACTGCTTGGAACTCTGTTATTTTTGCCTGACGGCGGCCACTTCAAGGCAATCAACGAGCGCGATCGTTTTTGCACGGACCTTTTCCCGTGGTGGTCAATGAGTCTGTTGGTAGTGTGGTCGGGAATGTGGATCGCCTCGTTCGAGCGACTTCTATGTACAAAGAACGCAATTTTAAGAATCTCCAATCCACAAACCGTGAGACATCCGCCCGCAGATTGAATCCCTTGCTGACCATAGATGTCGTAGCAATAAATTAACGCACGCACTTCGAAGCGAATATCTGTCACCTTCAAAGCCGCACGACCTGAAACCATTGCCTGCAACACCGCTTTTGTCGATCTCCTGCTTTTACGCCTGACACTTGGTGCGCCCCTCAATCGTTCCTACCCTTTTTTGCAGTTGGAGGCCTCGGACGCTTTGGCCCGGTTCTACTACCCCCCGGTGGGTGCCGTCACCATCTCGTACCCCGAGTCGGCAGTTCGCGAGGAGCGGCTGGTCAACGGCAAGCTCAACGGCTTTGGACAGCTGCACCCGCGCAGCCAGGGGGTCGTCACGCTGGGTGAGGCCCCGCTCATCGACCCGTCGACTTCGCGACATTCTATAAGGTGTCACAAATCAGCGCAATTGCTGTCCAAAGCCTTCTCGTAAGCACTCTGTTTGGCAGAGGGTCTTGATAGGTGAGATCTCTGGGTCTCAGTTGGCTGCCTACGGTCGGAGGTTTTGGGTTCGTGACACTGATTAAGCATTACGGGACCAGTGATAGTGTTGAGATGGTATTTGAAACTTTCTGCAAGCACTCTGCTTGCCGGGGGTTGTTTACAGTGTTAGTTACATAGAAGCCTCCTGTTCGAAGATGTAGAGAGTCTTCGACGGTCGTAAAACATCTGCCAATGCAAGCCAACGAGACCCCCGGAAACCCCTCTAGGAGTCACCCAAGGCCCTTCGTTGTTTCCTTGGCTCATGAACTTGACCTCTAAAGCATGTGGAATTTCAGCTTCATCGCTATTCGAGCTTGTCGTTCAACTCCGTCGAGATGCAGCGGTAGCACACTGGTCCTGGATGCAAATCAGCAAGGTCGGGCTCCTCTTAAAAGTGCAACCCAGCCAGATGATTCCACAGATCTGCTTTCGTTTTCACCCCCGTGTACGCAGCTCGAGTTTCGCTGTTCGATCAAGCCTTCGGTCAAACTGCGCTTGAACTTCCCCAACGTTGCTTGGGATGTCGTTCCGAGAACCTCTATGGTTTCGGTCCTCTCCTTTGGGAAGAATTACGAGTCGCTGGTCTGGGCAGATTGCGGTATGGAACCGGTGGCAGACTGGGCAGTGATTTGGTGGCTCCTCTCCTCTGCTCTGATTCACCTTCTTAAGCAAAGTTTTGGAGCCTCGCTCAATGTTGACGTCACTTCTCGCTCCGCAGGCACCATCTACAGCTCCGCCCTCTTCCCGAACAGGGCGCCCGAGGGCCGGGTGCTCATTCTCAACTACATTGGAGGGGCCTTGAATCCTGACATCGTGAACCAGGTGCGAACATTCAAGCCACTATCCTCCAACGGCTATTCTCTTTTCTACATATTCTTTTCGGTACAAACGTCGAAGATGTCAAGCACACCTCTCATCTCCGCGGACCAGGGTGCCAGGCAGCTTGCAGTTGAAGATCACTTTACATTGTAGGGATTAGGCATTCGTACAATAGAAGCCCGCCCTTTACTGAGTCCGCCAGCGAATTTAACCCCCATTCGGCTGTTCTAATTCCGTTGGCTTCTCTCAAGGCTGACCGTTCGGCTTTCTTCTCCAGTCGGAGGATGAGTTGGTGGCGCAAGTCGACAAGGACATTCGGACAATGCTGATCAAGCCGGACGCGCCCAAGCCCTTGAAGCACGGCGTCCGAGTGTGGCCGAAAGCGATCCCGCAGTTTACGGTGGGCCACTTGGAGACGCTTGAAGAGGCGCGGCAAGCCCTCAAGGACGCTGGCCATGACGGAATTATCCTGGGGGGAAACTACGTGGCGGGCGTGGCACTGGGGCGGTGCGTCGAGGGCGCATATGAGAGCGCCAAGGACATTGCAAAAGCCGCCGAGACGGCGGACATGTTTGTATGAAGCCGTCGGATCGGAGCGCATTACGTTTGAGGGGGAAAAGTAGGACAATAATAATGAGTGGTATGCAACCATGCTAAGTTTGAACCGGCGTCTCAAGATTGACCTTTGCATCCTCGGCCTGGTTTTCTTTGCACAAGTGCTTGGCGGATTTTTCTGCCAAGGCCTGATTTGGAAAGCTAGCAAGTTACGGACATACAGACTGGACGTCTTGGTCATAAGTAAACGGCGCGCACCAGGGCACTCTTCAAGCTCACGATGTGAAACCAAAAGCTTATGATTGCAAATCGTTTTGCCACGCGAACTCGGCCCCAAGTCGATCTTTTTGTTGTATCTGATAAGAGCAGACATTTCAAGTCTCATAAGATACACATGATTGCCGTTGCTATTGAGCCTTAGTACGAGCTCTAGTGTGATGTATATATGGCTGCCAGCCCGCTGCCAGCCATGGTGGCGACACAGCTTTCAAGCTTCAACGGCAGATGCATCACTGAATGACAATGCCACAAAAGTCAAACCGGGCAAATCAGATTTAGTTACAATATCTAGCTTTCGCTACCTACTTTATAATCTTACTATCCAACAACAACATATCCTGCCGCCTTCGCTCACCACTTGCGCAACTCAAGTATGGTCCACTTCCGTGCAATTCGACGCGCGCGCTTAGTACAAGATACCGCAAGAGGAAAGAGAGGGGGGGTTCGGGGGGGCGGCACGCCCCCCCCGATTTTTTGGCCTTCAATTTCGCGCCATATGCGCCGCCGTTGC